ACACAAGAGCCCCGCACACCGAAACCCTAAAACACAAGAGCCCCGCACACCGAAACCCTAAAACACAAGAGCCCCGCACACCGAAACCCTAAAACACAAGAGCCCCGCACACCGAAACCCTAAAACACAAGAGCCCCGCACACCGAAACCCTAAAACATAAGTTTGCTAGTAATCCTATGAAACTATAATAACGCATAACATAACATTAAGTATCACTATTTGAAGGTAATAATGTTACTTTCAGGAACAAAGGAAATTACTTAAGATTGATCTTTTTGTTGTATAATTTTATAGGGAATGGTCTTGAATCAATAAAAAATTATGGTTCACATTGGTTAAACGTTTCTTTAAGCGCTTATAACATCACTTTGATTTTATTAGTTAAAAAGGGTAAATTATATTAGTTATAATGACTATATTAATAATTGATTAGATAATTAGAATTGTTATACTTACTTAAGGTTTACCTAAGCGCTTAAACCTTTAATGGTTGTAAGGAAGAAATATTCAAGTTTATGTATATTCTAATTGTGCGTCAAAATCGTTTGCGTAGTATTTTAATACATGGTACAGGTTACATACTGCACATATGATACATGATAATATACTTTAGTGATAAGAACAATCACCTGGCACTGGCAATAGGTACTTTTTACAGAGTTAACAACCAATATTCAAACAGCCTGAGGAAAATAAGGATGTAGTAGAATTAAGTGCTATATATATATATATATATATTAATTGTCTACTTCCGTTATCACCAATTTAATATGGGATATACTCAAAGTAAACAAAAGTCTTTTTAATACTATGATTATCAACTGAATGGTTTACTATGAAAAAAGAGATGTATTGTGTTATCAACACTATCAATGAAAAAGTCCATTTAAAGGGCATTCTCTATTATAGTACGCATACTAAATGCTGGAACAATAAAGTTAATAGCACCTAGTAAACTTGATATAATTGTTAAGTGTAAAGCAATATAGCTAAATCTACAAATGATCTAAGATGGTCTTAATGGTGCCTTGAAAACTTGATTTTAAAGCTAGCTCTTGCGATGATGGATAACTTAGAATACAATTCTTATTATTGAAGATATGAAGTATTTACTACAGCTGTACAAAATTGTTCCAAAACTAAAAGTTAGTTGGCCTGCCAAAACTAACTCAAACCCAATTCAACAAGTTCCAAATACGCCTTCGTGGTGCGTTTTCTCCAAGACTTACCCCAGTAAATGGTAGGGATGGCACAGGCAATGGTCACAAAGTCTATGACGGCCAATGCAATATAAGTATTTGCAGTTCCACTGGAATCCAACCAATAAGAACAAACAAAGGTAAAGATACTTCCCAAAGAATTATTAATGATGGAAACTCCCACCATACCCAAAATGACAATCTTGGGGTAAGATTCCATCAAATAGGACATAGAAATGTCACCAATGGTACCCCAACCGTAACCAATGAAACCCAAGCCAATATAAATAACAGATTTGGGCCATTGTCTTTCAGCTCCAACACCAAACATGATTAAACCAACTGGAGAGATAATCAAGGTGATAAAACTTAACCACAATCTGTATTCTGGCTCATAGACACCATTCTTCTTTTTAGCCATCCACATAACATGGTAATCAGAAAGAATACCTGCTACAAGACACCCAATAACAGCACCTACCAAGGTAGCAACGTTCATGATACCCACTGCATTACCTGAGTAGTTCCAAGGAGCATCAGGGAAATAATCTTCTTCGGTGGTCAAGTAAAACGACAAGTAGGCATCTTGCAAACCCCACAACATTCCTGACAACCAAACAGCAGGGAAAGTGAAGATCTTGAAATACAAGAAGAAACGTTTGACATACTGCTTGAACCCCCATCCTTCCAAATAGCTAGCAGGTGTGATTAAAGCCACATTATCCGTATAAGACTTGGGTGCTTCTGAGCTATTTAATGCCCTGTTATTGTCATCAACAGATTCTCCAGAAGACGATTCGTCGTAAGGAGATACTTGAGCACGAGACGACTCCTTCTTCAAGGAGTATTCATTAACGTTTGCTGTTGAAGCTTCTCCCTTATGGGTCACGATAGTGTTATCTCTGGCGTAAGCTGCCTCTCTATCAAAAACGGTTTCTTCACATCCAAAGATGAACACGATTAAAGTGGCACCTGTGATTATAGCACCCCACCAACCGACCCATCTGAATGACGTATTATCAGAGATGTACTGAGCGATCAATGGACCCAAGAAAGTCCCGATGGAGGTAGCCATAATATAAGCAGTCAACACCGAACCCAAGTTGTGCTGAAAGAAAATGTCGGACAACGATTGTTGGACCTGAGCTTCCGCACAGGCTTCACTTAACCCCACAAATGCTTGAGACCAGATCGTGTCTGAAGTTCTTCTGGATTTGGCAAACCATACGGACCCCAAAGTACCAGCCAAAAGACAGATGAGGTAGGTGATTCTTCTACCGTATAAGGAAGAAGCGGGAGCCAAAAAAATACAACTCCATCCAATGAATAAGAATAAAACACCGGCACCAGTGTTCATGGCATCATAACTGATCCCGTAGATCTCATTAAGGGAATCTTGTGCTGCACCAGCATCATTGGAAATGGCAGCTGTCAACCCGGTTACAAAACACATGAGAAAAAAGTGCCAGTACTTTCTTGTCTTTGACCAATTCAAAGGATCATTGGGCGATGAGGAAGGTTGAGGCATCAAGATAATCCCCTTCTTATTACGCTGGATTTGACCAGAGAAACCGCTTTCACCAACATCTTCTTCCTTCAAGATATTGATGGAACCAGGAATGAAAATACTTTTTTGAGGTTCTAGTTCGTTGTTATACTTCATGGTTGGAGATATGGTTTATATTTTCGTTTCAATGTGTCCGTTATTCCCAGCATCCACACTCGTATTGGTATTAGATTGGTAGTTGGGTTGAGTTTAACGGCGCCTGATATCTTTGGACGTAACGATCCCTCTTTATACGTCGAAGCTCCTATCAGCCCCTGCGCCCAACAATAGTACATAACCCAAAGCTTATCTAAATTTTATGGGCTTAATCTAATCAAAATCGGAGTAAGAGTATGACGCATCTGATAGGGTGGCTTTAGATTAACATTATTGAAACTTTTTCATGACCCACCGTTTGCCGCGAGTGGGGCCTAACAGTCTGAATTGATTGGCTCCTTTTAAACTTTGAGCCGTGTGTATCCATGGTTAGTAAGTGGACAAGCCACGGCTATATGCAGGCCCACCTCTTATCTTCAATCTGGTTCACGTATTCCATTTAGGCTAAATCTGGCGGCTGGATATCAAGGGATGAATTTCCCAATGTGTAACTGCATGATTTGTGGTTTGACACATATTTGACAGTCTTGACATTTACTGGGCATAGAAACAACATGATAAGGTTTCACGCACAAGACAAATAAGTGCGACATTTTCGACAATGGAACAGTACCTCCAGTAACTGAAGTCTAATCTCAACGATTACTGGAAGCTGATAATGGCATTAGTAGTTCTGAAAGAAGCTACAGAACACAACTCCGCGGTTTGTTGTTTGGAGAGATAAAGATTATATTAGCTGAATAGGCGGCTAATTGTTTTTGTATCACTATTAGAGTTCCATATTCTGCAACCTCCGAAGTTTCTATTTACGAACTTGTCAATCAGATCTGGATTGTCTTTCCTAACATTTACCGAAGCATAGCGGGGATGTTAATGATGAGAGAGAGAGTAGATCATTTCCAATTCAGGCTTAATTTAATGCGGTTTTGGTTCCCCCTAGAGGGATTCCATCTCCGTAATAAATAGCGGCATCAACCGCTCATAAGTGTAACGATTGTGCGTAAGGGTGTGAGCAAACGGTATAGGGAAATGATAGCCATTAGCGGCCCGCAACTTCCTGGAGTAAACTTATTGTGTATTGCGTCGTACTTGTCGGAAATAGAGTATAGACCCGCACACCAAATGCTGATCTTCAAGCTGAGGGAAGACCCAAACCTTCATTCAAATGTTCATATTTTATTAAATCATTACATAATATTGTATACATAATACAAAGCTATATATTGGGTTGTAATCTGTGCAGCCATCTTCATGGCACGTATTTGCATCCAACAGTATCGTGGAATGCGTCATGAAGAGAATGATAAGAATTCTCAATCATTTTTACGTACTCTCCTTTCGCCAACCCTCTACCAATGCCTCATTAATGATGCTTTTCGTTTCTATTAAATCCACCACAGACTTTGAACGTTATTGTCAAATCGGACAGAACGATATTCATATTTATTATCCGTTCAATGTCACGTAAAAGTGCTTATTTATCCGAGTAGCGGTAACGATGATTGATAGGTATGTTCCAGCATAGCCTATACTTACTTCACACTCGTTTTCTTCTTTTATTCACTGATTTACTCTCCGACTCAGTCTTAACAATAATCTTTATATCATTTGCTGGTTCTGTCTTGACGTTGACTCCGTTATTTAAGTCACTCAAGTCCGAAGCAAATAACACCGATTGGGCCCAACCAGCATACTCACCAAATATCTCTTTGTAAAATGTCCCTATAGCTTCATGCATTTGCTTGTTAAGAGTCTTCATATCCCGTTTTCCCTTATACTTGAAGTCTCGGACAGCTATCTGGTACACGTGTGTATCTATTGGGACGACATCATGCTTATCTAACGACATGAGACAGATGCAATCGGCTACTTTGGGTCCAACGCCCATAAGTTGAAGAAGGAACTCATGAGCCATTTTATAGTCGAGCTGGCGCATTTCATGGAGTCTTTCCAATGTGATTTCCGGGACGCTTTTATCTTCAAACAATAGAGCTGTTTGGTAAATGAATTTTGCCCTATACCCGAACCCCAACAGTCTTAGCCTCAGCTCGATTCCAGGTGAGGACGATAATTGTTCGGGTGAAGGGAAGGAATAGTATTTTATGTCCTTATATTCGCCAATGTAATCACCAAACTCAGTGCATAAAGTATCGCACATCTTGGAGATTCTCTTGACATTGTTATTGGACGAACAGATGAACGACACAACAGTTTCCCAAGGGTCCTGTCTGAGGATCCGGATACCAGGAAACAGAGAAAACGGACACGATGTTCTGGATTTAGACATGAATGGGTCATTGGCTTCCTTCCAGGATTCATAGAGTGACTCCAATTTAATGTGCAAGCAGAAGTAATCGTTGATGAACAGGTCCACTTCTGATTCTTCTGAGAGGTTTTGCCGCAGCAGCAGCAGCAGCGGTTGCTGTTTCAGGATCCACGAATACGATAAGCTTGTGTCGTCTTGCTTCACTATCACTATCTGGTTTTTAGTGGTGAAGGTCCACACGTCGTCGATGTTCTTCCATCGGAACGTCTGGCCGCAACGGAGCACCCTCGCAAGACACAACTCATTGATAGACACAGACAACCGTTTCCAGAAGAGTTCGCACGTCATTGTCCGTAGCAGAAGAAGCAGCAGCGATAAGAAGAGAGTAGTTTGTTCTTGAACTTGATCTCATCTCAAAGAGTGTGGGGGAGACCCCGAAAAAGTTTGGTGGGGGAGACGCGTTCAGATCAAAAGATAACTACACCATAACACCAACCCAATAGTACCACTAATAACAAAAACAATAACTGACAGTCAATGCCTTTGGTGACGTGTCCCGTATGTTCTAAAAGTATAGAGGAAGCGCTCTTATTGGCCCATGTGAACAATTGTTTGGACCAACAGGAGAAACGGAGTTCATCTCAGGAAGATGTTGGTGAGACATCAAAGAAGAGAAGTGGAGGGAATACTTTTGCCGCCTTGGGTCTTCGGAAGGATGGATATAAAAGAGTAAAGAGGTCTTCTGAACGGAAGAAAGAAGGTCCCACGCTCACGAGTATCCTTATAGCCGAAAGAAAGATATTGGCTTCACAGAATGAAGTGGCAACACAGGAACCAGATACGGCAATAGATGCTCCCAGTAGTGAAGCCGATACAACAGTAGGTGGCGATGGTAATGGTGATGGCGAAGCTGTGGTCGAATCTACTCCAGATCTAGATAAACTCCGTCAGATCCAACTGCAGACTCCCATCATCACCAAGTCCAAGTTTCTACAGTTGAGTGAAGAACGAGAACTTATGAGAAAGGAAGCACAAGTTCCCTTGGCCCAGAAGGTCCGTCCTAAGCTGTTGACGGAGTTCTTTGGCCAGGAACATTTATTAGGGTCCAATGGCCTACTTCGGAATATCATAGAATCGGATATGATACCGTCCTTTATCCTATGGGGACCTCCGGGTGTAGGGAAGACTACACTAGCACGAATCATAGCCAATGAGTCTAACAGTAAGTTTGTAGAGCTTTCAGGGTCAGATGGTACTACCAAAAGATTACGAGAAGAGTTTGAAAATGCAACCTTGGAGAAGAAATTGAGTGGAAGGAAGACAGTTTTGTTTCTTGATGAAATCCATAGGTTCAATAAGGCAACTCAAGATATTCTTTTACCAGTTATAGAAGATGGAACAGTAACCATTGTTGGTGCAACCACTGAAAATCCTTCGTTCACATTGAATAATGCCTTATTATCACGAGTTCATGTCTTCACTATGAAACATTTGCCCATAGAGGCCATTACAAGGGTTATCTTTAGAGCACTATTTCATTTGAACAAATCCAGGAAGGGGTTCTACAATTTACTCCCCATCTTGTTGACAAGGGAAGCAGCAGAGTTCGTGGGTGGTCTTTCAGGTGGTGATACACGAATAGCCTTGAACACTATTGAGTCATTGCATGCATATCTTTCAGCCTCCAAATTTAGTATTAGTTCTTCTTCTGATGATAATATCAAGAAGAATGGGTACATTCAAGTTACCACGGATCAAATCAAACAGTTGTTCCAATCAGGCAACTATAGAAAGATGTATGATAGAGATGGTGATTCTCATTATGATACCATTAGTGCCTTTCATAAGTCTATTAGAGGATCTGATGCAGATGCAGCTATTTTCTATTTGACTAAGATGCTTTCCAGTGGTGAAGACCCCAATTTTATTATCCGGAGAATGCTTGTGATTGCCAGTGAAGACATTGGTTTAAGAGATAGTTCATGTCTTCCCTTTGTGGTCGCAGCAAAACAAGCTTTTGATTTTGTTGGGTTACCTGAAGGGGAGATAATATTGGCTCACTGTACTATAAAGCTTGCCAGGGCTCCCAAATCAACTAAATCTTACAGAGCATTACGTTTAGTACAAGGTTTATTAAAGGAGAAGCCAGAGCTTTCAAACATACCCATCCCCTTCCATTTGCGCAATGCCCCCACCAAGTTAATGAAAGAGATGGGGTATTCTGAGGGTTACAAGTACAACCCAGACTATACTCAAGGACTTGTGAAACAGGAGTATCTTCCTAAAGATTTAATAGGTACAAAGTTTGTTGAAGATCAGCATTTAGGACTTGAGGATGATCCAGATGTTGCTAAGGAGAAATTGGCGATGGCTAAAGAGTATGAAGCTAACTATGAGGAGTTTAAGAAGACAAAGAGAGAGCAACTTAAGAAAGAATATGAAGCCAAGATGGTCGAGGAGACTAAAGCAGTAGAATGGAACAATAGCAAATTGGAAAAGTATTATAAATGGAAGCTACTAAAGGAAATTGGACAGCTTGAACAATGGCAGAAACTTGAACTGAACGAGAACCATCCAAGCGTTTATATCAATGAAGCACTTATGAATACCTCCACTTCATTTATTAAATTAAACAGCTCCAACTCGTTTAACGCAACAGACATTGACAAAAACGAGGATGAGCAAGAAGAAGAAAAGGAAGATGACGATGATTACGGCTATGAAAGTAATGAAGATTCATTTGTACACTATGAGCCCGAATATCCATCGGTATAGATTTGATATCGATCACGTGACATGCGAATGCCCCTTCTCCACAATAATATTTGAACGATAAGCTGCCATTATAAAGCTGCCAACATTCTATACTATAACAATAATGTGTGGACGCTACGCATTTGGAACCGTATGAATCAGTCACCCACTTGCCTAATCAGGCAGTCTATGGGAACCTCAATACTAACAGAGAGACATAGGATGTGGCTGATTTGCCGGACATACTCAACCAATCGGTGTTAAGAGCAGGAGAAGACACCAATACTTATACAAGTGATACTTCATCGTCTAAAGGGATACAGTATGTTTTTGTGAACATGGACTCATTCAATCCATCATTCAATATTCCTCCCACCAGGAATACCGTTATAATATATGAACAACAAGAGAGCCAGGATGATAGCAAGCATTACACCATAGAGCTTCTGAGATTCGGACTTGTCCCCAGTTGGGCACTGCCCAAGGACCCCAGACCAACAGCACATGGACTAGAATATTCCAGAGAGGTCAATGCTTTATCTTCCAAGTTCTTCAATTGCAGAAAGGAGACTTTTGCTCAACATAGTCCTGTTTGGATGGGGGTGAAGAATAATCGATGTGTTGTACCAATCCAAGGGTATTATGAATGGAAGAAGGAAGGAAAGAACAAGGTTCCACATTTTGTACATTCAAAGACTTCACCAATAATCTATTTGGCTGGGATGTATAGCCATAATACCAACTTCAAGCATACGGAGTTGAGTACCAATGAGAAGTATTTATCAAGTTTTACAGTGATTACTGGACCTGCAACAGCTACAGATACTAAGGACATGTCATGGCTTCATGCTCGAAAGCCATTAATGTTACTTCCTGGTACCAGAGAATGGAATGAATGGCTTAATCCTCTGAAGCAGTGGGACGATTCAATGTTTGATACATGTTTGGAAACAAAGAAGAACAAGGCTTATATGGATATTGAAATTTATCCTGTTTCCAAGGATATTGGAAGAATTTCAAGTCAAGGAGAATATTTAATGAGAAGGGAGGACCCGCCTCCAGTCAAGAAACAGAAAGATATTAGTCTGTTTTTCCTGTCTCCCAAAGGAAAGAAGACAGTTTCAAGTCCAGACGTTTCTGAGCTTCAATCGATAAATTCAAAGCTGGATTCTGTTAAGAAGGAGAAGAAAGATATCAGTCTGTTTTTCTTGCCTTCGAAGAAGAGGCCTCTAGAGGGTGATAATTCACCTACTAAGAGAATCAAAACTGAGCCTGACTGAAGGACAATGTTAAAATATTTATGTACGATATATTCTTTATTCTATTCATCACGTGATCAATCACGTTACACTCACAATATTGCGTAGCTTTAATCGAAAATTTAGTTTGCTAAAATTTTTCAAAGGTTTACAGCCGGAACTCATAGTTAAAGTACACCTGTTATCGACCCCTCTAAAGATGATTGGAGCTCTTAAAAGTTGTGGTCGTCGTTCAGCGAGATTGTACTCGAACCAACCGCTTTACCTTAACCCACATCAATGGAAGGGATTACCATCAGACAAGATCTTTGAGTTACACAACCAAAGAAAGGAAGCCCTTGGTCAATACTACAATCCAACCAATGAGGAGAGAGAGTTGATCTTATCGTCATTACCTGACTTGATGAGTAGAAAGGGTGATAAGTTGGATTATGTTTTTGAGTTGGATAACTTTAAGGAAAGATATATGAACAATACTCCAGTTGCCCAAAGAGGATTACCTCCTAAGTTAAGTAACGTTGAAGTTGTAGCCAGAGGTGACACTCCACATCAAAAGAGAAAGAATGAACAGATCACCAGAATAAGCGCTTATGAGTTACCACTTTTGGCCAACTTCCGTCAAGCTTATCAACCTCCTTCCAAAGTGAATAGCGTTCTTAAATTCAAGTACTTTACTGATTTCAGTGAAGAGTCTACACCCAAGAACAGAACCGTGGTGTTGACAGTGAACATTAAGGATTTGGACTTGACTACAGCTCAAGAAAAGAAGTTCAAGTTACTTTCAGGTAATAAATTTGATCACAACACCAATGTGTTTAAGTTCACTTCTAAACTGTTACCTGAAGCTACTCAGAATGCTCGTCGTGCAGCTGAAGTGTTCAATGCCTTATTGACGGAAACAAAGAACCTGGACGACGATTTTGCTGACATTCCTCTTGATACAAGACACTCGAAACCTCATACGCCTAAACCCGTGTTCCCTAAGGAATGGGCCAGACCTCAAGATGCACCTGTGGCGAAGTTTAACATTGTCAACACTATTATAGAAGATGTTAAGACCAAGAAGGACTCTCAATATGTCAAGTCATTGTCTCCATGAAATAAGTAGATCTATATTTTCCTGTACATATAATGCATAATCACGGTAATAGTAAAGAGCAGGAGCAATACTTTGAGAGTATATCTTTTTCAACTACCACAACATATTGCACGTGATATTTCTCACGTGACTAAAATTGTACCTCATATCATCAACAAATAAATGTATAGCGGTAAGCTTGCAGTTCAACTACTACTCTTCTTCGATTAACAGTAAGTTGACTAGTCATATAGCAATAGTGGCTCAGTTTTATGGTCCTATATTGAATTATTATTTCCGGCGGTTAATTGGTTCTAGACTTTGGCGATAAGATATGGGTGAAGAACCCGATGATCAGTCACTTAGCGGGTCTTTGCTAGACAAGATTCTCAAGGCTCTTGATTTGACGTATGACGCGTCAGTAGGGCTTCTTGACGGAGAACTGATACGTCAAACCCCCCCCGTGGCCACATTGGACGTGGTAGAGAAGTTACTCACGAGTTTGCTGAAGGAGTTAAAGGAGACAGAGCGTATTGATCAAGGGCTTTTGAAGCAGGTCCGGATGGCACTTGGAGAACCAGAAGAGGACGAGAATGTAAATCTGAAAAAGAGGAAAGCGTCGCAAGCATTTGGTGATGAGAAATCAAACGATGATGGTGATGACGACGACGACGATATGGCAGTCAATGTTGATGGAAATGATAATGATGTTAAAAAGGAAGAAGATGAAGGAGAAGACGGAGAAGATGACGTAAAGCAAGAAGCCCCTAAGTCTGTGAGTATAGCGACAGTCAAGAGTGGTACTGGTGGTCGATCTAACAAAGACACAGAGAAAGACAATGAAGAAGATAAGAGTGGCAAAGAAGTTGATGACGATGAAGAAGAAGTAGTAGAAGAAGATGATGACGACGATGACGATGAAGATGACGTGAGCTTAGCTAAAAGGAAACGAAGTACTCCGTTTGCAAAGAAGATAAAACTACAACAAGATGAAGATTATGGCAGCACCCCAATAGATTCCGAAAAGGAAGAGATTGTTCTGAAACAGAAACTCAAACCGAACCTAAATTCTAAAGACGACCCTGTGCCTCCTGTGCAGACTGTTTCGGCTACTCAAGGAAACGATACTCGGTTGAAAAACCCCAAATCGGAATATGTGGAACCTCAGACATTATCTAAGGAAGCCATAGCTGAATTAGGATTGTTTTCAGCCGATGATAATGGATTAGAAACTCAAGGTACGGAATATCTTAAGAAATTGTATGGGGTTGCATCGTATCCCGAAAGAGACCTTCAAGATATGTTACCTGGTGCTATACCTAACATTGATTTTTCCAAAAATAAACCTCCAGCAAATCAAGTTCAATTCACTACGTTTCAATCGTATATTGAATCGTATTTCCGGCCATTCTCGGACGAAGATATCAAATTTTTAAAGGAAGATAACATTGTACCTCCTGGGGTTGAAAAATCTTATGACCCTGATAGTACGCCGTTTATTATACCCAAATTGGGACAGTTCTATGCTGATGTATGGACAGAAGAAGATGCTAATTTAGGAGCCAAGTTAAACTCTCCAGCATACAAGCAACCATCGATAGAAACTTATATGGCCAAAGGTAACATCGATAACCTTTACGATGAGAAACTCTACAGTGAAGAAATCAGTTGTGGACCACTTTCATCTCGGTTACTTCTGGCGATACTATCGACTCATGAAGGAAAATACTTTGAGGAAGGCGATTTAGATGACGATGAGAAGCTCGAGTCGACTATGGATGAGAATGTGGCTACACAATTAAGTCTTGATGACAATTACAAGTTTATTTCAGGGTCCAATGATTTCTATTCACTTGAAGAGAGACTTAAGCGAGAATTGAAGTATATAGGGATTTTTATGAATGTTTCTTCTGGTGGTAGTGGTGGTAATGAGGGGAAGGAAAAGAGTCGGAAGGCTTCCAAAGTTGGCAACGTTATCGTGGATAATGATGAATGGATTAAAAATAAAGAAGATGATGAAGTGTGTGCTGAAATCAGAGAATTACAACAAGAATTAAGAGAAGCAGTGGTAAGAAATAGGCTGAACCGGAAAAGATTGATACCTGTGGTAGAGGAGCAAATTGCTTATCAAGAATATTGCAGTATCTTGGAAGATTTAGACAAACAAGTGGATCAAGCTTACATCAAGAGATTAAAGTCTAAGAATAAGAAGAAAAAGGTGGAAACAACCCAAACAGCTCAACAACAAGCAGCTAATATTGGACTTCGGGCATTACTTGAAAAGAGAAAGAAATGGATAAGCAATATTGGAGGAATTTTCAAGGCACCAGAGATCATGAAACGAGTTCCTGATAAGCTGATTCTTTCGGTAAAGGACAATAATAATGATAATACTAATAATAATACTAGGATAAGTAATGGTGGTGATAATGAGAACGATTCAATCCATGAGGTTGAAGTTAAAGTTGAAGCAGAAGCCAATTAATTGATAATATATTTACAAGTCACGTTACTTAACTCATTCCTTGCAGAATGTATTCATGAGAAGGTAATGTCTTTACATTACCTAAAGCAGCCAAGGCTACTGGTTTATCTTTCAAGCGCCAATTGGCCCAATCCACCACATCCTTTAAGGTTATATTCTCAACTCTTTCAAAGACTTCTTCAGGTGATAATCTAAAGCCAGTATTGACCAATTGTCTTCCGATATCTTCAGCTATAGCTGTTGAATCGTCTAAAGCAAGGACCAAAGAAGCTTTCAATTGAGCTTTAGCTCTTTCGACTTCTTCTTTAGTGATATCTCCGGTTCTTAACCGTTTCCATTCCTTTAAAATGGCATCTATGATTGGTTTCAAATCCTGCTCTTTATCTGCTGTGAAATATACACCCATTAATCCGGTATCGGCATAAGAAGTCGTGTAAGCCATATAGGAGTTGGCCAAGGGCAGTTGGTTGGGCCCACCAGTAGCAGCAGTGACCGCCAAAGGAGATGGAGAATTCGAACCAATTCCTATGGATCTATCCCAGGTACCAATGATCCCATTTGCTACTGAAGCAGTGAAGAAATCAGGAGCTGACCAACTGACACCTTCTAAAGCCAAAACAACATGAGTATTTGGAGGAGTTGAATCTTGAATCCGGATTTCTTCACCATAAAAGATTGGAACATCACCACCACCTTGAAGGAAAGGAGATGAGCTCTTTTTAATCTTTGCAAAGTACTTTTTAGCCATAGCAACCAATTTTTCATGGTCAACACAACCTACACCAATCAAAGCCATTCGATCTCCTTTATAATTGGTTGAGATATAATCCACCAAATCTGCTCTATTTATGGTGTTGATCTTTTCTCTAGGTCCCAAGATGGTTCTACCCAAATCTTGGTTCTTATAAGTAACAGCGTGTAAGTGATCGAAGACCACTTCATCATACATTTTATCAACTTCATCACTTTCCTGGAGGATCACATGTCTCTCGTTCTCTATGGCTCTTGTTTCAAGCTTTGAGTTCTGGAGCAAATCACTCAAGATATCAACGTTTTGTTCCAAATCTTTCTCCAAGCATTTGGTATAATAAACAGTGTTTTCTCTTGAAGTATACGCATTGATTTGGGATCCAATGTTTTCCACTTCAAGTTCCAAATGCATTTGAGTTCTGTGGGTGGTCCCTTTGAATGCCAAATGCTCTAAGAAATGTGCAGTGCCACTGTTTCTGGCTTTATCTGCTCGTGAACCGGCATTAATCCACATCCCTACCGTTGCACTCCGAGTTCCAGGCATGAACTCAGTGGCAACTGTCATACCGTTTTCCAATACCGTGGTTTGGAAGTTTCCTATCCGATTTGCGGCACCGACACCGTCACCGGTACCGGCTGTAGCAAAAAGTCTACGCTGTAACAATCTAGACGATACTCTAAGCATAGGGTTCAGTGGATAAGTGTGATGAAAGAGTGATGGGATTTTATTGAGTTTGATTTTGATTACGCTATATTAATCGAGCGCTACCACAAAACATCACGTGACCAATATTCTAGACACACCAGATATATAATACAGAATGTAATATGTACACAGTACAGTAAGTAATATAGTACATAAAACAGCGCATAATATGGTGCATTCCACAAAATACCAAGGTACATAACAAATCCTCGAGTAGAGTATAGTATATATTACCACATAGTAGCGTATAGAGGTAGCATATACCAGTGATAGCCTCTGTATGATAGTTGTTTGCGCTACCATAATATATACATACAGGACATTAACGTCCATTGACTTCAGGACACTAAGCAGTAATTAAAACAACTTAAAAACTTTTTTAAAAGCATATTACACTTATATAACGGTCAGCAGTATCATACAGCCATAGTATAAAGATATACTATGTTTTACGTGCTTTCACTATAAAGATTGAAAATACACAGGACCGTCTACCCGCGCTACCAAACAACATTCAAACATTGAAAAAATATAAACTCTCAAAATGTCAACACTTAAAATTGGAGAGTACTTTTGTTTCTTTCTCCTTACAATTTATAGGTGTCTCCCACACGGGCAATTTTAAAGTACAACGAACCCTCCCAAACTTTGCATATTATAGGAGTATAGTCCTCCACGGTTTCCTCCACTCCTCCTCCACAATGAACTATAACGGCCCTACTATAGTGATAGATAATGGATCTTATACGACCAAAGCAGGGTTTGCTTCCGAAGAGTTACCCCAGATGGTTTTCAGTTCTGTGTATGGCCAAGCCCCTGACACCAACGGTGAGATTATAATTGGAGATGATCAATTGCTTTCCAACCCATCTGTGGAAGTTATGACCTTATTGGATGATGGGTTTATATATAATTTCGATGGGGTTACCCGCAACTGGAGTCATGTTTATCAACACCTTGATAATGGAGCAGAAGTTAACTCTAATGAATATCCATTAATGTTAACTGAAGAACCTTGGAACACGCTTAAGAACAAAGTCACCGCTACTCAATTGGCTTTTGAAACGTTTGAAGTGCCACTTTTCTCTTTAGTTAAGACTCCCTTAGCTCAATTGTATCAAACAGGGAAATCTTCTGGGTTGGTCATTGATATTGGGGCAGCCACAACTTCCGTGACACCAATTTTGGATGGGATAATTCAATCTAAAGCTTCATTCCATACAAAATACGGAGGAGATTTTCTTAATCTCCATATTGCCCATTATTTTAAAGGCCAGATTGCTGATATGAACCAATTGATTCCCAAGGCATTCCAATCAAGTCCCTCTTCTATGCAAAACTACTACATCACTAGAAACATCATTCATGATTTCAAAGTGTCCAACACTCCAGATTATTACCAATTGGCATCGAAAAATCATATCAATGTCAATGGGTTTAGTTACATAGATAACTTATTCACTCCCTCTCATCACTCTTTACCCGGGGTTGAGATCCCTATGCCGGTTTTGGAGAAGCCTGAAACCCAGGGACTTTTGGATTTGGTGTTTTCAAGTTTAAAAGCCTTGGAATCAACTTGTATGCCAGCCATAAATGGTGATAATAATACCCCCAATAGATTTGCAAGATTCAACGAGATTTTAAAGAGTATTTTAAGTAATGTGCTTATCACGGGAGGTACATCGTTGACTCCGGGATTAAGTGAACTGTTGATTCTGGAAATGAGAAAAATCTCCCCCAATTACTTTTCTTCTTATGGGTTCAACCAATACTACATTCAACCAGTGATCAACCATCAATCTGGTGATATCAATGAGATCTGGGAGAAACTGTTTGGAGGCTGGAAAGGTGCCAGTAGCTTGGCCACCATGTTAAATGATACTAACGATGATTCCAATGGTACTAACATTGCTTTAGAGAATTGGTTTATAACCAAAGCTGATTACCAAGAACAAGGTGAGGATTTAATTGCTGAAAAGTTTAAATAAGAAATTAATAACTATATACATTTATAATAGTGGTGATGATGAGGATTATGATGAGTATGATAGAGATGACTTTCAAGCTTTCCAAGAGACGTACTTGTCATCATATTTCGATGTTTCTCCATGAACCTTCAAGACCGATTCAATCTTTAAGGCAACACCAAGCTTATTGTTGGTTTTCTGCTTGAAATGATTGATAACTTCCTTTGGTGTTGGCAAATAAGATCGTCCTGAACCATCGTTTCCAGTTATGAATGCTTTAACTTGTTCAACAGTTGGTAAACCCATATGATGAGGATATTGTTTGAAATTCAAGTTATAGAAGGAGTTGATCAATGGACTCTCCAATTTAACAGTGTTAATTGATTCTTCCAAGTACTTCTTTATTTTCTCTTCAGGCAATGGCTTGGTCCATTGTGGGTAAAATGGTTCCTTGACTTTATCAATCAACTTATGCTTAACTCCGATAACAAAATCGGAATCTTCGGGTTTAACATTCATCAAATTCGTGGCAGCAATTAACTCGGTTTCAAACTGTTTCTTGATAGTATTTTTAGATCCAACATGAAGTAACTCCAAAGCAACCTTCAAAGAGTTTATTGGTTTCTTTGACAAGGTATCCAAAGTCTTGAGAGCAAATGGGGACCCATCATTGGTTAAAGCTTGAAAGACTTCACCAATAGTTGATTTTGAAAAGGCATTTTTAATAGTAGTCAATTCATCTGCAGTGAATGGGAACTTATAATCTTCAGGGATTTTGTTGTTGGTGAATTCTTCCAATACTTGATTAACTTGAGTGAAATATTCACTTTGATTCTTTAAGATGATATCATCAGTTTGACTACCATTGATCACTGGAGGCTTCAAGTTGCCTAATCGGGTAGTCAAGGTCGCTAATCTGTCGCTGGGGATATAATGAGTTGCAAAGCCCAACATATAAGCATCTAATCCAGTCAAAATGGCACCAGTTAAAGCCACATAATATCCAACATAATCATCTAATCTGGGTAAAAAGAAGGTGGTCCCGACATCTGGAAAGAACCCGATATCCATTTCGGGCATGGCAAGTTTAGTGGTTTCAGTAGCAATTCTAAATGGGGAATGAACAGACAATCCAACACCTCCTCCCATGGTGATTCCATTCATATAAGCAATATAAGGTTTGGCGTAAGTGGAGGTCAAATAGTTCAAGTTATATTCTTGTTGAAAGAAATCACTTGCATAGCCAGAATTCCCCTCCAAGATTTGTCTAGCACATTCGGCTACATCTCCTCCAGCACATAACCCTTTGGGAGATGTTGAAGTCATGATGATCACATTGGAGACACCGGATTTACCGTATTCCAATAACCGAGGAGTAATCTTATTAACCATAGAAGTATTCAATGAGTTAAGCTTTTTAGGACGGTTCAATTGAATGAGTCTGGCCATTCCCTCATTGGAGAATAAAACATCATTATCATCATTGTTGGAACTGGTGGTGGTACTACTACTAGAAGACATTCTTATTAATGTCCTTTTGTTACGTGCTAAACTTCCAATTGACTTGCGTAACATGTTGGACAGATTCCTCCCTTTATATATCCGCACACCGGAATTGGCACTCTCTTTTATAGTGGGGAGTGGTTTGTTAGTGTGTTTTATCCATGGAAATTTCTTATGAAAATTTTCTTCCACGGTATGTTTGATGCTACCGATATTGGGCCGCGCACGCCAACTGGGGCGACATCCCCTCCCTCAATTTAAAGTGTGGGGATAGTCGCATTACGGTTTTCCGAGGGTAAAGCCGAGGCCGGGGGTACTTAGATCAAGTCGTATGCATTTATAAGTTCATACTGTTGTCTTTCTGAATCATGGGTGGATGATGGAAACCGATATTGAAGTAACTTCCCGGAAGTGTATGATGCAACTAAGACCAGATCTTGGGTAAATCCGATTTTTAGTGGTCCATGGGCAGATTTCTCCGGGACTTTGATGAATGCAAATGACCGTCTAGGGGGAGTCCAGATTAAATTATCAAGATAATTCTTATACGGAAGTTTCTTTATAAGCAGTCGAGTATAATGGTTGTTAAGCAATTTGAAATAAGGATTTTTGTTTTTCTGATGGTCACCACCGTCGTCAACAGCATCATCTTTATTATCATAATAATAATTATTATTATTGTTATCATTATTACTATCACCATCATCATTTGATCTTGAGATAAGCAAGTTGGCTAAACTTTCATTCAAATCTTCAGTGGAACGATTACTAGTTGTGTCTCCTCCGTCACTCGTTTCCGAAACCCCATCAGCAGCTTCATCACCACTTTCATCATTGTCGTCGGATTCATTCACTGGTGGCATTGTTGAGTCATTAACAAGTTCATCTGCTGTTTCATCCAACTGAAACAAATGAACAGTACTATTAACAGAACCACACCCCAAAATGGCATTATCCAAACTGAAACTTAAAGCATTGACATTGGTAGGATGATGGCCCCTCCGGAGATTAATGATTTTGGTGATAGTTGATTTTTCATAGTGCTTCAAAGTGCTTACTCGAATGATAGTTCCTTTGACAGATGCTGAAGCTATCATTGAACCATCGTGGGACACTGCCAAGCTGGCTATAGCAGAATCATGGGCTTTATATATCAACACTGGCCTCAACCCTACACAATCATATATTAAGAGCCAACCCTCTGGATCTTTCAACACTGATTCCAACTCATATTTCAACGGTTTCTCTTTGGAGAAATCAACAACGTTATCAAACAGTCCCTCTGTACCTAACATCAGGTCATTGCCACTGCCTGCAGTAGCAGTGACAACAGATAAGGGAATCACCAAGAGCGAATCCTCATCTACACTCAAATCAAACACATACCGTTTCAATGGCGCTATGTCCATCACACTTAACAACCGGACACAACTTAAGTCATAGATATAGATCTGACCGCTGTCAAGAAACACCACGAGCCGTCGCCGGTTCACCTTGACGTCTGCTATAGCCGTGGGAAACGTCAACTCGCATATTTTGAGCAGTAGCTTCAAGTTATAGATGTGTAATAGTCTGTCCTTACCATTGTTCAGAGGCACTATCACCGTCAATGGGGTTGAAAAGAGCATCCGAAGAAACTTGGTTGGCTGTCCAATCACGTCACGAGTCTCCAGTGATGATGATGGTGATGATGATGATGATCTGGTTCCACCTGCTACAATCCCCGTTCGCAGCCCGCTCCCAGGTCCGGTGGGATCACCACTACCACTACTCCCTGAAATAGACCTTCGAGGTATGTCATTGCTCGACGAATAGAACTCCCCAAAGGGCTCACAGTTAAAGATCCGATTAGACTCATTAGTGGCCACAGCAATACAGGTGTAGTCCTGGTTGAACTCTATGCTGTTGATCTTGGTCATTATTGTGGAGTTAAGAACATGGAGATAAGGAGTAGCTTGTTCTATATAATAGTATACCATATTTACTTTCTAATTACGGTATTTTGCTTATGTAATATTATATGGTAGCGCATATAATCATCTTATATACACTACGATATACAGTATTCTATAATGAGTAACTAACAGCGAATATATTAGATTATGTGTGTGTATTCATTCGTCAACTTCCTCCAAGACCACTCTACGTTTAATGGCAGCAGTTCCATTAGTATTAGAGGAAGTCGTGTCTGCAGCAGAAACCAGGTCAATTGGTTCAGATTTGGTAGAAGCAGCAGTAGCTGACTTCTTTGATGATAATGATTTCTTTGATGATTTCTTTGTCTTCTTTGGTTCTTCCCATCCGTAAGTTGGCTGGAAACTTTCAATGACACCACAATCAGCAAACAAGTTGGGGAACAACCAAAACGCTTTAGACATTGTCAATAAAGTTATCAAATAAATGATCAACCGAACTATTGCCATAGCGAAGAACAACCCAAGTAACATCAACACTCCCATAGATAAGTACCACACGCCTAGTCTCATGAACCGAGGCCACAAGGGGAAAAGAATTATGGTAAACACCCCAGCCAATGCTAAGAACCCATAAATAGCCATATAAGGATTAGGTTTATTATATACCCAGGCAAAATAAGCATCGCCATCGAATCTTGGAGACTTGGTGGGTCTTAAAGTTGGCTTCAGCCTGTTGGGTTTCCATCCTTTAACTTTCTTAATCTCCTGGTAGTGTAATTTGTCCACGGGTATGATCATTTGTTTCTGGATCAACACCGCCAATGTTCGAAGAGCATCTTCATCTGATTGCAGGGGTAACATGCCCTCGGTGACTTGTTTGGCCAGATACTCCGGTGAGGTCATAGCTCTTTTGAATCTCTTTAACCGGAAGAAACTCACATCGTCCTTGTTGTTGAGTAAACCAATTCTTGCCTTTAACAATTTGTTCTCGTGTAAGTAGTTAGCAGTTTTGATGACCATCTGGTTCAATCGGGCAGCCTGGTCCTCGCTGAGCGTGGGAATACCTTGTCCCCCAACGGCGGCTAATGATTCAGCCATAGTATTATTCGTGTTAGTTTCAGTGTATAGCAATATTGTATGTAAACGCTGGAAGCGAATCGTGTTCAATTGTTGTATACAAATTTTCATCTCGCATTGTGGTGCCGGGTAACCCTTTGATTATATACATATTTATACACATATGCATTTAGAAGGGGTAGACTGCCTAATGCGGAAATATACAGGCTGTTGTATCATATCACTCTTGTCATATTTTGTATAGGTCATAAATGCATAAATAAATACTATATGTCTGTTGAGCTTCCTCCTGCCATAGAAACAGAGTATGAAGGAGCCATATCCTCGGCGCTACCTTGTGGCAATCTTCTAGTAACTGCTTCATCATATGTAGGGATGGAACGACGACTTGCACCAGCTGCAGCTCTTAATATAGTTTCGGCAGAGAACAGCAACAGAGACGTGGTTCCACCCAATCTTGTTTGGTACAGAAAGTAATCATCAAGACGGGCGCTTGATTCGGAAACATGGGGCACCGGTGTCCCACTGCGACTCATCATATTATTGTTATTATGATTTCCACCGTTTGAAACCACTTGATCGTAGATATGGGTTTGGTATAAAGGAGGCGCTTCCTCAAACTCAATACCCTCTTGGTCTTGTGGCGTCGCGGAAGCATCGCTGGCGGCATGTTCGAATAAGATGTAATCCTTCTTTCGATCATGAACAAACGAGTTATCTTTAGGGTCAATGGTATAGTGTCTAGCAAGCACTTGACCCACGTGAGGACTAATGTATAAGAATACGGGTAGGTTAGCTCTCAACTCGCTGGAGTAGCCTTCCTTGTTCCGCATGACTATAGTAAGTCGAAGCCGGTGTTTCACCAGAACGATATCATTCTTTATGATACACGTCTGGGTGATCTTGTTCATACTTTCAGGGACCATGAAGTTAGTTGAAACTTCCCATTTGTCCGTTTGAAACTTGCTCTTGTCGAACTCGAGTGTCTGTTTCCCCAAGATCTCTTCAAACACTGGCGACTTGCCCTTAGAGTGGCGCGTGCTGTAGTGCTGAACAAGTTCCGCGTCCAAGGACTCAAGCTCAAGGCCCTTGACCATGGGGACAATAAGAAACGTTAGGGGGACAGTTGCACCCAACGGCATACCCTTCCTCGTCAACTGCACATTGTACTGAGCCTTTCCAGGCCACATGTTGGTGATGTCAATACTGTCGATCAAGTTCATGCTCAAGGGATGTAGAGTTCTAATGAGTCTAACGTGTCTGGAGGACTTGATGGATTTCTCGAACCGTCCTCGTTCAATGGTGCAGTTTAAACGGTAACTGATCTCACCGCATCGTAAGCCCTCGACTGACTCGGGGGTATCTGAGGGTAAACAGACATTGAAGGGCAACTCGTAGGTTCCCTTAGGAAGAACATAGTATTGTTGTTGGGAAGAGGAGTCTTCCTGTTGCGTACTGAACGGTGTGCCATTGCGTAACACATAGGGGTTGACGACGTTCGAACCAGCAGATATCAAGCTGTCAGTTGAAGCCGCTTCAAGACTATGCGATTTCTTCTCCATGTCCTTCAAACGGATGTACTTGATGATATCATCACCAAAGTTCCCAAAAAGGAAGCGTCCGTCTGCCAGGGAGAGCAAGTTGGACCAGTTGACTTTAAGCACACAGAGTCGCTCTATTATGGAGTCAACTATGAACCCTTGAGAGTCCCTTTCGTAGAACTCAACGTTGTATTCACCTACCAAACTAAGCTTGATTCGCTTGACATGGGTGTCCTCGGGAAGCTCTAGCCGTATAGACCCTTCCACAGGTATGTTCTCGCATTCATATTCGTTTCCTTTGATCAAGACAATATCTTTATGGTCACCATTGAGCCTGATCTCGAACACGGGCAACCGACTCTTGAACATGACTATCTATTTGTAGGTAAAGCCATAAGTAAAGTGGTGACCAGGTGAACATTTTGGTTAATACTCGGATTTAAGTCGGAGTCAATTTGGATGTGCGGAAAGTAGATCCGGTCGTGGATATAGTAAAAGTCCGGGGTAACTTTGATTGGTTAAATTCTGTCGAAAGCAGAGCTCTTAATACCGTGCATTAGTAATACTATTATACTATGGTATATCAATGGTTCATAGGTTCATTGTAATTATGCTTAGGTTGAATACAATGCATATTGCTATAGTGATTTAACAGTAATGTAATGTATGTCCCAAATAGGCAACCAGTGTTGTGAATCACTCTAACAGAATATTCAACAGGTGACGAATGATCCATTTCCAAATATGGTAACGGAGTATTATTACCTAACTTCACGACACAGCTTGCCCAATTAAGTAATCTATTAGTATATAGTCTATTCAAGTCCATTGGTTAAATTTATGAAAGTACTCCTCTGCAACTTCAACACACCAGAAATCACCATTAGATTTAACCCAACCTAAATGGCCACCCAAATCAGTTTCAACCAAAACCACATTCGGGTTACGTTCAATGTCCATATATGGTAAACGACAACCGACTGCAGGATCATCAATGGAGTTAAGAACCAAAGTAGGCACTCTTATGTTTTTGATCCGATTAGCTGGTGAAACTTCCCGATAGTATTCCCATGGATTGTTGAACCCGGCCACACGGCATGTGAACAAGTCGTCGAACACCAAAGTCTTCTTGGCCCTCTTACATTTGGTGACGTTCACTTGGTTGAAGATCTCCGGTTGCGCTCCGTTCAATTCTCCGAAATTGTTGGTGACAATCTTCGTCAAGAACAAAGACAAGGAAGGGTTCAACAAATATTGCCCGGTATAGGAGCTGTTCAAATGATAATTGGAATCTACAAAGTCCCAAGGACATCCAATCAAACACGCAGCCTTGACTATGCCATCGTCCTGTGAAGCATCATCATGTTCTCCCAAGTAGTTGGCTAACATGGCTGCACCAAATGAGAAGCCCACGGCATATATTTCCCTTTTGGGGTATCTTTTCCGCATCTCTACCAACGGTTCCCGGACATCACCAGTGGAAAGACCGGTGAATAATTTACCCGTTGTGACTTTGGTTCTGCAACATCCTCTGGTGTTGATGACCACTGTATCCCAACCAGGACTGTTCTTGTGGATATTGTCCGCCAAGTTCCGGATCAATGGCTCGTGGCTTCCTCCGCCGAGTCCATGGAGCACCACCACCAATGGCTTGGTGATGTCTTCTTGACCGGCAGCCTTCCGGTCGGCCAATTCAGACTCACTGAAAAACCGGGATCGGGGGTGCAATTTTGGCCAGCCCTCAGGTAATGTGCTCTTATACTCTTCAACAAACTGGTGTTTGTCTTGTGGCTCGGGGATAACCCAATCCAATGAGCAAATACCTCCGTCCTTGTATGTAAAGAGCTCTCTCCCGTAGTAGATCAAGTACTTGTCGGAGCTGTCGTGTTTGGCATAGTAGAGAGTCTGTAAAGTACCGTTGAACAACAAAGGATGCAACCATAACTTCTTGTTAACGTCTAAAGATGGCATCGCGTTTTTGAAGAAGGTATCCAACCTTACCTTATCTCCGGTTGCGGTGTTAGCAATGACTGCTGAATGTTCATCTTTGCCTTGAGTGATGCGGATGTCGGTACGAAACCCCCAGTTGAAGATACCCATGGCTGAGTGGAAAAGAACTTGGTGAAGCGTGTTGTATGATAATTTTTGTTTGATGAATAACTCAGAAATATTGTTGGAAGTGCATGCGATGTGCCGAGGTTCGTCGGCATTAGTTCGGCATTAATTTTATTGCCGACAATGAGCGGACATAACGATATAAAGTGTTTTTAATGAAAATGTATATAAAATAATGCTCTATTCTATCAAGCGTTAGTTCCATGTGAACTGGAACTCTTGATGCTGGCCTCTTTCTTCATGCTAAAGGCTTCGATGGCCTTTTTAGACCGTTCAGAAGTCTCGCTATTGGCTAAATGGCCTCTATCATCTAAATCAACTGATCCAGCACTCTCAAACAACGAGACTTGACCTGCCAATAACCCCAAGGTCTCAAGAACTTGCGATGGTTCATTCAAATGAGCCGTTGCATTGGTCTTCTTAGACGAAGGTCCAACAGCAACAGGATAAATACCGTAATTGCCATATTCATTCTTGGGGATTCCATGTTCCAGCCAATCTTTCTGGATTTTATTCAAGGATCTAAACATATCTTCATCGGTCAAATCATCACCAAGGCATAACATGAAATCAGGAAGATTCTCAATGGCAAACTCGTCAACTTTCTCTTGAGGAATAGCATTGGGATCTTGTTTCTCACCATGAGGATGTAATGCTAATCTCTTTGCAATTTCTCCCTTGTTAACAAACTTGGGTCTCACTTCAATATTCGCCTTTCCGGCCATTACTTCAAGTTCATAATCCCTTGCAACTGTAGACTCCAATTCCTTGTGACACAAGTCTGCTTGGAATGCTCCCAATTGGTGATCTGATTTCCGGTAGTGCCAAGTCAAGGCAACCTTTTTCCGTTCAATAAATGACCCTGGGGTTCTGTCAGTATACTTTTGGAAGATCTCATCAACTTTCAATTGCCATGACATATCAAAAGAAGCTGCTAAATTGACCCATTCTTTTGAACCAAAGTCTTTCATGAAACATCCATGTTCAGCAGACATCCCGATATTCTTTGACCCCATCCATTTCTCCAAAAACGCTTGATCTCTACCGGAGATAACCCAGATTCTATTCTTGGGGTCTCTAGTTAAGGTATCCAAGATATCGTTCAATCTTTGGGAGGGTATGGCGGCCGCAGGATCTCTTACGATCGGGGTTAAGGTCCCATCATAGTCAAACAAAAATAATCTCCGCTTGGCCAGCTTATAGTTCTCGTATAACATGGGTCTATTCAAAGCAGGAGAATACGATTGACCACGAGTAGTAGCCACTTGTTTCAACACAAGATCAAGGAAACTATAAGTCCACGACTGGATGGTGTTCGAGACCACCTTCTTATATAATTTGGACTCCAACACAGCCCTTTGATTGTCAGACATGGTCAAACATTCATTTATGGTTTTGGCAATACCTACTGAGTCCCAGGGGTTCACAAGAATAGCTTCATCTAATACAGATGCCGTGCCCGTAAACTCAGACAAAATCAAGGGCGAATGGTTTTCCTTTTGACAAACCACGTACTCCAAACATGTGGTATTCATGCCGTCTCTAACCGAAGTATTCAATGATAAATCCGCTACTCTTAAAAGAGCAAGATACTCTGCCTTTTCGATTCTCATCTGATAGTGAAGCACAGGAGTCCAATTCAACGTTCCGTATTTGGAATTGACTTGGTTTACCAATTCGGTGACTCTCTTCTCTAACTTTGCCGAATGAGTATACCCGGGGGTTGATACTTGGATCAATACCACCTTGTCTCTCCATTCAGGATACATGTAAAGGAACATTTCAAAGGCCTGTAACTTTTGTTCCACGCCTCGGACAGAATCCAACTTGTCTCTGCCTACAATCAACTTTTTATCGTAATAAACGTCCCGTAATGCCTTCACTTTGTCTTCGACGTTATGATTGGCCGAGAACGCATCGTGTTCGATTCTTTTGGAGTCAATCCCAATGGGTAAAGTTGAGAGAGAGATTTCTGTACCGTAAGCAAGAACCTTATCCTTCTCTACTTCACAGCCTAAGATCCGAGCACAACAAGAAAGAAAATGTCCTAAAAATGATTCACTTTGGAAGGTGATCTTATCAGCCCCTAACATCCCATCTAAAAGTTGGGATCGCTTGGAAATACCTCTGAAATACTCCGACGAAGGGAAGGGAGCATGGAGCGACAATCCAATGTACGCATCAGGAAACTGCATCCGTAACAACTGAGGCAACAACAACAAATAATAATCATGAATCCAAATCACATCACCTGGTTTATAAATAGCTTTGATCTTGTTGTAGAATGCTTCATTAAACTTAACATAATCATGCCATGCATGAGACTCTGCCTTCCCATCAGATGGTTGACCCTGGATATAGTGGAACACCGGCCACAACACATCTTCGGCATACCGTCTCCATTTCAGCTGATCTCTTCTTAAAAGCCAAACAGGATGCACATGGTCAGACTTCAACGACAGAGTGATCTTAGATTCGATTTCTAACTTGTCATTGTCGTCCAAATATAAGGGATCATCCTTAATGTCTTCGATGGTACCAATGTGACTGGCCTTATTTGTCTTGTTGACCAACTCTCCTGTCCAGCCAATCAAATGCGTTTCCCACTCCGTGTGTTGTACCAAGTAGTTGTTACTGGAGAACACTGCCAGGTTCCCATGTACCGGTTCAACTTCCCATGAATACATCAATTCATTATTATTTGCGTCATCTCCATTGACCCGACATATACGTGCGGGCAACGTAGGCATAATATTGAGTACACGGCCACTAATTTGACATTGCGGATATTGTTTGGGCGTACATGGCTTGTCGCCGTCACAAGCATTCACATAGTCGTCAAATTGGCTCATTGTCACAATAGAATTTAATCACAATGGAATGGATGAAGCCCAGAGAAAGAAAAGGAGAAAGGTGTTGATACTTAAGGGCCGAATGCATAGAAGCAACGTCATATGAGGGGCCACGGCGTGCATTTTATGCACGTGATCAGAATGTGGGGCTAAGAGTGGGGGATTGCTGCGGTACTGTACGTTAAACGACTTTTTACAAACAAGAAGCGACATCAAATCCAAATTGGTCACGTGACTACTTTGCACTCATGAGATAAATGGGGAAAAAATTTGACGGCTAAACGTATATCCGCATATAGTATACCCTAAATTACATCCTTTTTCTTGTTCCTAATCATATCAATTATAATATACAGCTTTCAGGAAACCACACAATCACGAAAATAAAATAAACATAATATAAACTCAGACATTTCCCACAGTGCTCCAGTATAGCACCCTCATAGCATTAACATTACTCCTTTTGGTAATACTCTTCATCAATAATTGACACCATTGGGCCCCAATAGAATAAGACTATCGTATTTCTTAAGCACTTGGAGCAGCAGCTGTAGTAGCAGGAGCAGCAGCTGCAGATGTATCAGCATCTTCAGAAGACTTCTTGTAGTCTTCATAAGCAGTCAAAGCATCAGCAAAGTGAGCATTGAACAATTCATCATCTTCCAACAAGGCAATGATCTCTTGGTTATCCAAATCCAACATCATACCAGTGATCTTCCCGGCAGCTTCTTGTTCGTCAGCCTTACCGGTAGCAACGATCTTGGGGTACAATTCTTCACCCAAGATTCTCTTGTGTTGCTCTGGAGGAGAGTTGGCAATGATGGCAGCCAAGTCTCTTTGTTGACGACCTCCCTTACCATTGTTAGGTCCACCACGGTTGTTGTTTGGGTAGTAACCTCTTTGTTGACGGTTGTTGTTTTGGAAGTCTCCACCGTAGACTGGTGGCATCCCGTAAACTGGAACAGGTTGGCCGTTAGGACCAGGTCTTGGCCATTGACCTTGAGGTGGAGGAATTTGTCCTCTTGGCATCATCATTTGAGGGTTAGGGTTAGGGAATGGACCGTTACCTCTAGCATTTGGTGGGAAAAACCCTGGTTGTTGGCCGTAAAACATAGGAGGAATGAATTGACCGGGGATACCACCAGTAGCAGCAGCATTTTGCATTCTCATTTGGTTTCTGGCTTGGATTTGTTGTTCTAATTGAGATCTTCTAACATCCTTTCTTTGAGCCAAGGCAACGTATAATGGTTTCCCTAAAACCATTCTTTGATTCATTTCAGTGATAGCCTTAGTGGCTTCTTCAGGAGAAGAGAAACAAACAAAACCGAAACCCTTAGATTTACCGGTTTCATCAACCATAACTCTGGCAGAAGTAATGGTACCAAAAGGTTTGAATTCTTCTTCCAATTTTTCAGAATCAATGGTATCATCCAAGTTCTTGATGAACAAGTTAACACCTTGGAATTTAGATAACTTTTCCAATCTAGCAGATTCATATTGCTTTCTCAATTCTTCAGTTCTTTCTCTCTTCTTTTGAGCTCTACCAACGTACAATTTTTGACCCTTGATTTCCTTTTCGTTCAATTCTTCAACGGCCTTGATGGCAGCAGTGTGGTCTTCAAAGTTAATGAAACCAAAACCCTTGGATTTACCTTCTTGGTCGAGTTCCAAGACTGCAGAGGTAATCTTACCAAATGGAGTGAACAAATCTTCCAATTCAGATTGAGTGAATGAAGTGTCCAAGTTCTTAACGTAAACGTTGGTGAAGTTAGCCTTCATTTCTTCAAACTTTGATTCTCTGTCCTTCTTGGAAATGTGCTTCCCAACGAAAACAGTAAGACCATTCAACAACATACCGTTAACGTTCTCAATAGCAAATTGAGCAGAGGCGGCATCCTCATAATGAACAAAACCAAATTGTTTGGATTGACCAGCTTCATCAGTGGCAACCTTACAAGACAAGATCTTACCAAAAGTAGCAAAAGTGTCGTGTAAAGCCTTGTTGTCAATGGCAGGATCCAAGTTCTTGATGTAAATGTTACCGTCACCGTTTCTTCTCAAAGCAGGATCTCTTTGAGACCACATGATACGACAAGGACGGCCGTCAATGACGTGGTAGTTCAAATCTTCAATGGCTTTTTCTCCATCTTCAAACTTGTGGTAGTTGACGTAAGCGTAACCCAAGGATTTCTTGGTGACAGCGTCACGACAAACTCTGATGGAGGCAACTTGACCAATAGGAGAGAAGATCTCGTATAACATGGCTTCGTTGACAGATGGAGCCAATTCACCAACATACAAAGATGCAGATGAATCAGCAACAGGGTTAACTTCCGAAGATTCTTCACCGGAAGCAGATGCACCAGTAGCTGTAGAAGAAGCTTCGGTTGCAGCAGCAGCAGCATCTGCATCAGCAGCAGGTGATGCAGTAGAATCCAAGTTCAACTTCTCAAGTGCTTCTTCAACACGTTGAGTGGAGGCGTCAGTGGAAGACATGGTGATAATTTTTTTTTTTTTTAGATAATAATAAAGTTTTTTTTTTACTTTTTTAGATACGAACAAACACAAGCAAAAGGCTGCGGTACAATCCCTTTAACTATAAGTTTCGTTCTGGAGGAAATAAAAGACCGAGGGGTGATTTATCTGACTGTTGATGGTAAAGAACAGAGGTGTCTAATTGTTAGTTGTAGATCCTTTTTTGATGTAAAATTTTCACGGTGCTTTGGTTGAGCGCACGACCTCTTCGCGCGTTCACAGAAAACTAATGGGTTACCCGGACATGGTGCAAACATATACGGTGATAAGGGTTCAACGATAATACGATAGTACAAACAAATGTAATGTACGTCAATTATGCATAACTATAATACAATGGTTCCTAATTAGGCTCGACTTTGGGCTTGGGCGGCAAAGATTTGGGTACCTTCTTGGCAGCTGCTCCTGCTCCTGCTGCTGCTTCACTTTCACGTTCTTTAATCTTTGTGTACATATTGTGAATCTTCTTACTTGGAACTTTAGCTGGCCAATAAAGACTGGCATACGACCACAAGTGTTTATCGATTTTCTTTCTCTTATCGTAGTTGGATGTCTTTTGCACAACTGCCCCAATAAAATCACCAATCTCCAAGAGTTCTGTCTTTAAAATCTGTTTCCATTCCTCGGTGTCAATTCCCTTGGGTCCCTTATGTAACCGGACTAACGATTTGGAAACGGGCTTGAGTGTCAACTTGCAATGGCTTTCATCCATACTGTCGTATTCTAAATCGTTCTCTTCATGCTTGTGATTATTATGATGTGCTTTGTGTCCGCCGTCAAGTTCAATTGCAACATTCTCTTTGTTCGATGCTGGTGCTTTGGTCTTGGCTTTACCCTTCTTCCTCTCGAGCTCAGGTGATGTAGATCGTATATGATGCTGTGGCCCTCCACTCTTCTTAACTCCGCCGGGGGTTGGAGTCTCGGTTCTTGGTTTCCTAATGGATTTCTTCTTTATACCAGAACCGGTACCGTTCCCAACTTCTCCTGAGGGGCCAGACCCAGTCTCATCATCTCCGCGTAACAAACTGAACAAGTAATCGACTCTTCTTCCAAGATGAACGGATCCGGGAACCTTCTTGATCACTTTTTCTTCAACAACTTCCTTCTTAACTCCGTTACCTTCAGGTGTTGCTGAAGGGTTAACAGCAGCAACATCACCACCACCACCAGCTGCTACTGTAGCTGTGGAAGAGGCTGCCGCTGCGGCTGCTTTGGCATTGGTGTTCTCCAAATACAACTTGTTCTGCAATCCTAAAATAGGATCATCTCTAATTTGAACCCAAGATCCATAGCCAAACTTGTACACTCCAACTAAGAGCATAGCATCATCCTTCTCGGTCCAATCACATTGCCATTGCATTACTGGCTTTGCAGGTCGAGGAAGAACAAACAGAATTGGTTTCTGGGTAGGAATCATGCTTTCCAATAACTTCATGTCTTTTGGTCTATTCAATACCAATTCAGCATTGATATTTTTAACTCCTTGGTATTCAAATAAAACAGCCTTCTTTTCCTTCTTTTTTGCAAGCCATAAGGCCATAGGATTGGGTCCATCGGGGTTAACAATGCCTCTTTCCTTCAGTTCCATGGCCTTCGTTTCCAACTCTGCCAATACTTTAGATCTTCTAATCTCTTCCTCTTTAACTAACGTACGAGACATATTGATGATCTCGTTGTATGCATGTTTCACCAAAATGGGATTCTTGTTGGTGATACTTCCGTCTTCAACTAGTTGTTCCCATTTACCAGACAAATCCCCCAATCTCAAGATCGAACGATAAATACCTCTTACTTCCTTCTCGGATAATTGGTGGGTGTTACCCGCAGCTCTTCTTCTCCTAGAAGACTTGCTGTCTTCCTCCACTTCATCGTCCATATCAGTGTTTGTCTCTGAACCATCAGTCAACTTCTTGAGGGTAGCCTTCCGTCTGGAATATAAGGCAATTTGTTCCTTCATCCATTCTTCCTCTGCCTTTTGTTTCTCTTCACTCTTCAACCGTTCCAACTCCTCTTGAGGGATGATATCGTCCCATTCAATGTCGGCCTTATAATCCGTGACTTCAAACTGTTTCAAAAACTCTTCAGACCCCAAGTTCGACTCTCCAATCTCGGGAGTGGTGATATGGTCTTCAGCATGGTTTAAAACATCGTCCAAGTTCAACTCTTCCAATTTCTTTTGGTTATCTGTGGCCTTGAACATATTTCCTGCTCCAAACTTCAAGATTTGACTCAATTCAGAGACAGAAGGCTCTGTTTTATTCTTTTTAGAGGAGTTGGGGTCAGTAATACCCAAGGAAATAATGGCATATTCCAAAACCATTTTCTTTCTGGCTCTTTCCAAGATTTGCTCTTCAACGGTATCCTTACTGACAAACCGATAAACAGAAACATGTTTCTTTTGACCAATTCTATGGGCACGAGCCATGGCTTGTAAATCCGCTTGTGGGTTCCAATCGGAATCAAAAATAATCACCGTATCAGCAGTCATCAAGTTGATCCCCAACCCACCTGCTCTTGTAGAAAGTAAAAATACAAAGTCTCTGGAGTCCGGAGCATTGAAATGATCAATGGCTATTCTTCTTTGGGCAGAAGGAATCCCACCATCCAATCTCTGGAATGCATAGCCCTTTATCGACAAGTAATCCCCCAAAATGTCCAACATCCTAACCATTTGTGAAAATATTAACACTCTGTGACCTTCTTGTTTCAATCTGGTCAATAATTGTTCCAACAAAACCATTTTCCCGGAAGTCATGATCATTCCTTTCAAGATATTTTCTCTTGAAGAAGACCCGGAAGCCTCCAATACCCTATCTTCTGCCCCGTCGAACAAATAAGGATGGTTACTGGCCTTTTTCAACTCACTCATGACGTTCAAAAGCGAAATGGGGGACCCCTTGTTGCCTGCATTCAACGCAGAGTAGTTCTTGGTGATGATATTCCTGTAATATTCCGTTTGGATATCAGACAATTCCACCCGAAGAATCCTCTCTGTTTTAGAAGGTAGGGACTTCTCTACATCCTTCTTCAACCGTCTCAAGATAAATGGCCGGATTTTCTTTTGCAAATCTTTAATATATTGCTCCTGTTCGGCATCTGGGGTTTCAAAGTCAATTTCTTGTTCAATGTTGAATCTTCCAGGCATTAAAAAGTTGCACAACGCTGCCAATTCCTTCAAATTGTTCTGCAATGGTGTCCCGGTGATAAGCAATCTGTTTGCAACTTTGAACAGCTTCAATGACTCATAAAGAGAAGATTCTGCGTTCTTCAACCGATGGGCTTCGTCCACTGCCAAAAACTGCCATTTTATGGCCCCCAATTCGTTTCTATCCTTCAAAATATATTCGTAGGTGGTTAAAAGGACGTTAAATTTGGGTTTATTGTTGGTGTTGTAGAACTCATAATTCCGTATCATTCTCCGAGACTCGGTGTTCCCCAAATAGTAGATGCAATTGATATCTGGAGACCATTTTTCAAATGTTTCTTGCCAGGCAGGGATCGTGGATAAAGGTACAACTACCAAATGAGGTCCATTCTGTCTCCGGGCACAGATCAACCAAGAAAGGAAACAAACAGTTTGAACGGTTTTTCCTAACCCCATTTCATCGGCCAAGATCCCGTTTTCGTTTCTGGACCAAAGGAAAGCCATCCAATTCAATCCCGTCAACTGGAAGTCTCTTAATTCTCCATTCTTAACGAAAACCGGTTGTTTCACCAACTTTTCAAACCGAGGCCGTTGAGAAAGTGGATAGTTTGCCGAAAGATTGGGTAAGATCTTCAGCTTCAATCGTTGTTGGTATTTAGTCACCTGGTCAGGAGCTATTTGGGCGATTTCTTCAGCATTTTCCCAAGTGCATTCATCGTAATAAAGTCTTTTCCATTTACACAAATATTGCAATTGACTTTCTTCTCCTCCATTGACTTCAACCCTATCGCTATCAACTATCCGTTCCACTTGGGTATACTCTTCTTGTTCGTCTCTTTTCCGTTCCTTCTCAATGTCCATGGCTTCAATGTCTTCCTTGGTGGTCAAGGGGTCTGTTCTGATCTCCTGGTCCGCTATAATAAACTGCTTAATGTAGTTCTCCACCTTCCGGAACCCCTTTATGGCCTTCAAATCGTCCCAAGACTCCCAGGTGTTGTGCAAATGAGAAGCATCCGACCATTTGATTTTGAACAAGTAGTCCAACTTCGCGTCGTGCGTGAGCTCCGAGTTGTCTTCATTCAACCTGTGGTCCATCACTTGATCAATGCCTCGTTCACTGGCACCACTATCTCCGTCTGCAGTAGTCTGTTGTTGTGCTTGTTGGTAGTAGTAGTAGTCGTCTTCTTCAACGTCGCCGTCGATCCCTTCGTCATTGTCCACACCGTCGTAACCTTCGCCTCCGCTTTCCATCAAGTCATCGTCGTCTTCATAGTCTACCACGTAGTTAACCTTCTTGTTGTTGTTCCGGGTCGAGAACCTTAGCTCCTGTGGTATGACGTTGGCCTTGGCCTTCTTCTTGCTGTGACTCGTCTTACTCGTCTTCCTACTGACTTTGATCTTGGTCCTTCTCTTCTTGGAAGACACCATATACTCGTCGTCTTCATCGTCGTCATCAATGTCGTCAATGTCGTCCAGGTCGTCAAGTTCTTCGTCGTCCATGCCATCATCGTATGCGTCTTCTAGTCGTCTGGTCCGTTTCCGACGCCGAGGAGCTTCGTCTTCGTCGTCATCGTCACTTTCCACCAAACTATGTACTTGTCGTCTTTCTCTGTGTGATCGCCTGAGTCCGTAGAGTTCCGGGTTTAGCTCGGCTTCTTCAGGCACAAATACTTTCACCATGTCTGCCAGTGTCTGTATCAGTGGAGACTGTGTCTGTCTTTTTATCTGTCTCTGTCTGTCTCTGTCTGTAGACTGTGACGGTCTGGATTTATCTGTCTGGATATGTCCTTTGATCCAACTGTTGTTGATGTTATGTTGATTATTTTGTATGGGAAAAATTTTCAACCACCACCGACAACGTCAGGGTTAAAAAAATTGTATGGGACACTGCTAAGGGGGAACTACGGGTACAAGAATCTGGACCATTCCATGGGTTAGAATACATTCAATTGGAAAACTATAAAAGAGTCAACGATTCCAACATTGGAATTTGATGATAATTAAATTGCAGACTAATTAAGTTAGTAGAAACAGCTTGACGCAGCTCTAGTCACCATCGTGTATAGGGCAGCGTAGCAACAACAACCATAATAATAACAGCAACAACGTCACCTTCAACATCAACAATAACAACAACAGCTGTAATACCATTATGTCGCACCTCTGCAGTGCTCTTTGACAGCTTCAACAAGTCAATGGACACTAGATGAGATTGGCTATGGGTAGGAGATGATTTGGAGATGAGCCACTTATTGCTAACAAATCACTTCAACAAACCCACTCCATAACCATATCACCATTGAGTATACGGTAGCCTAACTAATACCTTTATAGGGCCCAATATCCCCCATATACAATTTCCTATTAGTCAATGAACCATATAGAGAATTTAAATGGTCTTCTTATCCAATAAGAAAGGTGTTGGTACAAATTATTTCTCACCCATAAATGTTATGGATCCCATAACCCAAACCCAACCCCATAGCTTAGTCCACAATTATGCTAGTCCCCATTGCGTAACATGGCTTAAGCTGTTTCCATAGTGCTAATTGCCAAAGATACGTCTGATGGTCCATGCACATTCAGAAGGCCAAATGGACGCCATACTGAACCCCCAACAACAATGACCACCACCAGCAAAAATGACAGTAACAGTGTGCACTGCCAACACCTGTAAACCAACAATCAACAATAAGCCATTGGAAGCGCGATAACACCATATTATGCAATGGCCATCGTCTTTGATACGTGTCTGGTCCATCAGAACTTCATCAATCACTATCCGAGCAGCCGTAATTTACCACTACCCATAGTGATAGTATGGGCAACGAGACTCGTCAAATAGCAAGATAGTACGCCACAAAGACAACCATCAAAGAGTAAAATTTACAACGTAATTAAACGCTCAAAAACCTCTAGAACTCAACCGGCGTTAACACTACCACCTAACGTCTTATTAGTTGGTGTCATCATATGAATCCTGTAGTTGTCTTAGAAGAAGAAGAAGAAGAAGAAGAATATTTGTTTGGGAAATTTGTTCGGGTTTTTGCTGCAGTTGAAATTGTATTTTTATTGTGCTGTACACGATAATTAATCACGTGATTAGAGAGGACACAGTTAAGATTATGTTATGCAAAGCAAAACACCTGTTAAATTTACGCAATGGGTAATAAGCTTGAATGGATATTCACTTAGATTTATCAAAGTTATGCTCTATGCTTGTGTTTACGAGCAGTTGCATTAAGCGGCTATTTTATGTAAAAGCGTCAAGCTACTCCACTCGCTAGGGTACTCACCCAAATTGGCATGTGGTAGCGCGGACTTTCATCAACCCAATACATTGCTGGAGTTCCTAGCAACAAACCTAAGTGACTCTATATAAAACTAACAATAATAATACATTACTTCCTTTTTCCAGTAATATTTAGTATATAACCTCAATCTCTCCTCCCCCCCCCCTTTATTAGCCAATCACCAGCCAGCATTTACTAATACCGTACATCTGGTTTCAGGGTCGTGTACTAACCGGCTGCAAGTATACCAAAAAGCCGTTTGTGTAACAACATGAAAATTTTTATATATCAAGATGACATTGACTACTAAAACAACTTAACTAACCCTTTACAATAAGCAAGCTCCCCATTCATCAACAACAATGAGTTCCAAGACACATAGTTCCAAGAATAACGGGAGTTCCAGCGATAAGAACACCAGAATCGCCATCATCAATGACGACAGATGCAAGCCCAAGAAGTGTAGACAAGAATGTCGTAAGGGGTGTCCCGTTGTCAAGACCGGGAAGTTGTGTATTGAAGTGACTCCAGCGTCTAAGCTTGCCTTTATATCCGAAACATTATGTATTGGTTGTGGTATCTGTGTTAAAAAGTGTCCCTTTGATGCCATTACCATCATCAATTTGCCTACCAATTTGGAGAATGAAACCACCCATAGATATTCCGCCAACTCCTTCAAGTTGCACAGATTGCCCACTCCTAGACCCGGCCAAGTGCTTGGGTTGGTGGGTACCAACGGTATTGGTAAATCTACTGCGTTGAAGATCTTGGCAGGTAAACAAAAGCCTAACTTGGGTAGGTACGATGATCCTCCAGATTGGGAAGAGATCTTGAAGTACTTTAGAGGTTCGGAATTACAAAACTACTTCACCAAAGTGTTGGAGGACGACATTAAGGCCATTATCAAACCTCAGTATGTGGACAACATTCCTAGAGCCTTGGCCAAATCTCCTGTGAAGCAAGTGGGTAAGGTTTTAAAGGCTAAGTTGGGTAGAAAGGACCAATGGGATTACATTATCAATATTTTGGAATTGACGCATGTTATGGATAGAGACATTGAAAACTTGTCTGGTGGTGAATTACAAAGATTTGCCTTGGGTATGACTTGTGTTCAAGATGCCAATGTGTATATGTTTGATGAGCCTTCTTCCTATTTGGATGTCAAGCAAAGATTGAGAGCCGCTGAAATCATTAGATCTTTATTGGACGTTTCTACCTATGTTATTTGTGTGGAGCACGATTTGTCTGTCCTAGATTATTTGTCTGATTTTGTCTGTATCTTATACGGTGTCCCCTCAGTATATGGTGTGGTCACTTTACCCTCATCTGTCAGGGAAGGTATCAATATCTTCTTGGACGGGTTCATTCCAACTGAAAATATGAGATTCAGAACCGAATCCTTGCAATTCAGATTGGCCGATACCGCCGAGGGTTTGATCTTGGATCACACTGCTGAATTCGAATATCCAAACATGACAAAGACTCAAGGTGATTTCCGCTTACGGGTCGAGAAGGGTGATTTCACCTCTTCAGAAATCTTGGTCATGATGGGTGAAAACGGTACTGGTAAAACCACCTTCTGTAAGTTATTGGCTGGTGCCATTGCTCCTGATAACGGCTTGGAGATTCCCAAGATGAATGTCTCCATGAAACCTCAAAAGATTGCTCCTAAATTCCCTGGTACTGTCAGACAATTGTTCTTCAAGAAGATTAGAGGTTCTTTCTTGCATCCACAATTCCAAACCGATGTGGTCAAACCTTTGAAGATCGACAGTATCATTGATCAAGAAGTCCAACATTTGTCTGGTGGTGAATTACAAAGAGTTGCCATTGTGTTGGCCTTGGGTATACCTGCCGATATCTATTTGATCGATGAGCCTTCTGCTTATTTGGATTCAGAACAACGTATTATCTGTGCTAAGGTTATTAGAAGATTTATATTGCATGCTAAGAAGACAGCTTTCATTGTGGAGCACGATTTCATCATGGCAACTTATTTGGCCGATAGAGTGATTGTTTTCGAGGGTCAGCCTTCAAAGGACGCAGTTGCTACTGCCCCACAATCATTATTGACTGGTTGTAACCAATTTTTGAAGAACTTGAATGTTACTTTTAGAAGAGATCCAAACTCTTACAGACCAAGAATCAACAAGTTGGATTCTCAAATGGATAAAGAGCAAAAGGCTTCTGGTAACTATTTCTTTATTGAGAACACGGAGTTATAGAGTATTTTCAGTTCTCTTATTATGTACATTAGTATTAATTGAATGACATTGTTCATGCATGATATACGAGGTATATTGACCTCGTAAAAGGTATTCAGTTGAGTATGTGCGCACGTGCCAAAAGGTAAAAAGTAAATATACGAGGCATATATAGTGAAATCATTATTATTCTGAGTAACTTTAGTTTACACATGCAGTCCCGATAACGAGAGATCTCAACAAATGTAATTACGATTAGGAATTACGACTACAGTTTAGTAAGATTTGGGGAAATTGTCCTACTATCGAAATTAGGTTTGCCGCTGCCTTTATGTCAGCTGACTGTAAGTGTGTACAATGTGGACATAACCAACATTCTAACAAGAACCGAATAGAAAGAATATGCTCTCAAAATGAAACAAATAGACCTATATTCACATTATTTACTAGTTATTCAAATTCATCTCTAGGAATTCTTAGAGTCAATATAAAGCGAATTCAACATCTCCACGTGATGCACTTCTTTGGCCCGCAATCTAACGGCCGATAATGTAACTAAAATTCTTGCAGTTTTTTATACCAAATATCTTAGCCAGTTATAATTGTCAATCGTTAAATAAAATTCAACTATCTATATACCACGCTCATCAACGTTTAAGTGGCGCTAATTACCCAATAAATACTTCTCTTTACCCACGTCGAGAAACTTAACATGCCAGATAAAGTAAACCCCAAGAGCTAAGAGTTTTAAAATAGAGTTGCTGATTTTCAAAATAAAGAAATAAGGAATGCAGCTGATAGCAGCAACAGTTAAAAAGAATTTAAGATCGCTGTCCATATTTTATCGATAAATTGGTATAATAGATCTTATAACAGTGTAATGCAATTTCGTAAAATTATTCTCATTCAAAAAAATCAGAAGACGCCACTAAATTTATATATATGAGGAACCAGTCGCGTATGCTGCTGTCCTTTTTACTTTTTGCATCGTGTGCAAAATTGAATGGTATATCTCGCCACCTGATTCGTACCAAAGTGTTCATTTTAACCAGATTATATTGTTGTGAAGGATTCTGTATATTCCTGTAATTTGGTACCACTTCAACAGATGCTTCTATTTAGTGGTCTTCCTTACGTGCTGAACGGTACTAATCTAGCCTGAGGGTTGAACAAAGTTGTCACATATTTTGCAGCCACAGGATGCATTCCATGAACAACTGCTCGGTGGCCATGAAAGAGTGTCATATATAATGAACATGTTTAAGTATAAAAGTAGTTCCCTATATTAATTGGTGGAGGACGATGGCGCTTACGCCTCGTAAATGAGGCTGATAATGCATGAAATTGAAAAAAACTTTTATGTCTTTAGAGAGTCTTCGTATTCATGAATATTGCCTCTTAATCATGAGCTCCGGGTTTCTGTCAAAATGTTCCTTATTTCGTTGCAATGGTCGATGTTTATGAGCAAGTGTGGACATACATTGGAACATTAGTATCTATGTTAAAAGGTGCATCAGGTTTGCCCAATTGTATCACCACTGTTTTAGTGAGATATTCATTAAATATCTAGTGAGGCTTTGTGTCCCATAATATAATAAAAAAGGCATAAAGGCATACAAAAAATGGTGATCTACGAATTTTTTTATTTTATTTGTATTAATCGGGATCGCTATTGCACAATTTTGACAGCACCTTGAAACTTTTGAGATCACGATTGCCTTAAGGCTTTCTTCATCTTGTATTTGTAGCACTTGAGAACGTGAGTATTTGTTCCAGTGTCCAATTTAATGCTCCACTGCATTTGGTTCTTAACTAATTATGAGCGCTTATGCTCCGTGAAACAGTTATTTAATAATTTGAAGGCTAGGGCTCAGTGAAAGTATTAAGATAAATAGCTTTTGTCAGATATCAAACCAGATATACCCAGCGTATTAATCAATTGACATTGTTCATGTTACTTTGTGTTGATATACGAGATCTATTGACCTCTCAAATCATATACAAAACATGGTATAATAATTACCTTGAATTCAAATATTCTAAGCGTCTTTAGTTAACTCATACGGTCCAGGAAACGGGTGATCACCACAGGCATAGCTATAATTAGGAGTTCCTTTTACAAGATTAAAGTTGTGGGAAATTTGCTTATTCTCGAAATTTGGTTTTGCTCTTCCTTTACTATCAGAATGTCTAAAGTAATTTACTATATGCTCTTTCTAGAGCGATGAAGGAGATAACCAACATTCTAGCAAGCATCCATATCAATACAGAAATAGAAGCAAACTCCATCTAAATTCAGCAAAGTGAACTAAATTAAAACTATTTGCTAACTATTAAAGTTATACACTCACATTTAGAAATACTGATCTTTCTCGATTGAATAAAACTTAGCCCTTGCACAGAGTGAAGTATGCCCAACTGGATGGCCCTATAGTTAAAGCGCCTCTCCAGTTATGATTATCTGAGATTATAACGCAATAACATTCACTCGACCATATTTCTTCAAACGTTACCAAAGCCCAAAAGATTGCTTTGTGTATTATCTTTTCCTCAGATTTCGTTTTACATTCCTGGTTTACTGGGGAATACCTATAGTAAACCTCACCGATACTACCTTTCCACAGTGTACACCGTTATTCTTTCAGTTTCCAATTGTTCACCATGGCCATAACGGAGCTACGAAATTGTGCTCCAGAATCTAAGACTTTGTTATATATATTTATATTATTCACAAAAGCATCATCACCGACTGCAACTTTTAAAGTGGACTCACTATTAAGCCCCAAAGGAGCATTTAAGTCAGTTCCTGCCAATGCAACAGTTATTGCGAAGAATATATAGTAAAGTACACCACCCAACATATTACCAAAGATGTATAACTTGGGTAGAATATGGGAGTGATAGAGAAACTATAGTTTATATAATCAGTGTGGCCTTCGATGGCGATTATTTAAGCTTCGTTTGTATTCATATACATAAGAACCAAAAGGGGCTTCGCTTACATAGGTGGTCAAAAGTAGAAAGGGCTTTAGCTACAACAATTTCAGACGCATTAAAATAAGCTTGACGCCGGATATTTTATTATATCCGCATTCGAATTTGGTAAGAACGATTCGTATATTTCTAAAATCAACCAGAATTTTATATGAAAGTCATAGTGGTTTACCGATTAGATATGCTGAATAAGTTAAATATAGCAAGTGTCATTATATATAATTGAAGTAAAAAATAATCTTTATTATAGTTCTCGTTGAAGGAGAAATACCGTGCAAGTGCACGACAACACAGTCAACAAAAGTATAAAGAGTCTATCTTCTGACCATTGAAAACAACAATGTTACAGCTTTACATAGCCTGATATAATCTTAGGTATACCTTATAACATATTTACTGCTTTCTTGATTTGCTTGGATATTTCTTACGTTAATATTCTTACAAATACTTTAACCAGACTCAAATCCTGCAGATGACGGTGTGCGGGGCTCTTGCTTATTTCCTTCTGATGCTTAAAGTTAGACGCTGACCAATATCCTACCTTCCCTCCTGTAATATACTGCTAAATGTTTACAAACTTAATTAGAGTAGCTTGGTAAGCTATGCTCCCAGTTCAAGGGTCATATCATAATAGTTCTGATTTATTAATAATGGCTTTTGATCGAATGATTAGGCTTAGCTATTTCTTGCAATGGTTAGTATATGTTTTGAAAATATGAGGATATAGATTTGTTTCAAAAATATTTGAATTAAGCGCTATCTCATGAAATATACGGTATAATTATGATTAAGTGCTATCTCACAATATTTAAGGGTATAATTACGTTCGGTTATAGTTAAGTCTCGTAATGATTCGGATTTAGCTCCTAAGGATTTGGACTTTCGGGTAAATATTAGACTTTAGCTCTTATTTGTAGTTTCTTTGTAATGCGAAAGGAAGTTAATAATGGTCGATATTAGTAGCCGCACTTAATGAGATCATGATTGTAAATGTGAATAGCCTCTATAATATAGTATACAGTCGTGCAATGACCAAAGAAATATCCGATCGTGCGACGTCAAACGATTGCAAAAATAAAGAACTAATGAAAGTAATTCATAACAATAATTAGAGCAAAAACAAGTACTATACTCTTTTATATCGATAGTACAACTATCCTTCCCGTATCAAATAAAAAGCAACCTTTGTTTTATTGGATATTAATCTATATTGAGTCATCGGCAGATGGGAATTACATCACATTATTGCTTTGAATAATTGTTGATACATCAGTAATCATGAAGTTATACACATCAGAGTTGACAGAATGTAGTCTACCATTATAATGAAGAACCAATACAGTTATTCATACTATTCCACTAGTAAGTATCCTGAACTTAGTCATTCAACATGATAGTAGGTATCCTGACCCGATATTAGTTTAGCCCCTTAATAACTCCATGGTACATCTAATGTGATACGTCAATCATCAACTTGCACGTGAATGAAGTCTGGCAACCATCATTCTGGCAAACACTACCAACAAATTTTCAACACCCGATGCTAACCACAATATTCATAATTCAATTGACCTAAAATACGACTGATATCAGTCTAATACTAATGATTACCTTCCGCTTTGGAACTACTCCCAAAGTCAGCTCTTTTATAACAACTCCTACTCATTGGTGATACGAAAAACCAAAAATCTTTTTTTTAATTCCCGGTAATGACCATTTTGTGTCGCTAAATCTAACACAGTGCTACCATTTTGTCATCCAAAATGGATTCCAAAAAGGGCATCCAAAAATCCACCAAAAAATCGACTTTTGCAACAACCCTCCGACATTACTATCATTGGATTCAGCTTTCAAAGGCGAACAAGATGATATACCGTTAGCAGACTTAAACGAAGGCTATGTGTGTGTATAATGCAATATAAAACGCCCTTGCTACCCTGTTTTACCATATCCCCATACAGAATCCAAATATTATAACTACGTCAATATTACTACGAACCCGACGCTCTTACTACCCTTTAGAATCTCTTCTCCGACGATCAATCTGTTGTAATTTTATGGTGCTACCATAAGTTAATATTTGGTAGCACCATATCTTTTGTTGATTGTTCTGGTAGCACTGATTATTATTTTTTTTTATTTTATTCTCGTTCGTTATTCGGTATTTTGCAATCGTTGTATGTGTTAAATGTATTATACTGGATAAGTAAGAGCTACGTGATATTGCTATTTTTTTATGGTTATTTATTTGAGATAAATGTCTTTAACTTATAAAATCAGACATAGAAGTAGTAGGAGAAGAAACTTCACTCCACTCTGGTTGACATTTGAACACCCCCTAAGTGGGTTCGCTTCGCCTTGAGAACTAGTGCTACTACTAGTGCTACTACTAGTTGGTCCGTTACCAGTACCAATTGCCGTAAATCTCTCAGTATTCTGTGTAGAATGTGTATCAGTGATAGTTCCCCTAAGTGGTGGAGGTGATGAATTATTATTTCCGTTTGTCAGTTCGGTTGTAGGTTGGGTTTGACTACGTATTGACATAGTCAGGCGGGTTGTCAGTATCAGACTTTCTGTCAGGGTCAGGCTTTGTGTCAAGGTCAGGTTTGATGTCTGGGTCAGACTTGGCGAATTCACTGTTTTCAGGGTTACATCTGAGGTAATATCTGCAGAAGTTTGCGTTGGTGTATTGGTATTTTGATTGTCTGTTGTGAGACCTGCATCAGTCGTCCAGTAGTAATTCAATGGGTCTTGAGAGACACGTATAGTACGATACCCATTAACAAAAGTGTAAGTATCTGTGTAGTATGAATAATACCAAAACGAGTAAGCAGTTCCCCCATATGTAAAATAATGTGGAATAAAACTACCCTCGTTGTAAGTCACCGGTTCAGTATTGCAGTTGGTATAGTAGTTGGTATAGTACGGATTTCTGGTAACCCTGATTATGGTGTATCCATTATTAAAGGTGTAGGTTCCTGTCCAATAAGAGTAGTAGAGAAAAGAGAATGTTGTACCAATTCGAGGGATATCCCAAGTAACGTACGGTCCATATCCACCAGCTTTATCAACTTGGGTAATTTGTGTTAGAGCAGGAGATTGTTGGTTATTTGTAGGCGGTACAACTCGGACAGTGGGAATAGGAGGATTTTCGTCATCCATTGCCTTTATAGCTTCAATAGTTGGAGAAGGAAAAGCCGCATATACTTTGGCCTCAACTGCCAATGCGTTTCCAAATGGTACCAAGACCATAGCCGTCAACACGGTCACTATAGCATTGAAATTCATTATGTTAATGAAAATTAAAAGAACTCGAAGGGCTTTTTGAAAATCTGAAGGTCCTTTTATACCGTTAATTGACCGATTCCAACAGCAGCAATCGTAAACCCAGGGGCACTATTGCAAAATATGCGGTTAGTGGTATCAACTCTGTACACACTTTTTACCTAGCATTTACGTATGTTAATACCTGTATGACATAAACTGTGTAAGGTCCAACATAGCACTTTTCCGTAACAAAATTTTAGAGATTAGCATATACTTTTCTTGACAGACATCATTGTGCTAGCTTATCACAGGTTGCAGTCAAATACTATACTCTCTTTCTTCAAAAAGAACATGAGGAAAGTGATAGCGGAAAATGCACCATTGGAGTTAGTATAAAATACTTTTTGCGTTTTACTGTATGTGGAATTGATGATGGTTGCCGCTCTATGGGTCGTAAACAAGGACGCAAAATTAACTTGCGTATGACGGCTAATGGCCAGCTGTATCTTTGAAACCTTTAAGTAAGTTAAACCAACTAATGCCGTAAAATAAATCTTAGTGACTAACAAAACTCTACATGTGAACGAGTGTCATTATTTTGGTATCTGACAAAGATGAAGGCTTGAACACGAGATGTTTAGTTTGCTCTCTCAACTGACGTAACTTTAAAACACAATATGATAATTCTAACAAGGGATCCACATAAATTGTGTATACAATTAAAAACACCCATCAGTGAAACCTTGCAATTCATTCATCTTAAGTTGGTAGCACTTACTCAGACCCGTTGGTGACCTTTTACTAACGAAAATGGAAAATATCATGCCTTGAATCGTCCAACGCTAATGGTGTAAATACTAATCAAACATTGCTTCTCTGGATTATCGACTACGTCTTCTTGATTGCTTCAAATTATTATCTATTGTCCCTAAGCTCTCACGTATTCGTATAACGAGTCACACAAAACCACACTGTCTTGTTTTGGTCCCCGTCGTATATTATGTACATTCCCAATTAAATTGAATTGTAAGGCTTTATGTATCCCAATCGTCATTCACTTACACCCCTTTTACTTTGACAACAGCCATAGTACTCTTTTGTGCCAACTGAGCAACCCATTTGCTACTTTCCTATTCAGAGGGCCTAGTAGACCATCTTATCGGTGCTTTTCCACGTATCGTTGGTCTGATATCAATACATTGTTTTGATTACTCAGCAAAAGCTGGTCCAAGGTTCCATGCACTAAGTGATCTCTTGTTCTTTTTAGGACTCGTGTTGCAGTTATTGTTTACGGAAGCTCTCTCTTCGCCCGGCCTTTCGTACGTAACGCATATGCTAGTCGTACATTTCATCATTCGTAGCCTAAAATGAAGACTGAACTCCGAGCATGTCTTTCTACTTTGAACCAGAATATACGAGCTCCGTATTTTGTTTACAATTGTCTTACGTGTTAAAGCAGGCATAGCACCCGCTTAAGAATAGGAAGCCAAAATCGTCTTTTATCTAATCGTCAAGATTGACTTTAACTGGCACTGACTAATCAATAAAAGAGTTTTGTGATATCATTGGGGGGAGAGAAACCCCATACATTAATAGGGGACTTACCTTCCTCGTGTCATGTTGATTTGTACTAGATACAGCTAGCTCGCATGCAGTAATAGCAACTTCTTCAGTTATCGCCATTAGATTCTAGTCAGCATTTAGAGATCCTCTCTTTTAGTTAATGAATGTCGATAATGATACAATCTGCCGTTTTGTTAAATTCAGCACGTACAAAGAAAACTGTACTACGAACCAATAATTACTCCCAACCAAATTGCATATGGCCATATGACCGCCAATGGTAACAGAATGATGTCATTCTGTAGAAGTTTTCATTAACGGATTTTTCTTCAAAAATACCATATATTCACGGAAAGTAACTAGAACTATATTATGTACAAAACCATGAGAATATTAATTGGAAGAGATCCAACTCTCCAGCTGTGACGATTTATTTTAGTATATATTATTCTAGGGGGAACTAAAAGTATAACACTACATTCACAACATACATTTACGCCTTTTTAGAGACATCTTTCCAAAGGTGTACTATATGTGTAAACCTTACTTCTCCTCACAAATTGGCAACTTGTCCGAGTGGTTAAGGAGAAAGATTAGAAATCTTTTGGGCTTTGCCCGCGCAGGTTCGAATCCTGCAGTTGTCGTTTTTTTTTTAATTTCCTTCCAATACCACTTAACACCAAACCAAATACCGTAAATAAAAGCTAGAAATAGCTATACCGTTTGCTAAGCTACGACTTTCATACAGCCACATACTCCCTTGCAGGTTTATTTTTATCATATGCCTTACGCCTAGGTTGCAAGTTCACTATGTTAGCTCAGTGATTTTTGTATAGTAGTTTCGTACTGCACTTCGCCCATAGGCATCTCATCACAGAAAAAAACCTATTGAGATGAGATCCCATTATTAACAGTAACACTCTATTCCTAAGGATACCAATAAGATAAGATAAGATGCAGTTAGCTGTTCGACAAGAAGATGCCGATGTGCTTCTTAAGGAGAAGAATCTTCTCACCGCTTCTGTTCTTGACAAGTACCGTACTGCTGGTCAAATTGCCGAAAGTGGACTTAAGTATCTCATCGAGCTCATCAATTCCAGTTATCACTTTCAAACTTTAGGTCGCCAATTGAGCGTACAAGAGCTCTGTGTTATGGGGGACTCCTATATTGCTGCATTATTGAACCGAGTATATGTTGATAAATCTCAAGTCAGAGAAAAGGGTATCAGTCATCCTACTGCTATTGAAGTTAACCAATTTACTGGTACTGGATTCAGTCCTGAAGTTGATGATGTAAGACCATTTATGTTTCAAACTGGTGATTTGGTTGCTATTTCCTTAGGTGTTCATATTGACGGTTACACTGCCAATGTTTCTCATACTCTTGTGATCTTCCCTCCAAATCCTACCAAACCTGATGGTCCACTTTTGGGTCCAAAGGCAGACTCTGTTATTGCTGCCCATATTGCGGCTGAAACAGTGGTTGGCTTGATGGCTTTAGCTAGTAAGCCTGAAAAGCTTCCTAAAGAGTTTTTGGGTACTGTTGCTACCTCATCATCCAATACTACAATCACTGGTCACACTATAAGACAGACAGTAGATGAAATAGCTAGACAATTTGGATGTGTGGTTGTTCCTGGTAGTAAGGTAAGAAGAATCAGAAGATTTCTTGCGGGTCAAGCCGAGGGGATTGTTGCCGAGAGAGATTTCAAAGGTGTGGTTTGGGACGAACTGCATCAAGAAGTTGAATTATTAACTCGTTACCGTAACCAGAACCTGAAAGAATCTCAAGAGATGACCATTATCTCTAAAAAGGATATTAAGGAAATAGAAGCATCGCATAGTGCTATCCCCACAGATGAATTTGTAGTGGCTAAAGGTGAAGCATATCAGGTGGATATCCGTATGGTTAGTGTTGCTGAATTCAAAAACGAATTGGGTATAGTTACAATTGAAGAAGTTGACAAATACACTGGTAAGAACCATGCTAAGACTACTTTCAACAGTCAACCTACCATATATGTTCGTGATTATGCTATGCATCACCAATTAAAATTGAAGACTTCCAGGCAATTACTCGGTGCCATCGACAAGAAGATTGGTGTCTTCCCATTCAAGCTTACTCATTTGTGTGATTCTTTCCCTCTTGATATTGATGCTAACGGAAACGTTGATGGTGAAATCCTTCAACGTCTTGCTAAAGAAGTCACCCAACGTAAATTGGGAGCCAATGAATTGTCAAACCGTCATTTGATTGAATCCCGTCCAATTCAATTGGTTAAGTTTGTTCCTCTTAAACAAATCTTGTTATCCAGTAACCCAACTGGTCGTCAAGGTGTTGATGCCAATAAACCAGTTTTACCAGGAATGGAAATTCCTTTGCCTAACTTGGGTATAAGCTCTTTGAAGTTGAAGCTGTTGGTCAATAAGCATGGTCGTAGTATAACTGAAGGTGGGGTTGCCCGTGAATTAAAGAGTATTGTCATTGGTGGTGGTGAAGATTCTAAAAACGATGCTGTTGATGCTATCAAGTTGACTGGTAACTACAAACCCAGCTGGAGTCACTCACAATATAAGCTTCAAGGTCCTTTGCAATCTGCCATTCAACAATTGGACTTGTTGATGAAAGACAAGAGATTCGGTATCTCTATAAGACAAGTCATGCCTTTGAGTAACTTATTCAGTCAGATTGACGTCAAGCAGGCTGGTGATATGAACATTGATAACTGAAGAGATATAGGGAGTAATAGCTTAGTATCTGATAGACATATTTATATGTATAAATATTGTAGGAATTTCGGGTAAGTCAATTTGCAACCTTTTTGTACTACAAATGTTTAAGTAAGCTCGCGACTACCATTTGTATGAGATCTCAATTACCACAGTTCCGATGCACGTGATTTAAGGCGGGCCTACACTAAAAAGTGGTTCTATAGCCGCAGGTATTGTATCTAGATGCATATTTGTCTGTCTGTCTGTCTGTTTGAATCATATCGTCCATAATAATAATATTGTGAGTAGTTATTTTGCAAGTGGGGCAAATACAGAAGAGGCGGTGGGAGGCGGTGGGAGAGGACCCAATCAATTGTCGACTGTTGGACGACGACGGAAAATTTCTTACCCCAATCCGTGTCTGATATGCGGTGTCGAGATTTTATTGTAGCAAGGGGAACAATAACGGGTTTGTTTTTATTTCCCTTTTAGACAATATTCTCTTTTGTGCAATACCAATAATGATATTATTGGCTGGAAAATGTGAAAATCTGGCTGACAAAGAAAAAGACGTCAAGCCGTGAAAAGGTCGTGTACATCAAAGTCCTATGTCGGAAAATTTGGTTGAGTCTAGAATTAAGCGCAAAATTTCCCTTATAAAACATGACAGAGAGAAAACTTTTAACGTCTTTGGTACAAATAGTGACAAAGTACATGGTAGCGCATACAATAAAAGTCTGATTTTATTGGACCTATACATCTACGCAAAAGTAAGTAGGTAAGTAACGTTGAATGATATAAAATTTGCCACAACCCAAGTCTGGTGAGAAACCTCGAAATGTCACTTTGGTAGCGCTGTTATTTGACTACCACTCTTGGCCGCGTTCCAGACATTCGTGGAAGCAATCACACAAATAAGGCAAGTACAACTTAAACGTAAAGCTACAATAAAATAAGAGTGAATCAGTGGTAAACCTGTCGCCATCAGTTGATATACTACAATTAAGCTACCATGATGACAAGGATAGATATTGCGAGAAATCAATGTAATAGTACGCCATGATATTAAATGTGAAAATGAAGTAAAAATTAAAACATAATAAAATGTCGGTCTGCGATACCATGTGCCTACACACGACAACTATTGTCCAACTCCCCCGGTCGTGTGCTCTGTGTCTGACATAGTTCTCCCCCCTTTCTGTCGGGTTCGTTGACTCTCCATTTGCTTGCCAATTTTTCTTCCAGTGGGCAAAGTTGACAAGTTTGTTTTTTACACTTTGAACGGACCGCCTAAACATTGGAAATCACCTCTACATTTTTAAGTACCCCCCGTCTGGTCAATTTTGATTATAAATTGTCCGCTGATACGTTACTGACCGACCGAGTGAATCCGACACCCGCCGACTTTAAATTAATCTTTCCCATTTATAAACTCAAAGTGAGAGAGCTAACTACCTTTCCCCCCCTAGAACCCTAAAAAGATAATCCAACTTAATTTAATCACGATGCCTTTGTCTAGAGAAGATTCGGTGTACCTCGCCAAGTTGGCCGAACAAGCTGAACGTTATGAAGAAATGGTTGATAACATGAAGGCTGTTGCCTCCTCCGGTCAAGAGTTGTCAGTTGAAGAAAGAAACTTGCTTTCTGTTGCTTACAAGAACGTGATCGGTGCCAGAAGAGCTTCATGGAGAATTGTCTCTTCTATCGAACAAAAGGAAGAAGAGAAGCACAATGAGGCCCAAGTGGCTTTGATTATGGAATACAGATCCAAGATTGAAGCTGAATTGACCAAGATTTGTGAAGATATTTTGTCTGTATTGTCTGATCATTTGATTACCTCTGCTCAAACCGGTGAATCTAAAGTTTTCTACTACAAGATGAAGGGTGATTATCACAGATATTTGGCTGAATTTGCTGTGTCTGAAAAGAGAAAGGAGGCTGCAGACTTAAGTTTAGAAGCTTACAGATCTGCTTCTGAAGTTGCTGTCACTGAATTGCCTCCTACTCATCCTATTAGATTGGGTTTGGCATTGAACTTTTCTGTTTTCTACTATGAGATCTTGAACTCACCCGACAGGGCCTGTCACTTGGCTAAACAAGCTTTTGATGATGCTGTTGCTGATTTGGAAACCTTATCTGAAGAGAGCTATAAGGATTCAACTTTGATCATGCAATTGTTGAGAGATAACTTGACTTTGTGGACTGACTTGTCAGAAACTACTGCTCCAGCAGAAAGCAATGCTGCTCCTGCTCCTGCTGCTGCTCCTGCTTCAGAAGCTAAGGACGAAGAGTAAAGGGATCGTGATAAATATAAATAACCAGCACCAGTTGACCTAACTGTCTACTATTATTATAATTATGTCCTCCATCTCTTTGTCAAGTTTTATCTTTTATGTTTTGTTTCACAGTTGTATTCCTACCATGTTTGAACCAAGTTGATTCTCATCCCATCTGTCAATTTTGGTGAATATCTCTCTATTTTCTCTCTTTAAATTTTTGTTGAAAAGTATATATATATTTATACATATTATCTAAAGCTACACCTTAGTGTACATTCTTTTATGTATGTATATAGAGATATGAAAAAGAAGTTGTCAGTATACTGCTGATCACGTGATACACGATCTTCACTGCTACTACAGGTGGTCCTAATTCTCCACCCACCGTTACCTTACCCTACGTCCTGTCTGACCGCTTCTTTATCTCCACTAACACTGACCCCCATCGCTACCATCGCTCTAACCCCACCATCACCTCCCCTATATGCTCACTACAATCGCTACCTTGATCCCACTCCCACTTCCACGCCCAGACGTGTTCGCTGTCTGCAGGAATGTTTCACGAGTTTTGTATCACTTTCTTTCTGACGAAAAACATTATAACAACAGTGACAGGAAGGTCACCAAACAAACAACTGCCACTTCTTAAGCAGCCATTCATTATGCCAGAGAAGGTCGGAATTGCCAACTTGCCCAACCAAAGGTATGTGATTAGGCGCTGGGTTTAATCAGCGCTTAAAGAAATGTCTGTCAGTCAGTTCATTATACTAACAATACTAATTATAGGCACAAGATCGTGTCGAAACAAGGTGCTACCTTCACACTTATGGTGTGTGGAGAAAGCGGACTTGGTAAGACGACATTTATCAATACGCTATTCGAAACAGGGTTGAAGCCTTATGCCGATCCCAGCGAAAGACACAACAAATTCACTACTCTGCACCAAACAGTGGACATTGATATTGTACGTGCTGAATTGGAAGAGAAGAACTTTAAGATCCGGTTAAACGTCATCGACACTCCAGGGTTCGGTAATAACGTCGACAACAACGACAGTTGGAACCCCATCATTGACTTTCTTGATGACCAACATGAATCTTATATGCGTCAAGAACAACAACCTTCAAGACATTCCAAGGTAAAGGATTTACGTGTTCATGCATGTCTTTATTTCATTCGTCCTACCGGCCATTCGCTTAAACCTTTAGACATTGATATCATGAAGAAACTCTCTACTCGGGTCAACTTGATTCCAGTGATTGCCAAGCTGGACACCTTAGCACCCAATGAATTGGATACGTTTAAGTCACGTATTAGAGATGTTATAGAGGCTCAAGATATTAATATCTATACACCTCCATTGGACATCGATGATACTGCTTCTGCTGAACATGCCAAACAATTGATTGAAGCCATGCCCTTTGCTGTCATTGGACTGGAACAAGTTTATGAAACTGAGCCTGAAAAGTTTGTTAAGGGAAGAAAATATCCTTGGGGTTTAGTAGAAGTTGAAAATGATGCTCATTGTGATTTCAAAAAGTTACGGAGTTTATTATTACGTACCAACATGTTGGATTTGATTTTATCTACCAATGAAATACACTACGAGACTTTCCGTTCTGTCAAGTTGGGCTCAGATGCCACCACCAATGGTTCTGACAATAGCCAAACTACCAATAAGGATGAGCCTTCATCTCATGACTTGATGAAAAAGTTACAAAAGAAGCCAAGAAGACTTCATAATCCAAAGTTCAAAGAAGAAGAAGATGCCTTGAAGAAATATTTCACTGAACAAGTGAAAGCCGAAGAACAAAGATTTAGACAGTGGGAAGCCAATATTGTTAATGAACGGAACAAGTTGAATCAAGATTTGGAAGAGATGCAAGCCAAATTGAAGGCTTTAGAAGACCTGGTAAAGAAGTTACAATTGTCCAAGAGATAATAATAATATTATTTAGTGATTATATCGGAGAATTACATATATATATATATATACATATATATGATTGTGCAAAGAAGTTTATCTTATATTTACATTCCGCGCTACCATCCTTCGGTTATTCACGGCAATTCCTAAATCAAAAAAATAATGCATACCCATACATACACCATTTGACACTATTATTATTAATCTTTGACAAAGCACATACCCTTATGACTAACGCCGTGGCATTCTCTGCTACCGACCCGGGCAAGTTCAAACGCGCTTACAGAGCGTGTCTCAACTGCCGTTTACGGAAGGTCAAATGTGACTTAGGTCCTGCGGACTCTCCTCGACAGGGCAAGTGTGCCCGATGTCTTCGGGAACGAAAGGACTGTGTGTTCATAGAGAGGAAACGGAGTCACATGGAAACCGGGTCTGAGATTGTGACTACGCCGGTGAAGCCATTGACAGGGACCAGAGTGATTCTGAGAGATTCTGTTGATGGTGGAGGTAAGATGCAACTGGTTGCAGCCAGTAGCAGTCTTCGGTACAACAACAACAACAATAATATCAATACCGGAGGCGGCAAGCTAGCGGTGTCTCAGATGTTGAACCATGAAGGACAGGAAGAAAGAGACGCAGTCGAAAAGACAAGAGGAAGCATCAGTGGAGGTGGTACTGGCAATGACGAGGGTAGCACCGGAGGAGAAGAGCCTGAGTTTACAAGTCACATGGGAGGAGCCCTTGCGTTCTTAGCGAATGCTGCTGGATCCATGGCATCGGCAGACGAGAGAGATAACATTGATGCCAAAGAAAGAGCGTTACAGATAGAACAGATAGACCGTAGTTCATCGCAGACTCCATCACAAAGGGAAGGAGCAGCCGAAACCACTACAGGTAATGTTGATGATGGTAATGTTGATAACAATAATATTAACAATGATAATTTTGTTGGGACCGGTTCAGGATTAGGATCTGGAGGTGGATCTGGATCTGGATCTGGATCTGGCTCCTGCTCAGGATCTGGATCTAGAACAGGGTCTAGAACAGGATCACAATCTGATCTTGGTGGTGACTCGTCCACTAACGGGAAGAAGCACTCTATTCCTCCACTATTAAACCATCTTAAGCACGGTAGAATGATCATGCCACCAGCAGAGTCGATTTTCGCTACCAGACCCAAAGCTGCCGATAGTTTAGGGAACATTGAATACATTGGACCTCTTTCTGAAGGGGGGATCCTTACGGTTGAAGAAGCGCAACGACTCATTAATCTTTTCTTTACCACGATGCATCCATTCTTCCCTCATTTACCGATCTTCCTCCGGAACCCAGACATTCTTCCTCAATATCCCATCTTACTCTGTGCCATTATCACCATCGCTTCACGGTATCACCCGTTTGAGAACAACGTGGGCAACTCTCTGATCCCCAGACACATCGAAGTCCACGACAGACTTTGGCTCTATGTCCAGAGATTGATTTCACAGACTGTGTGGGCCGAAGCCAGTACGCGGTCGATCGGCACGGTATTTGCGTTCCTTCTCTTCACCGAGTGGAACCCCAGAGCCATTCACTGGCGTTGGGCAGACTATGCTAACAAGGCAGAAGACGAGGGCAGTAGTAATAGTACAACAGCCTCCACGATCACCAATACGGAGAAACCTCGTGGTAATAGCGGTGGTTCCAGTAATGCATCCAATCATTACGAGCAAAACTTGGCGGGGTTTGGGGCCATGAGAAGATCAGACAGAATGGGCTGGATGCTTATTGGATCTGCGGTCCGTTTGGCTCAGGATATGGGCTTTATGGACGTCTCGGCCAAAACGTTCCTTGCTACGCACATCGCTGAGATCAACTCAGTCATGAACATCAGTCGACGGTCGATGTTGGCTCAGTCGTTACTGGAGATCGAGGTTGATGATGATGATGATGACGAAGATGACAACGATATCGATAACGAAGGAGCCTCCAAAGACGCTTCTTTATTTGACAATGATAATGAAGACAATTATTCAGGCCACAAGCGGAAACGGAAGAGCAATAGCAGCAAATATGTTGAGGAAGACTTTGATTCGAAAGTGTTCACGCTAACTGAAGAAGCCATGAGAAGATTTGCGGCAGAGAACACCATCAAGTTCACCAAACCCCAAAGAGCTCAAATAGAATTGCTTCAAATCATGTCGTTAGGTCACGAATCTCTCTATGGGTACAAGGCTCGTTTAGGGGAATTAACCCAACGTCAAAGTCTTTCGGTGTTGAGCATTTTAAGTCCATTGATAAGTTCATGGGGTCGGAAATATCGTCTGCTTTTAGTTCCCATTACTCCCAAGTTCCAAAAGTACTCTCAATCGGTGCTTCAGAAGAGTCTTCTCGACCAGAACTCCAAGGTTGCCGTCCAGCTACAGGATGCCCTACTTCGGGAGTCATTTATCTTTGAGTACAACTATTTGAAGTTGTACATTTATTCGTTGGCCCTAAGTCCGACAAAAGTTGATTCTAACCCCACCACTGCCACCACTAGCCACAACAATAGCGACGGAGATAATAATAGTAATGCGACCACGACCAATGGTACTTCTTCTAAACGACGCAAGAAGACGGTTTCTAAGTATTTGAAGTTGGAAGAAATGGCTAATTCCACCAAATACATAGAGCAAGCTTTCAATGCAGCCAGTGAGATGCTTAACGTGGCCAACAGGGTCCACAGATTGAAGCTACTCCGGTATATGCCGACTCGATGGCTTACGAGAATCGTCAGAGCCATTGCGTTCATCGTTAAATGCTACATGACAATCACAGCTCATAAGAAGTCAAACAACAGCCAGAACCAGCAAATGGCCTTTGATGTCACAGTATTGTCATTATCATTGATCACCATAGAAGAGATCATGCACAGTATCCAGAGAGCAGCGTTATGTCTTCGTGATTCTTCACCGGATGAGCTACATTTGTGCACCCGGTACTCCAACATCTTGATGTTCTTGTATTCACAGATGAAGTCCAAATCAAAGTCATTGGGTGTTAGTGTTGGTCCCGTCAGAACAACAGGGAAGCAGCAGCAGCAGCAGTCACCATCCAGACCTCGCGAGAATGAGCATATGTCGACGACGAGGACGACGACGATGGCAACAGCCAACTCTGCAACACCACGTGTGAACGACGAGCTTCGTGGCCGCCACAGTTATGGCATGCCAACTGGTGCTTCAGGTTTCAACGTTGAGGGAACCAATTTCTTCGACAGCAGTCAACAGCAACTGCCGCCTATTCCACCTATTGAATATGCAGCTCCTACATATCCCGAACAGTACGAGATGTTTGAACCAAGCCCACAGCAGCAGCAAATGCACCAACTGCAGCAAATGCAACAACTACAGCAACCTGCTCAACTGCAGCAGCGGCAACAAGTGCAGCAACCTGCTCAACTGCAGGTGTTCAGCTTCCCTTCGTTATTCGATAGAGTTGAACCGGGTCCGTCCCACAGCACACTTCCTAGTGACGGGACCAACTCGCCGGTATCGGGGATGTTTGACGAACCAGTGATGGAATGGCTAAGAAATGAACATACTATTGGGTTAGAATTCGTAGGACCATGGACAGAGATGATCGAACAACGGTTGGATGCCAATGAAACGTTTGCATTTGGTGAGTTTTGAAACATTCAAATTATCGTCAAATATTAATGTTACACAGTTAACTTTATTATATATACCCATACCATTCCCCCCATTTGTTCCATACATTTATTCGTTCTTGTCGGCATAGACGTCCCAGCTTTGAATACTGTTGATCATGTTGAACAAGATATTCTTGGAGTGGGAGCTATAGTTGCTTATGCCTTCGTTCCAGTCTTCTCGGGAGGAGTAGGAAGACGGAGTGGAAGAAACAGGATCTTCAAAAGGTCTCCATGTGACGGTGGGGTTGATGTTTGATTTGATGAAGGCTGCCAAAGGTGGAGGGTTAACCAAGTCCAGACCAGATGAGGAGGAATTGATTCCAAACTCAGAAGGTATAAGGTCAATGTTCTCAATGGATTGTCGCAAGTTAAGAGTGAATCCTATCTCCGGAGTTTGCAATAGAAACTCATTGACATGGGCCAATTTCTTCATACAATTCAAGGCATTAATGTTATTATGGTCAGCCATATATTTCAAAAGTGCCACACCATGGGGGATCCGGTCAAACCCTTTGCCGATAATAGCACCTATTATAGCCACCATAATAGCCGAGAACAAGTGTTGAGAGTCCCAAAATCCCAATACAAAGAGTTGCTGATTGGCATAGAACGATAAGATGATATCGATCTGCGTATGGGCCACATGAATGCCCTTGACGATAGCCTGCAGTATCTCCGAAGGGTTTTCAAGTCTTGGAGCATCTCGGATAAACACCAAAAAGAGCAAAGGCCTAGTAATAATGATCACTAGTTGATGGAACCGGAGAAACAAGTTGGTTAAGCTTCTTCTTTCCCCAGTGAAGAGGCGTACTCTGTCGAATTCAGTTAGATAGGGCTCTTCAAAGCAGGTGACAAGCTCCCTAAGACAACTCAAACAATTCTTAGCTTGTTGTTTCTGATTGAATTGAGCGGTGTTGACGTAACTAACGGATAGCGTACGCATGTTGGCGCCATGGATTAGTTTCATGGACTTTGCAATGTACTTGGACAAATGAACATTGAGCTCAAGAAAGTTGACGTCAAAGTTATCCTGCAAATCAAGTGGATCGTCCAATGGAAGGTCTGCATCAGTGTCAACATAATTAATGTGAACAGGCAAACTCATTCTGTGGGTTGACCAAGTTGTGTCGATGACATACACACTCCAAAAGACTCTTTTCATCTTCTCAAGTAGTTTTCTTTTGACGAAGATCTCCTCCGGAGTGCCCGTAAGCTTCATTTCCGACTTCCGATGAAGTCCCTTGGCAAGTGTGGATCTGACAGCCACCCCAAAAAAGTTATAAACTGTGTTATAGCGGTTCAAGTTGACGGAATAGAGACCGAGAATCAATGCCGTCTGTATGAAGCACAAGTCAATCTCTTCACGGTTGAGATGAGCCAATTGCAGTGCCAATAGAAAATACTCTATCCCGGGTATTTTGACCTTCAGATTAAGTACCATGTGCGAGTTCAATAGCTGTTCGCCAAAGGCAAATGTACTGAAAAGATAGCATAAATGGCCGTGGTTGGTTTTACGAACGACGTCGGAAAATGCATTGCGTCTGTCAAACTTCTCGTAAACGTCATCAACAATGGGAATGATTGTTTCCATATCCAAAAGATAGAATTCTCCGGAGTAAGTGTTATTGACCTTATGGATTAACGTTAATGCGTGGGATTTCTCCGGAAGCTTGTGATACGCTAAATCGTACATTTTACCCTGCAAGAGATCGGTAACGAAATCTGGAAGCAAGAAGTTTTCAAGCCCCATGTCTCCCGATAGCATGTTATATTTATCTGCTAGGATACGTTCTTGTACGATGTCGGGAGAGTGCAGCTGCAGCAGTGCAGATTGGCTTTGCGGTTGTTTTTGGAGTCCATTGTATTGGCTAAGGGGGCTGGTGTTCATGTTATAGCTGCTATCATTATTATGGCTATTATTATTAGTAGGATGGGGTATTTGATTGGTATAGTAACTTGGAGGGAGCGGCTGAAAGGAGGGTTGTGGCTGATAAAGACTTTTGAAAAGATTATCCATAGTTGGCTGTGTAGGAGATGCTGGAAACATTTCTGAGTGATAAGGAAATGCTGGTTTCAACGGAAGAACATTCGACGTGTTAATATTTGCATTCATAGGAGGTGCATTTGCATTTGCATTTGCATTTGCATTTGCATTGACTCGGGCATTGGCGACTTGCTTCTCCAAGTCTTCCACTTTGGCATTGAGAGCGTCCAAATCACTCTGCATTATCATAATCTTTCTGTCCTTTGTTGGATATATACATGCATCAGCTTTGTTAACGGCCTTGCAGTTGGTACATGGAAGGTCCCCAGAACACTTGGTTTTCAGCAGTTTACACCGTTTGCATGCATAGTGCGACCGGCCAAACACCTTTAAAGGAACAGTCTTATGGATACTATTGCTCATGATTAGTATCAGGTATCCGTCCAGGCCCTCGGGCTCTGATTTCTCATTAGTTATGGAGTAAAAACTTGAGTACTTGCTTGAAATCGTCGGCATCATTTGTTCCCCTCGGATTTTGTGCGCAAAGGTACTCCCTTTTTCGATAGTTTTGGTTTCGGTCACCTGCGTCTTCTCCGAGGGCTTAACTAACGTTCGGTGTGACCTCGATTTACACTGCATGATTACCCGGGTTTTGAAACTTACGGAATTTCACTCCTATCGTGCAGATTACATACATGATGAGGGAGTCTTTATTCGTCATAACTACCTTACTTGCATTACATGTAGCTTGGTCAATCAATAAACTTTAAAAGTTAGATTACTGGTAACTAAATCCCCATTAAGAATACCTCTTGTAGCCTTAAGTTAGGGTTTATCGTTCAAAAGGTTGCGGTGGATAAAAGTTGGGCATTGCACGTCTGAATAAGCCGCGTTTTCAAACACATTGTATTATTAGGTGCAAAAACACTTTGTGCCGGGAATTATACCCAGAAAAACGACCGAACTTATTTACGATACCTGGGAAGGCGTAACACCTGAAAAGTATTACCTCGTAAATAAAAATCACATAGAATTGCATATGCATATGACCTCGTAAATGGCATCAACCTTCATGGTTACAGCCATTGGAAAATCAAAATAACGTTAAGGTTAATGACACTACAATTCCATACATGATCTTGAACAAAGCAGCAATTGTTGAGCCTAACTCCGATACGTACCTTCTATGACCGCATTTTTAATGGACCAAGCCTTCTTTCTTGCATCGAAATAGTAATAGATAATAATTCGCCATCCTCGGTTTCGACGCATGTACGGAGATCTTTAAGAATCAACGATCGGGCTTCTTCTTGTGATTCTCATCCTCGGAGAGTTTTCGGCTCTTAAGGCAAGTTCCGCTCCAGTTAGGTATCCGTGTATCCTCCGACTCAGTTATAAAACTTCACCATTACTAAACAATAGTTCCCTCAATACTTAAACATATTATCTGACTCAAAACAATTCGTTAAGCTTCCACACCTCTATTGATAAATCTTTGCTTGACTCCGGAAATAATGTATAAAGAGCTGGTTTTGAGTTTCATTTCATATTGGTCGTGCGAGACTCATAAAACGGTCATCACTAAATTATATCTATAATGCTCCATGTTCCTTCAATTCAAGTTCTCTTCTTAGAGAAAGACAAAGGTTCAATCTGTCACTCGGTTTTGGTTAGCCGCACGTCCAACTTCCACCCCCACTCACTCTATTTGATCGTTGCATATGGTACTGTTAGTGGAAACAGTACGAACCAATCTCATTCATTATAATCAATGGAATACGGTATCGTATTTTACAATATCCACAGACAAGGGCCCTGTATGCATACTACAGGGCACTCCTTCGGCAGTGTTACCGTCCTCGGATAAAATCGAACCTGAATGGGTAGTTCCGGTTCTGATGCTTTCAAAGAAGACAAGTGGTACAGAGATTGCACAGTGGTTCAAAGGCATAGCATCAGAAACCGGAACCCGACCTAAAAGAATTACCATGGCAATGGTTAATGATGATGGAACTGTCTTATATTATTTTGTGCACGATGGAGTAGTCAAGCCACGTCAGAATTAATAATAATAAATGAATGTGAATGATTAAACAATAGAACTGGATGTTGAAAGATTATCTTCATTTGATGGTGGTGGCGGTGTTCTTTCTATGGCTCTTGGTTCTTCGCCAATGGACTTTCTTCTGAAGTCGTAAACTCCAAACTCGTCATCAGATTCACTTTCTTGCTGAATGGATCTTTGTTTGAGCGAGGTTCTGCTCTCTGATAAGCTCAAACGATTTCTCACTAATGAACTCGATAAACTAGCACTTGTAAAACTAGGATGTGGTCTAACCTGTAGGCGATCTTTAGGTTGTGTTGCGATTGAATCATCACTGGATTTTCGAGTAGGGCGTCTTCTATTCATTTCGTTCAGATCAACATATGACGTACGCCAAACAGATCTTAAGGTACCTCTGGTCATCTCTCTGGATACTTCAGGCATACCTTCTAACGCACTTGCAGTATCGTATTCATCGAAAACAGAAGCCCAGTCCAGACCATACGCACTTCGTCTTCTCCCACTAGCAAAAGGCATACCTCTTAATGAGACTCCTAATATTTCATCTGGAGATGGGTTTTGACTTTGACTCTGGCTTCGACTTCGATTTTGGCTCTGACTCTCGCTTTGGCTTTGGCTCTCGCTTTGGCTCTGGCTCTGGCTCTGGCTCTGGCTTTGGCTCTGACTTTGACTTTGACTTTGACTCTGGTCTTGGGGAGTTCCATCAAGAAATCCATTCTGATTTGCATGAACTGCTTGGCCCAACTTATCAAATAGCACAATGAATTCAAACATTTCTTCCTCTTTTATCAAATCTGGTCCAAACCGAAACTTCTCATACAACTCAACAATCTTATCACCATCAACGCCTTGCTCCTCAACTCGGAACGTCCTAACCAAAAACATCATCAATTCTCTAATGGTGAAAGACGGGGGGAACTCCACTGAATTCAAAAACTTTTGATCGATCATCAACTTGTCACCCAACGATTTGATAATGTCCTCATAGCAAGCATCTGGTGGAAGCAACCTACCGGAGGTTGTTGTATCTTTAAATAGTCTTTCGTTTCTCTTCTGTACATAAGCTGGCGGCGAGAGTCCTGGATGATTAATTATCTCCTTTTCATTATAGAGTGGGCCCGCCTTAACTCTGATCTCTCCAACACATTGAGATAACTTGGTGTCAATGGCCTGGAACACTTCGGTCGGGAAATCACCTTCAAACGGCATGTAAGCCGAACTGGAAGTTATGTCCCGAAGAGCAGCTCGTGACTTGTACATCCGCAGAAAGTATATCACCAATAAAAGGATAAAGAACACAATATAATCAGCAATCACCACAAAAATCTTGATTCCCCAAGTTTGAGAGCCAAACGTTTGGAGCACCACGTCAAGTGGAGTGATCGTTGCAAAACCCAACAGCGATAATGCTAACAACACAAAGGAGAAACGATAGATCAGTTTTATAAGGATTTGGGGCCATCGCATGAGCGTATGTGACACATCTAATTTGGGGAAACTTACTTCGCCATGTCGTCTGTAAGGAGCAGAGCCGCCCACAACTTCTCTATTCAGTATTCGATCCATGTGTGGAATAAAAAGTGACATACTACTTCAAGATAATGATGATGCTTATTAGTACTATACTTAACTATGTTCTGAGTCGGGTCACGTGAATACGCACGTGATGCAAATAATGTTAGTTATCATTATACTTAACTAAGTGGCTGTATATGTGTAAACCTCGTATCATCACTTTCATAATCATCTTTGCTTTTAAGCAATGATATTCCATGTGCTTTCCCAATCCAATTAACGTATAAGTTTCGGAGAATGCTCCCCGTGTCGTATATATTTACGAATGTATCACTGCTTCTAACGTCATTAAGGTATTCTCTAGTAGTGAGGTTCTGAGCGGTTAGGAAAAGATGGAAAATAAGTAATAAGAGCGGGTATATCACAGCTGGGATCGTAAATATCACAAGAAATAAAGTCACAGGGTATTTCGTTATTGATTGTTTAAATGTGGTTATGTGGATTCCATGCTTCTCTTCAGCCGTTCGGAATCTTGTATATCGATATGCAAACATGTGAAGAAACAGTAATGCAACTAAGAATGATGCAGCAATGGTTGACGTTAACAAAAACCAATAGAAGGTCTTGGAGTTCCGAGTCCCAATACAGTTGTTCAAGTATAGACAATGATGATCATGATTAAGAACACAAAAATTGCATTGAGAGCAATGATGACATCGTGGAGGACGCCAGATATGGCATGTGGTGCAGTATTTGACAATAACACCCTTAACAGCGTCCCCTTTATGAGGAAGTGTAATGACATTAAAGTATTCCATCGGCGGGTGGATCACCTTAGTGAAAGAATCATCTTCGGTAAGACCTCCACCCAAATCACCGGGGATATGAATATTCCTAGGCACTATGCCAGGATCAGAAACCGCAGAATTGATAAAGAAATTGAAACACAACCCCCATACATATGTAAATAGTATCACTACTGATGGACTGTATCTTGTCCACCACCATCTGGCTTCTGTTGCCCAAAAGACAATCGCAGGAACAAGTAATATGATAGTTGCCGCCACATGGATGGGTTTAGACTTGAGAGTACGCCATCTACCGCCAAATATAAAGAGGTACCGACTACCTTTGTAATTCTGCACCTGGTAGTTCTTGGTTATGCTTTTATGCGCTTGCTTGCTGAACTGATTGGGATCCGTGATAAGCCAGTTCACCACAAGCTGATGGTACCACGGTAGTTGTTCAATAGGACGTATGCGAGGCTTTGAAGGAGCAGATGCCGCTCGTCCTGTCGTGGACATGCCTCTGCTATAAAGAAAGTAGTGGCTATCTTTCTCGTTATCTTCCTCGTTAATAACTGATCGCGGAAATTTGACACTTTGAAATTATTCATTATATCACATACGGCTGATATACATATTCACGACAAGAAGTGAGTTGCATATACATACATATGTGTTATTAATTTTATGCATCATATTCGAATCATTTAATTCGTATTTCTATTTTTTTTTTAGTACGTCCATTAAGGGTCAAATATTGATCACAATTATACTTACTCTTCAAACTTCTTGAGTATTAGTAAAATTAATTCTACGGGTCTGTAGGATCCAAGCAAATGTTCTTGTTATATCTGTGATATATTGCTTGCTACCATAATTTCTAAGCTCAACTTATTCACTGATAAAGCTTAGAGTTTATATGCGACTGCATATAGTTTAATAGTGCTAATTATTTTGGCACTCTCTATCATCAAAAAATTAATCACATACAGCTCCTTCTAAGTTACTAACATAGATGTTTAGAGGATACTCCCGAACCTTGGGCAGGGCACTCCGATGTCAGGCACCATTGGCCCGACGCAACATACAGCTTTCTCCTTCGCAACTAGCTTCGGTGAAAGGATGGGGTACCATTATTAACATCGCAGCAGGTGCATACATCGGAGGAGCTTTAGTATGCGTGGGGTCGCTTTATTTCATGTATTCTGATGCCAATAGTAGACAAAGCATACCATGGGAATTGTCCATAGAAGACAAGAAGAATGCGGTAAAGGCCATTAACAAAGATGATGTTTTGGATTCTCCTAAGTACGCTGTTAAACACTACCGTAGGCTTTTGATTGATCTTGCTAAACATGAAGACCCCAAGTTACAATGGGATGAAGAATCGGAGGGCTTTAATGTTCCTGTGATACTGCTGGAGGTTTTAAATAGCAAAAAATCAGAAGTCTTTGCCAATTTCTACATTGACATCTTACTTCGTTACTGTAAGGCACTTTTAGCTAAAGGTCAGTTGGATAGTTCGGTAGCCACCTTGAAGAAAGTCATTGATGATGATGGGATCTTCTTCAATGTGGGAGATACCGAACGGTTGAGTCAATGCTGTCGATTGCTCAGTAGAGTAACACAGTCCAAAGAAGAACAAGTGAAATATTTGAAGCGACTGATTCAAATGTTGTGTACAGTCTTCCCATCCATAAAGATATCACCCGAGTACATTCTACAAGAAGACTCAAGACTTACAGATGAGCTAGTTAGTTGCTTAAATACTTTGGCATTCACTTATGCTCAGCAAAGCAAGAGTGAGCCCAAGTCATCCAGTAGATGGAGCAGGAAATCATCTAAGAGAGAAGAGTTACTCAATGAGTCTCTTAAGCTCTATTTAGCTAACCTTAAAGTGCTTACGCATATGAAGAATTCAGTCAACAAAGATCCCTATCTTCAGGTTAAGAACCCGCTTTTCAACTGTTCCTTAGAAAACATCGATATACTCATAGCGGAGGTCAAGGCTCACATCAGTGAGGTTTTGTGGGGATTAGGCTATAAGAAGAATGCTACGGGGTGGGCAGAAGAAGTAGTGGAACAAACATATTCCTACCAGGGTAACCAAACTAAAGCCGCATATATACTTCAGAGTCAGCTTCAAGACTTGATCACAATGTACGATCGATTAGGAGAACAGAAAAGCCAGAGACGGTGTCAGAAGTTGCTTGATGAAGTAGAGATCTTTGATAGAAATGAAGACTCTTGGTACGATAGCGTGATCAAGAGATTCAGTAAGATTATCTACCACAAAGGGCCGTTAGGAATCATTGAGAAATCGTTAAGTGAGAGGTTTGGAAATCCCCAAAGAGTATTGGAGATTGAAGAGATTGAAGATGAAGATATTGAGTAATGTACATAGAATACAGCAGGTGTCTTGCGACTATGATTACCATTTTAGTTAAACTTAATCACGTGGTTTGTTCAAACCAATCAGATCCACTGATTTGGTAAGCGTGCTGTTCCGAAAAAGTCCGCTAAAAATCCGGGGACTAACCATAAAAAATTGAACCTACTAAAAAAGTAGTACCACTATACGTAACTTACTATTAGTTAACAACAAACAGCAATAATCAGCATGTTGTCCTTAAACAGAAGCATTGGCTTGAATGCCATGAGATCCAGCAACGTGATCAGACCCGTGTTTGTGCGGAGTTTCATCAAGACTATTCCTCAACCTCCTGGTCACATTGTTGGGGATGTCAATGATGCTTATGTTCCACCCCCACCTTCAAAGTCACATGGATCTCTCCATTGGACTGCTGAAAGAGTTGTAGCTGTTGGTATGGTTCCATTGGCAGTTGCTCCATTGATTTCAGGTACTTCCACTTTGATCGACTCTACTTTTAGTGCATTGTTGTTGTACCATGTTTACGCTGGTTTCCAATCGTGTATCATTGACTACATTCCAAAGAGAGTCTACGGCATCTACCACAAGCTTGTCATGTACTTATTGGCATTGGGCACTGGTGTCGCTGGTTACGGGGTATACCAAGTTGAAACCAAAGAAGGTGGATTTGCTCCAATTATCACCAAGATCTTTAAGGCCTAATAAAAGGTGGTATATATCTATCCATATATTTATTATTAATCTTATGTTCAATAAACAATACGTATCATATCATTCTGTGTAGCTCAACTTAGTGACTATCAAGACATTCTTTTGTAGATTACCAGGGAAGGGAAGTAACACCTTCGCTCTCCCCTTATCATCATCAACTTTAGATATGTGAATGTATCCCAAGACACTGGCCTTCAATAATGCCTTGATGGTGTACCCTGCCAGCGGTAAATGGGTCACTGCTACCACGCAATTCTCCAAGTCACTTTCTGTAGGCAGTTCGATAAGACTGTAGTACTTGTCCTCATGGCTGTCCTTCAGTTTGTCATCCGCCTTATCTCCTCCAGCTTCATCGTCATCGTCTCCAGCAAAGGAATCCGTAGATGGTAAAAACTGGTTGAAGTCCTCAACCTTCTCAAGCACCTTAAAGAAAACATAATCATTTATCACTATCTCCGTCTTGAACGGTGATAACGAGAGTTTGAAATTACCATTGAAATATTCTCTAACCATTTGCTGTTGTTGTAATCGTTTGGATCTTCCGTCGGAGTCTGCATCCAGTATTCCTCCACTCTTTGGTACTTTAACTATGGTGAGTGCCCGGAGTTTATGTTGGAACTTACGCTTCAAATCAACCAACACTCGTTCGTTGTCAAGAACAACTATAACGTTGATCTCAAAGTCACTAACAATCGTGTCCAATAGATCCAAGTTCTTCTTTAATGATGATGGGGTGTCAACAATAATCCCACCGTATCTGCACTCTTCATCCTCTTTCAACCGACTTAACACCGCAAGCGAAAGCTTCTCCGTCTGTAGCTTGTACAAGTCCGGGTTCTCGTCGACCAGGAAGAACCCAAAGTTCTTGACCAATGGCTGTTTCGGGTTATGTAACGTAACATTGGATGTGGTCGTGGTTCCATACCCTCCACAACTTTCCAAATCAAATCTATCGCTAACTCCGACAGCGGTTAAGGATGTAGGCATGGAGAAGACCCCTTCTTGAGGGTCCAAGTTGACCAATATAGGCACGTTCCCCCCCTTCCACGCATAACCTGAAAGAATCTTGGCTAGTGTGGTTTTACCCAGATTGTCATTACCAAGTATCAAGACTCTCGGTCCCAATTGAGGTTGCACACGATTGAGCATCAGTTGAAACTTTGCCTGTTCTCTTAGTGATTCAAGCATGAAATGTAGCGATAGATACTGTTTCATTGACTCGGTGTCATCAGATATATATTCAATGAACTGAATACTTTCAGAGGAATAACTTGAATGGTCGGTGTTCTCTATTAAGGTGAACTCAACAGTGCATCCTTCAATCTCATCTCCATCGGCAGTAACGACTTCTTCCAAGTTTTCCACTTGTTGTGGAGGAACGAAAAGTCCATATTTAACTCCCAGAAACTGATACTCGTATCCAATAGCCAATTCTGTACCAAAGATCTCTCCTATACCTTTGGTTACCTTTACTTTAACTATGTTCTTGTGAGGCACTTCGAATCTCCATTCCGACATCGGCGGGATGGTGATTGTATTGGTCACGCCATACTTGGCCTCATGTTCCTTAGAGAATCCCGGTAATGACATCAGACAATAGTACTAATACTAATATTAATAATACTACACAGTTGTACGCTTAATGCTTCATGATAAAGCTGACTATGTTACTTTATAATTTTTCATTTGAAGTCGTGTCTATACCGATAAATACACCTTACACAAATCTCTTTGACTTGTTTACATCAGTGGAGTACACAATAGTGTTCTTCCTTACATCATCATCAACAAGCACAATGGACCAACTGGAAACTGAGTAAGTGTAGGAAGAAGATTGTAAGGATAAACTTTTAATGTTGGAGTCACGTTATAAGTAAATTATCACAGTTATTATTACATATAGCCATTAAACTCATAAACAGTAACACATAAATACAGCCATCATACATATATAAGCTAATCAATGGCTTCATCGATGACCCGGATAATCAGAAAAAAACTTTGGGTATGTCTACTACTACTTATAGTACTGCTTCTAGTCTTCACTGAGGTGGCCAGAGGGTATAGTAAGCAAGCACTCACCACGCCACTAGATGGCTTGTTCAAGTGTATGGGCAATTCGAAAGTCACTGATACCAAAACTGGCTGGTTCGAAGTGGTAGAAAGAATTGAGAATCTGAAGTATACCATGGTTGATTTCAAGAAAGGAAAACAAGATGGCAAAGTTGATGATGATGGTTTCCTTATATTAACATTGATTCAATCACGGAGGTCCTTTGGAGGGGGCCGTAATTTTAAACATTATCTTGAACTCCTAGGTTCATTGGAGTATCCCAATAAGGAACATGTGGTTTTGGGACTTTTGATTGGCAATGCAAAATTATTTGATAATTTGGTGAAACATTTCACTGATGCAAATGATCTGATTTTCAGTCGTATCACATTGTACCATGCACCGTTCATTCAAGATTCGCAAACTTCCAGAGGTAATCGTCACGACAACCTGCTTCAAAAGGTCCGAAGACGTCAACTTGCAAGACTACGTAACTTTCTCATGATCCGAAGCTTCGGCGAAGAGCAACACGTTCTCTGGATTGATTCAGATGTTGAGGATATTAAAGATAAACAAATTCTCCTTCATTTCTTACAATCAGGTAAAGATATTATTGTTCCTCGGATCTCAGAAGCTGATAACGGTGACTATGATTTGAATTCATGGCGAGGTATTCGTACAGAACCTGATAAAGTTCAAGCAAAACTAATGGATTCTAACCAATGGGATAAAGTCACATTTATGCCTGAAGATAAACAAGTTTTCCATTTCTCCACGTTTCTAAAAGAACAGGCTTCCAGTCATAAAGAACCAGATTATGTGACTCCACTTGATTCTGTTGGAAGTGCCTTTCTTTATATTCGTCTGGAAATCTTACAACAGGGAGTTAATTTCCCTGCGTACCATGCCGTTGGTACCAATTGGCGTCGTAATGAAGGTTACGATGGGATTGAGTCCGAAGGCTTATGCTATGTGGCTCGTGTTTTGGGTTATACATGTTGGGGTATGCCGAATCAAGTAGCGGTCCATGCAATTTAAGATGATAGATGTTAGATGCTAAGCGGTGATTACCTTAAATCCACCGTTTAACTCCGCCCAAACGATATTTTTGTGGGGAAAAAAAAGTACGCGTTAGGCCACACCAAAATTTCTGATGTACTACTAACTCAGTCACGAGGCCCAACACACTGATAAGGGAACTCACAGCTGATGACGGGAATAAACTTGATTCATATTCAATCTCCAACATATGGGACTCATCCTGTGGTGCATTATTCCCCTCAAGATCGTCCTCGGCATTCACTAAAGGCAAAGCATTTTTTTCTCATCCTAGAGAATGATAAGCCTACATTTGCCTTGGAAGTCTATGTCTACATTAACGTATGGAATGATCGTGCCGAAAGAATGCTATATGTGTCGAAATGCGATACTGTGGGTATGCATCGAAGCTCTGTAAGATTTGGAGAGATAGCAACTTCTATGCTTGAATGGCTTGTAGCACAAGATCTTGGACAAGTCTATTGTCAGAACATAACCCGAGGCAAATCAACATCCTACTCGTCAGCATCTTTGTCCTCGTCTTCTGCTGTCAATGGAGAGAAAGAGGAAGTGCCCGTGAATTCAGTACACTTTGCATTGGTTCGTCATTTGAATCAACTACGTGCCCCACAAGGAGCTAAGGGAAAGTCATCCTATTCAATCACTGTTCCCTCTAACCAAGTTACTCGGATCTGTCTCTTCACACGTCCTGCAGAACAATATCTTTTTCCTGGTTCTGGTGGGAACATACACAAGCATACAATTGATGGCCAAGGACTACTAAGATGGTGGTTGAAGGTGTTAGATCCCTTAGTGGTTCTGAAGTATGGGTGTGCACGTATGACAATACCTTCCAGTGAAGATCAAGTCATTTCTAAATATTTGGCACCCCTTAAAGGCGATTGGAAACCAGGCAGTCTATTTGATAAAGGTTCCGGATCGTGCATTCGAGTGATTCCCCTATTACCTGATGATCCAAAGGGTAGGTTCTTAGAACACCTTGTTGTTGAACATCGATATCGCAAAGTGAATGTCCCACAGTTCTGGCAAGAATTGGGGTATCGACAAGAGTTCCGTTTAGGGGTATTAGTGGGAATAATCGGCATAGAACTCACTACAACTCCAGCTTCCTCATCGATGTCAAATGAGCTCAAGATTACAACCAACAAAGTATCAAGAAATATCTACAAGAAGCTTGTCGATGTTATCAAGAGTGGAGATTTTTCCGATGCCATTGATGTGGAGCAATTACAGAAACGTTTGCAACAAGTTGTGGAACTCCAAACTCAGTCTTATGTTCCTCGGATCATTTCAAAGGCCGAACAGATCAAAGCAACACCCATTAACAATTTGAATGCTATGATTAAAAGGAAAGCAGTACCGCAAGTTAATGATTTGACGACGTTGGTTAAGCGTCGGAAAAATAAATAATCCGATAACAAATATCTTTTGCACCAATTTGGTGACGCAGAAAATTAAACGTTATAATTTTTTGGCACCCAAAGGATTAATTTTGGGCGCCTATCTCATATACTTAATTCGGAAAGTCTGTCCAGTCAATTCAATTCAAGCCAATTCAACATGTTGGTTCAAAGAATAATGTTGATACCATTTGTTTATCACATCTTATTTTTCACTGTTGTTACCGCAGCTAGGGTCACGGAGAAGTTCGGGTTTGGATTGGACCGTTTACGTTCTCAAGATACAAAGACATCACCAAAACCACTTACCCCTGCCGAACAACCACTCCAATTCCCCCAATGGCTTGAAGCGTTCACCGGACTTAAATCCTGGCCAGGAAACGAACCACCATATATTCCCCTTGATTTCATCGACTTTAGTCAGGTGCCCCAAATACCCGCGCATAATCAAGGACAATGTCAAGGATTGGTGAATGCGTGTTCCTTTGACTGTTTTAATTGTATCAGTTATGACGATGTCTACACATGTCCTCGGTTATCTCAAACGTTTGACGACGGCCCCACGCCACAAACCATCAAATTGGTCCTGGACGGTGGTCTTAAGGACAAACTGACTTTCTTTACTCTCGGAGTGAACGTAGTGCGGTATCCTCATATCTATAGAGAAGTTGTAAGACACGGTCATGTCATGGGGAGTCATACTTGGTCTCACAAGTACTTACCATCTTTACTGAATGAACAAATAGTTGCCCAATTAGAATGGTCTATTTGGGCCATGAATGCAACTGCAGGTCATCTTCCTAAATGGTTCAGACCTCCTTATGGAGGGGTTGATGATCGAGTAAGAGCTATTGTTCGTCAGTTTGGTATGCAGCTGGTTCTTTGGAACATGGATACTTTTGATTGGAAACTATTTGATAACCTGAGAACCGAACAGGAAATCTTAGGCGATATCGATAAGTATACCTTGTCCAATCAGGGTCTGGGATTGGTCTTGGAACATGATACCACCTTAGCCACTGTTAATTTGGCGATTAATATTCAGAAGAAATTGCCTAAACAGATGACGGTCCCCCAATGTGTTGGGGGCATTGATTATATCAAATTATTCAAGGAGTAGCAATTACCCTATTAGTGAGTGGAATTATTCAGTTTCTAAATAGCAACCATTCCAGTCAATTGATGGTCTGTTTCAAATCACTATACATGTGGGTCCGGTCTACCCTCGGTTCGGCTACACCCTCGTAAATACTCTCCCGTCGTATTAATTGTTACACATACAGTAGTGGGGCATTGGGGTATGTATATTGATGGCTCCACAATGCATAACAATAAGTTACAAAGTCATTGTACATACGTTAGTGGAAAAACTTTTCGTAGACGTCTTTTTGAAAACAATATAATGGGGCACCTTAAGGGGTTGTCCCTAGTAATAAATTAATTAATAAACAACAAGGTAGTATTACAACCCAGTAGCCAGTTAGGGGTAGATGGATGCGTTAATATATAAACTTGGCAAACAATAAAGGCCTTTATTCAAATGCTTTATAAACAGCAACCTTTAAAATCGTATCATTACGAGAATGTAACAAAATTAGACAAAATGAAACCAGTGAGAGAGATAGTAAACCAATCTCTAAACAAACCAAACCTAATAAAAAAGTAATTAGGCAGAAGCAGTAAACAAAGGAGGTTTTTGTTCCATTACGGGAGAAATAACTTCAGCAACAACAGGCTTAGTGGCTTCACCAACAACACCAGCAACTTCTGAAACAGCATCTGTAGCAGGTTTGGTGGTCTTAGCAATTGTATCTACTGCCGAACCAGCGACAGAGGTAACCTTCACAACAAAATCATTGTTGACTAAGGTGGATTTAGCATCTTGAATTAAGGTATCGGCCTTTTGCTTGGTAGAGCTGGCTACTCCAGTGACCAAACCTTTTGTTTGTTCCAAAGATGGTTGAATAAATTTTGAGTTCAAGTCCTTAGCCAAAATGTTGGCAGTATTGTAAGAGGCAGTAATGTTCTTTTGGATAAGAGATCCTTCAGTGACATTCTCACGTTCACTGGTATAAGTTTCGTGAACTTGAGTGGACAAAGTAGTAGAAGTACTCCAGAGAGTCAGTCTCAAGGTCTTTGCCAAGGTGGCCAAGATATAAACCAGAGTAGCCAAAGCATCGGGATGTTCCTTACATTCAGCAGAAGTGGAGAGTGTGGTACCTCCAATAACGGCATCGGCATTCTTAGCCAAAAAAGTGTTAGCTGGAGCCACAAAGTTAGTTGCAATGTATGCAATTAACTTTGAGTAGAGAGCAGTTGGGGTATAAGGCAATAATTTAGCCACCAAACCATCAAAAGTTATCAACAACGAATCAAAAATTTCATCTGCTCCATTAGCAATGGTAACAACAGTAGTTGGAACAGGAGGTAACTTAGTCGCAATACTCTTGTAGTATTTGGAAGATACCACTTGATTAAATACCAGTGACAATTGAGCAGACAAATAGGTGACAATGGAGAGGGACGTGATAAACACGTAAAGTTGTTGTAAAGCCTGGTAACTCTTCAAATGAGACCAAGTCTTTAAGGTGAAGGTTGGAGAAGCAGGAGAAGCAGCAGCAGGGATAACGGTACCATTACTTTCAGAAGACATGGCAAATACTCAAGTATAAAATGTGGTGGTATAAAGTGGTATAAAATAAAATGAAAATGTGATAGGTCACAATTCAAAATTCAAGGGGGTGGGAGAAAATACTAGTTCCTGAAAACAAACAAACAAACAAACGACAATAATTGTAGGATATGCAAAGAGATGTATAGGAATCCAAGCCTATGTATTACTTTAAGTATAAAGTTAGGTGAAGGAGAAAGAGAAAAAAAGTCCACATGAAGTTTTAGGGATACCTTATATTTATATGTATAATATTAGTTTTCCATTGATGAGGATGCAAAAGAATAGCCTGGCATGTGAAAATTGGCCATCCACCCGTACTGCATGTATGAGAAGGAGACACGGTGATACCAAAGTTAGGGTATAGGAAGTGGTACTTTTAATTATTATTTACTGTCATAAAGGTTACTTGTATCAAGAGTGTATGTATATAACATACTATGTACTAAAGTGTTTACTAGTGCAAACTAATGGTCTTTACTACGTACTACAGCCTTTACTACGTAATATTATGTACCATTACTATTCCCTTCTACTACTGTATTGTGGATATGCTCGGTCTTTTATTTCACCGAAACTCTTGTCTAATTGTGCCATATGCTCTTGTTATCTTTTCCTAATTGAACTTGCCAACCGACCTTGCGCAGTTGATCTAAACTGGATTAAAATCATCATATGCATTCCGCTGGCTTGTCTATTTATATCTTCAGATACATTGTCTTGGTCCATATTCGGGATCCTAAAAATTGTGCAAGTAGCAACATTCGTATTATGATCACTGGGGCTAAGGTCCACCCTGTCCCGATTCCGAGAACCGGCTTCAGACCGACTTTGTGCCACTTCTTATCTTGAAATTACACCCGTTTTACTTCTCTTGTTCACCAATTTAGCACGGATTGCTTCCCCTATCTTTCGGGTTTATGACTTTGCCGCACTGGTGATAGCAGTTTGGCCTACAATCTCTCTGATCTGTTTCTAGAATCTTTTTCAATTATAGTTGGGGGATTTCTTTCATCGGCTAGTTTATCACGTGATATGCCGAGGGTCGCACAAACTCAATATCTTCGCTTTATTATGGTTTAATTCAGCCTCGCCATTAATCAATCAATTTTATCATGTGAATTATTATTCTACTACTATAAATCTTTCATTATGTTCTAAATAAGCTATAAGTAAAAAAGAAATACTTTTAATATTATTGTATTGTATTATTATTGTTGCTTACATTCAGGAGGATTCTCGGTACGACCACCTTCTTCATCATCATCATCGTCGTCATCATCATCTTCTTCCTCATCATCATCTTCTTCTTCTTCATCTTCTTCTTCAAATCCTTCTGGATATCCAAAGTCAACAGCATCACCAGTAAACCAGTCAATAGCTCTGGGGATCAAGCGATCCTTAATCTCTTCACCCAATTGGTAATCCAATTCCAAACGAGCTTCCAATTCTCCATCTTCTTCTTCGTCCACTTCTTCTTCTTCTTCGCTCTTGGTTTCCTTGGTGTCTTCCGCTTCATCTTCTTCAGTCACCTTTGGAGGCTTTGGTGGGTCAAAGAAATTGAAAAATGATTCGGTCGGTGTCAACTTTTCAATAGTCCGTGTTTGTTTAGTTGTACGATTACGTTGCTTCCGTCTTTCGATATTTATAGTGACATTGTCCTCTTTAGTCTTCCAGTCAATCTCACACCCTTCAGCGTGATCATAGACAAAATCTCCACTGTAACCCAATTCAGCTTGGTAGTGATATGTTTTAGTTAAGGTCTTATTGGAGAAATATGTGTTCTCGGGACTGAACTCGAATATCAACTGGAACCCAGGAGTCTTCAAGTATTCCATACGCACATCAACCAAATATTGCATCACTTCGCTATCACGATCAGTGATGGTTTCAGCAACAGTTGGTAAGTTTTCTAAAGCAGTCAACCAGAAACCAGGAATACCCTTTGCAGGTTCTTCTTCGGGTTCACCGTCCTCTTTTCCATCTTCATCTTCTTCAGAGATTTCCTTAACCTTTTCTTCTTCTTCGTCATCCTCTTCATCCTCTTCATCTTCTTGTAAAGTCTTACCTTGTTCGATCTCTTCACTAGAAGGTTCTTCGTCACCAACAATAATCCGTCTTCTACGGGCATACAAGGGCTCGTACTTGGCAAAGTAACGTTTCTCCAACTCCAACAACTCACGTTGGAACTCAGCCTCCAAAGTCATCTGTTGTTGTTGAATGCTCTTTAAGCCAAACACCCGGTCCTTCACCACCGAAGGTAACAGTTCAATATAACCCAGAGGAGCACCAACTAAGGGGAATAACTTGTCGCCCACCATAGATAAAACAACAGGGTTGTTGGCGAAGTTCTCTTCGTTGATCTTAGGCATCGTTGGAGGTTGGTTACGTAAATAAGAGTTGGTAACACTTGATGGAGTATTCTGAGGTGTAGGGGCCTTTGAAATGTCGGCGGCTCTACTTCTAATCGGTTCACTCATGGTCACTAACTTTTTTTTCTTTTTGTATCAATGAAATATGACACGTCTGATGGCAAAAAAAAAAGTTAAAGGGAGTAGTTGGTAGGTAGGAAAGAGAGCGATGTCCAGTCCCTTTCTTTTCGGTGATGATTATTGACGTGGTTTCAAATCTAATTCTTTTTGTGTCATGTTCTACCCCCCCTGTGTTGAGACGTTTCAGGTTCGATCCTCGACGGGGTTATAACCGCACACAACTACATTCAATAATAGTATGCTGTGTATTTATATAATCATATATTTATTCATTTCTCATAGTATTTTTACTTAAAAGCTCTCTCACTCTTCCTTCTTCCCATCTAAATAAAGTTCAACTACTTGCTTCCTCTTTTCCCATTGGTCAACTTGACTTAATTTACTCTCGATCTCACTGATCTCCTTATCAATGGTTTGCAAGTTCTCTTCACTGGTCAAATCATGTAAACTCCAACTTCCAACCTCGTCTATTTCTAATACTAAGTCGTGATATTTCATCAAAAGTGGGCGGTGACTTAGCGTGATATACCGGATCTTTTTCCGTTCCAAAAGCTCAAACAAGTACCCTTCCACATCAGTACTCACAGCATTTGTCAGTTCATCCAATACTACCAACTTCGGTTTCTTGAAAAGGACTCGAGCAATCAGGATCCGTTGTTTCTCTCCTCCAGAGAATACATCCTTCCAATCTTTACGAACATTGAAGTTCCCTTCACGAGTTAAAAGGTATTCCAACTTAACCTCTCTTAAAATATGGAATAAATGATCATCATTATATCCCATTTCTAACATATCATTATAAGAATAAGGATAAATGATTTGTTCTCTTAAATTCCCTTGGGTGAAGTAACATTTCTGAGGTAAATAATAAATATCATCATCATTAGGCTTCAGAAGTAATCCATAGTACAACGGCCATAACCCAGCCATAATACGTGCAATAGATGTCTTACCACATCCATTATGACCCAAAATAAGTAAGTTCCAGTTGTTCAGCACTTGGAATGATAAGTTATTGGTTATTAGGTTAGTACCCTCTGGACCTTGAGCCAGAGGTATAATAATAGGAATATTCTCGAAACGAACTCCACGACGATAATCATTTTGAATGGTACCATTGATACATGAACCACCTTCTTCGGCAATCACCTTATCATTTGCACCGTATTGAAATCTAGGCGAATGAACCTTATGTAAGTTTGTCAACAACTCAAACACACGATCAGTGTAACCAGTTAATTCGGAAATATCTTTAAGTGAGTACATCAATCTGCTTCCAGCATCAGCAAGAGAAAGCAAAAGTCTCTTGTTAATAATGAACTGCCGCATATTTTGTCTTTCATTGGCTCTTGACTCAGTAGCGGTGTCGTTATTATTAGTAACACCCGTAGTACTAGTACTAATAGTTGGAGCAGCCGTAATAGCAGTAGTACTGTTAGTACCCTCTCCACTAACATACTTAAGGAAATCATCAAGGAAAACAGGTAATCCTGCAAAAATATAACCCCAGGCAGACCAAGTATACTTCAAAACATAATCTTCAAGAATATTATAAGTGAATGTGATATCAATTTCCTTATTAATATGTTTCATCAACTTATCAAAAGTCTCCAACAACTTATTCCTTTCTGTGACGGAACCCTTATAAAACCCGATTTCTTCACTATTTGTGATGATATTTAAATGTTGGTTATAATAAGTACCTTCTAATTGGGTTCTTTTCTTTGATAACTTCCCAAACGAAGGTGTGTACCGTTTAAGGACTGTAGCTGTTAGAAAGTAGTTGGCAAAAATCCCTATAATGGCACCAGTTCCTAAAGCATCTCTAAGATAAACCAGAAAGAACACCAAATCGATAGCTGGCTTCCCCATCGAAGAGAACAATGAACAAATAGAAGAACAAAACTTCTCCACGTCATTAGTAATATATTGATCAATATTGACCAAAGTTGGAGAGTTAAAGGCAATCTTGTAGTACACCATTTTGTTATCCAAATACATGTCATGGATATACCTAGTCAAGTTAGCTCTAAAACTAAGGGCCAATCTATTAGTTAAATATTTGATGGCAGCGTTGGTATAAGAAGCCGGAAATGCAATCAAAAGCCAATAAATCAAATCTCTGGCAAATTTCCTACCATTCCCACCAATCAAGTTCTTGACGATTTGACCATCCAACTTGGCAACCAAAAGCGACAACCATGTTCTTAACACAAGGAAGAAACATTGCGATAACAAAAGATACGTATTTTTCAGATAGTACTTGGGAATAAGGATACGCCAAATAAGAGCAATCTGTGAAAGGAACCGGGAACTAAACAACAGAGAACTTTGAGTATCATGTAACCGTTTATCAAAGTTCTTATACAAGTATTTATCCAGAGCATACAAATCTTGGTTTGGTTTAGGAATCACAATTCTCTTAAGAGTCAGCTCATCCTTGGGTTTAGGAACGTACAATTCACGAGCACCGGATTTCTTCAAAATCGAAGATGATTGACGTATCAATAGCGGTCGGTTCAGCTTACGGTTGTAAACATAATCCTTATACAGATGGATCAAGGACCGTATACAGAAAATGGCCGTGAACCCTAAGGATCCGGCTAATGTAGTAAGGAAAAGAATAACAGGACGTGATTGGTAGTTGATCGACACCCTATTCATACGGTACTCCCGTATGAATTCCTGGATGAGGACCACCACTATCTTATACCTGTTTGTAACTGGACTTGATAGTTTAGAGACGGCTATCATTGCAAACACTCAGACAGACACAGTGAGTCGTATATATGTTTCCGTTTATAGATAAGAAGATATTGTTGACCACGGAAGAAAGAACAGAAAAAGCACATTCATCTATTTGAACAAACGTTATGTGACGAATTGTGGGGGGGGTTGATGTGGGGGTTTTGTGTCTCGTATGTTACCATTTTGTCTGACCCCCTCTCTATGTGGTAAAACTTTCACATGGGCCGAGAAGGTATGCCAATTTTCGCTTGAATCAGTTTAGTCACGTTCTAGGTCACGTGAGAAAGTTTGATGTAGTGTTACATGGTACCTATAACAAGGTTCTACACGGTTTTATACGATGGCTATTGAATGGAATGGTGGGGTTCTAAAAAGCTTTGTGTTGTTTTTGGTTGATAGATTGTTAGCAGCATAGCATGTAGCAGGTGCAGATTTCATATTATCAAGATCAGATTGGGTGTTAGGGTCCTCGGAATGTAGAGAAGATTACATAAAGAGGACAATAATCAATTTCAACAAGACTGCACCAACTCGGATCTAACGATGGAATTAATTACGTCCATTTTGACCCGAAACAAGGTTAATCTCTGCATCTGAAGCAGTAATCAGGATAATGGCATATTATTTTGAAGTATGCCTGGTTTCTGTGTAAAAATTGTGAGATAACATTGATACAATATTTAATTTATTATATAATGCATTTTATGCTCTTATTTGTACACTAATGGACTTTCGTTGCTATAAACGACTTAAGATATCAATAAGAGTATATGTAGAGAAGAGACTGCGTTGATCTTAAGTTTTAAACCTTACAAACCCAAAGAATAAGAAAATCCCCATTATTAGCTATACGTTTCACCGATACCGTATATAGATTTGAAAATTGTATAATGCCATTGGAGTCCCAGTGGCCGAGTGGTTAAGGCGACGCCCTGCTAAGGCGTTGGGTTTTACCTGCGCAGGTTCGAATCCTGTCTGTGACGCCATATATTTTTTTGTTATTTTTTTTGATCTGTTCTTATCTCCTCTACCGTTTGTCATCCCCACCTTATTGTTTATCTGGACATATGGAAGGATACAAGGTGTCCCCGTGAATCTACAACAGTCCAGTAACGGTTTGCCACTGACTATCTTATAGTCGAATATGCTACAAAAAAATCTGCTGAGGCCCTACACAGTAGAAATGCCTATGCAAAGCTAGTCTAGGTGTTAAGCGGACCAAACTTGAACCAGGGTTATCACTAGTACACTGGGTCGTGTCCCAACCGTAAACACTGTGAAAAATTTTCAATACCAGATTAACCATTAACTATACATTAGGATCTAAGTAAGGTGAGAAGAAAGAGCGATACACTACTGGTAGTAATAATAGAAGGAATAACAGCAATAGGAATAAAACAGTAGTAGCAATTCACGATAAAAAATACTGTGTAGAAATTAATAGGTTAAATCAAAGTACTCTTTATCAATCAAACTCTTTCTTTCTTACTCTTATGGTAATTTCTTCCTTACTTCTTTCAGTCTACCTTATCTCCCTATACCCCTCATAGTCAACCGAGCCGTAGGGACAGACGGCGGAATCACCGGTACCGGTGATTCCTTCAAGAGGAGGAAAGGTAACTCACTTGGTTCTTCTTTTGTGTCATCAACAAGTGTCACGTGAAGTAAATTCATATGCCCTAGACCCACCGGCGTTAAGTCAACCCACCACCACCTAACTGTATATTCATTTTCTTTCGTTTCGGATTTTAATCAAAGGGTCTTAAGCACATTAAAAGGTTATAAATATATAGGGAGATTTTATTCCATTGATCTAAGGTGTGGATACCTATTTACGGCTGGCTCCTAGTTTTTCTACCTACTGCTACTTTTTGTTGCTATAATTTGCTATAATAATCATAAGGCTAATAATAACAATATCAATATGGACCCTACTAACGACCCCAACTTCACGCCTCCTTCAAGACAACCTTTAATTGAACCAACTGCTCCTTCGTCTGCTATTCCTAAGTTTGCTCCTATTCAACCTTTAGTATTGGCCGATATGGGTGACCCAGTGGATGCACCATCCCCACACCCTCAAATGTCTTCCAGTGTTTCTGCTACCCATCTTCATCATCATTTCAAGGATAAACTGTATCAATCCAAGATCCCCAGAATCCATGGCGATTTGGTAGACTCCTCTTCTGACGACGAGAAGAAGGAAGAACAAGTCGAAGTGGTGTCACGTAATGTTGCTTCATTCTCAATTGAAAGTGACGACTACCAACAGCAACAGCAACAGCAACAGCAACAGCAACAGCAACAGCAACAGCAACAGCAACAGCAGCAGCAACAGCAGCAGCAACAGCAGCAGCAACATTCAACACGTCCTTCCGTGATACTTCCGCCAAACCTGCAAGTTCAACTGTATCAAATCGCAGACTTGGAGGAAGTGCCCCATGGAATCCTAAGACAAGCAAAGACTCTAGAAGATTATCATTTCCCTAGTCATAGATTGGCTACTACTATGCTGGACGATTCTAAGCATCCGTTGGTGATCGTTGCTTGTGGCTCGTTTTCCCCCATAACCTATTTACATCTTCGGATGTTTGAGATGGCTCTTGATGCCATTCTGGAACAAACTCGATTTGAAGTCATTGGTGGGTACTATTCCCCCGTGTCTTCGAATTACAAGAAACAGGGGCTTGCACCCGCACACCATCGGGTTAGAATGTGCGAGCTTGCATGTGAGAGAACGTCATCATGGTTAATGGTGGATGCTTGGGAGTCTTTACAACCCAAATATACTCGAACTGCATTAGTATTGGATCATTTCAACCAGGAGATCAATGTTAAAAGAGGTGGAATCACCACCAAGAATGGTGAGAAAAGATTGGTTAAAATCATGCTTTTGGCAGGTGGAGATTTGATTGAATCAATGGGTGAACCAGATGTATGGGCTGACCTGGATTTGCATCATATCTTGGGTAAATATGGCTGTCTTATTGTTGAACGTACTGGATCTGATGTTAGACTGTTTTTACTTTCTCATGATATTATGTATGAGCACAGACGAAATATCTTGGTGATCAAACAATTGATTTACAATGATATTTCCCTGACAAAGATAAGGCTTTTCATTAGAAGAGGAATGTCGGTTCAATATCTTTTGCCAAACTCGGTCATAAGGTATATCCAGAAATATAATCTCTATATTGATTCTGAGCCGGTTAAGCAAGTGATGAACGAGAAAGCCGATTGAGTCACGCGGTGAATCACGTGACTCATATATACATAAGACACCTTGTTCTATTACAATATTACTGTACTACTACTTATTATTATTATTATTATTACTATTGTATACTTGTATTAATAGGTGTTATTATTGTATATATGAAATTATTCTGTATATTACCATTCTTGGGCCCTGACACCATAAGCCGACTTCTTGGTGCCCTTAATAGGCTTGACTAATTTGGAACCACCTTCCAAGAAGGAAAACACGTCTCTTCTCTTAGCTTCATATGCAGCAATGTGATCCTCCTTTTGTAAGGTCAAACCAATCTCATCCAACCCATTGACCAAACAATGTTTCTTGAACTCTTCCACGTCAAAGGATTCCACCAACACTTGGTCGGTTTCACCATCTCTGATTTGTTGTTTGGGCAAGTCAATGGTAAGCTTTCTCCCAGCAATTGCCACTGGTGATAACTTTTCCAAAATGACTTCTTGTGGTAATCTGATAGGTAACAATCCATTTTTAAATGAGTTGTTATAAAAGATATCCCCAAACGAGGGGGCAATAATACATTTGATACCAAAATCCTTTAATGCCCAAGGAGCATGTTCTCTAGATGACCCGCACCCGAAGTTAGGTCCAGTAACAACCATGATTTGTGCCTTGTTATAAGGTTCAACATTTAATACGAAATCGGTTTCCACATCTTTGCCGGTGTTAGGGTCTTTGGTGAATCTTGCTTCATAGAATAACCCAACTCTCAAACCTGATTTCTTAATAGTCTTTAAAAATTGCTTGGGGATAATGGCATCAGTATCAACATTGGCCTTATCCAATGGTGCACCAACGGAAGTCAAAACACCAAATTTCTCAATCCCGCCAGTACTGACTTCTTCAGCTGCACTTGTTGATGAAGCAGATGGAACGGAAGATTCTGGAATATCATTCAATTGTTCATTTTTGGCTTCTAAAGTCTCAGGTTCAACGGGTTGTTTCTCGTGTTCATACACAGCATCTTGCAATTGCTTATCTTCGGTGGCGGAGGTACTAATTTTAATTGAGGGTTCATCACTGGTATCATATTCAAAACTTCTAATGTCAGTGAAATGCCCTTTAATGGCAGCAGCTGCAGCCATGGCTGGTGACATCAAATGTGTTCTGGAACGTGCACCTTGACGACCTTCAAAGTTTCTGTTGGAAGTGGATGCACATCTTTCTTCAGGGTTTAAGATATCAGGGTTCATACCTAAACACATGGAACATCCAGCTTCTCTCCATTCAAACCCAGCAGCTTCAAAAATCTTATCCAAACCTTCCCTTTCAGCTTGTTTCTTGACTAAACCTGATCCAGGAACAACTAATACTTGTTTGACATTTGCTGCCTTCTTGTGACCCTTGGCAACCTTAGCAGCAGCTCTTAAATCTTCAATTCTTGCATTGGTACACGATCCAATGAATGCCTTATCAATTTTAAGTTCTTGCAATGGAGTGTTGGGTGTTAAACCTTGATATTGCAAAGCTCTTTCCATACCAGCCTTCTTAATAGGATCATCAACAGTTGATGGGTCTGGTACAGATGCAGTAATGGGTAAAGCATCTTGTGGAGAATTACCCCAAGTAATGGTTGGAACGATGTCGCTGGCTTTAATCTTGATATCGTAATCGAATTTGGCTCCTTCATCAGAATGCAAAGTCTTCCAATATTTCACAGCCTTTTCCCATTCAGCTCCACTGGGTGCTAAAGGTCTACCTTGAATATAATCAAAAGTGGTTTGATCTGGTCTAATCATACCGGCACGTGCACCGGCTTCAATGGCCATATTACAAATAGACATTCTTGCTTCCATGGATAAGTTTTCAATGGCCTTACCACAGAATTCAATCACACATCCAGTACCACCAGCAGTACCAATAACACCAATAACGTGCAAGACCAAATCTTTAGATGTAATCCCAGGAGATAAGTCACCATCCACGCAAATTCTCATGTTCTTAGATTTGGCTTGAATGACGGTTTGAGTGGCTAAAACATGTTCAACTTCAGAAGTCCCAATTCCAAAGGCAAGGGCTCCAAAGGCACCGTGGGTAGAAGTATGAGAATCACCACAAACAACAGTAGTACCAGGTAATGTGAATCCTTGTTCTGGACCAACAATATGAACAACACCTTGTCTATCATCTTCCATACCAAAATAAGTGACTCCAAAGTCTTTGACATTTTGTTCCAAGGTCATCACTTGTAACTTGGAATCTTCTTGTTGAATAAATGATTCCACATCAGTGAAGTTGGATCTGGAAATAGTTGGAATGTTGTGGTCAACGGTAGCCAAAGTACAATCTGTTCTTCTTACTTTTCTTCCAGCATTCTTTAAGCCTTCAAAGGCTTGAGGTGAAGTAACTTCATGGACTAAATGTCTGTCAATGTAAATCAAACATGATCCACCATCATCCTTGTGAACAATGTGGTCGTCGAAAACCTTATCGTATAATGTTCTAGGCGCCATTATGATTAATATATTGCAACTAAATGATTTACTAACTAAGTGGAGGATCTTATTTATGGAGATTGATGTATTTATATATGAAAGCCAAAAAATTTTCTACACCTTGGGGTAAATCCCGGTACCGGTAAGTTGCACCGGTACCGGCGAGCGAGTCCGCTGTCAAATAGGAAAACAGGAGACTGTAATCCAAATATATCACTGTATTTTATATGCAGGTATAAAAGAGTAAGGCAGGACAATCATGATAATAGTAATAATAATAATAATAATAACAATAAAATGAGATGCTCAACCATGACTCAATTATATAGGGAGTGTATTCAATTTATATGAGTCATACACAAAGCACTACAACTACTACTCAGAGTGAAGACTCATGACTTGATTTATCACGATCAGGTTGTAAATGTAATTGGGTGTCACACGACCATATAATCAGATGTAGTAACCACAACTACAAGTGATAAACTTTGGTAGGCATGTTTATGATTATCCAATGTTATGGGAGACACGTAGCGGCCCATGGTAACTGTGGATCCGTTTTCTGTGTCGTATATCATGTTTCACTATGGCAAGAAATAGCTGCGAAATATGCTTACAGACAGAAGAGAACATACGGATATAAGTACTGTGGGAATACGGAGATAATGCAGAGGCAATACAGTAAATATTAATGGCACAACAGCCAATTCAGTTACAGTGGCCGTGGCTACTAGTTACAGTGGCACAGTTCTGCTGTACAATGATAATCTTGCACTGCTTATTACTGTACTGAGATTTACTCTTACTATCGGTAATGGCACGACTTATCAACCATAAACATATATCAAACCAAGTAAGCATGCTAATCTCCCCAGCCTACCACCATAGTACAACCCCATGTTACCCTCAGGAAACAAGAGGACCAAGATCAGACCGCCCAGACGGTCACTCTTAGATAACGCCATCAGTGGCGTTGTCAAGGACCACGGAGCGGAGTTTGAGAAGTCATGGAGGTTACTCCTGATAGCCATCAAGCTGATCCAAGAGAAGAACGTGTCGGAGTTATCATATGAACAACTCTATCGTATGGCATACACTTTGGTGTTGAAGAACTATGGTACCAAGTTATATGATAATGTGTGTCAGCAGATCAAGCAACATTTGTTACAACGACGGTTACATTTGGTACTGAGTGATATGATGGATGATGAAGCCAATTTCCTTAAAGAGATTTCGATCGAATGGAACGAACATCTTCAAGCCATGAAGTTTATTAGTGACGTGTTAATGTATATGAATCGAGTCCACGTAAAGGAGCAGAAGGTTCCCTATATCTATGATTTGGGGATAGTGCTCTTTTTGGAGAACGTCATAGAGTATAATGATCATGAGATAGGTCACAGACTAATTGATACCATTATACTGGAGATCAACAATAGCTGGAAGGGTCAGATCATTACTACCAAAACTTATATAACTAAGACCATTAGTATGATGAACGAATTAGAGTATGGCAAGAGAACAGTTGCAGCAGCTACAGTTACAGCAGATGATGTTGATAATGAAGGGTCCAATTATTATCAAAGGTATTTCGAACCGAGATTCCTTTCTGTATCTTCTACATTTTTCTCTCAATTTGCATTGGAGTGTTTGGCACTTGAATCTGGATCTCATTATGTCCAGGCAACCTCACAGTTTATCAATGAACAAGAAAGTATGCTGAATTTTTTCCTCTCCACTACCACTCATCCGAAACTAATGCAATTGATGTGCAACGTATTGGTGAAAGATAGAATTGACTATATCATTAGTCTTCCATATGAAAACCACGGTCTATCGTATTGGCTAGACAATGTGATTCGAAATATAACGGCGACCACTCGTTCTGACCCTCATTATGAAGAACTAAGACTACTCTATGACCTTGTGGGGAGATTTGATCCAGAAAGAAAACTATTGAAACTCAGACTTCGAGATAGAATCATTGAAGATGGTCAGAAAATTGAACAAATTGCCTTAGAAATGGCTCAAAATTCAATTAAATCATCATCATTTTCTTCTTCCGCATCTAAAAAGAGCCCTTCAATCTCCTTCAATTCTTCCTCATTTGCAACTAATTGGGTAAATTCCGTACTTGATTTCAAAAACCAATATTTTAAGATCATTTCTCGTTCATTTGGTCGAGATCATACCTTTGAAGAGTCTATTATCTCTTCTATGAGAACTTTTGTTAATAAGAATGGTTTCAATGCTCCTGAGATCTTATCAATATATATTGATCACTGTTTAAAACAATTAACTAAAGGTGGCAGTAAGACACCAGTCGATGAGCTTTTGGGGAACGCATTGACATTCATTAACTTGATCCGAGATAAAGATGCCTTTGAAGCGTACTACGCCAACCATTTCGCTAAGCGGTTCTTGAATTCCAAAGGTGGAGCTTCAAGAATGGTAGATGGCATGGATATTGAAGATCTATTCATATCTAAAGTGGTGGATATGTTGGGGCTTTCTACTGTTGCCAAACTTCTAAAGATGAACAAGGAGACGAAGCTGTCATGGGAACTCACCAAAGAGTGGAAGAAACTTGTGGAAGCCGATAAAGATAAAAGCTTGATAGAAATGGAATTGAAGATTTGCAACACTGTGGATTGGCCCAAGTCCATGACTAAAGATTATCGAATATTCGTAGGAGATGAAGCCGAGGGACAAGCTCCCTTTATATGGCCCAAACAACTCCGTCATACTATGAAACAATTTGAAGAGTACTGGAGTCTGGGGAAGAAGAATTCTTCTAAGAAATTATATTGGAGTCCCAAGTTCGGGAATATGGAACTAAGAATATCATACCCTTCAAGGACTTACGACATTAGTCTTTCCACTTATGCGGGGATAATCATGCTCTTATTTGCTCCCCAATCAGATGAAAGTTGTATACTGCCATTCGAAGAAAAGAGATCATACACTTATACGGAGATAAAGGGACTAACTCAAATCAACGATGCGGATTTAAGAAGACAACTTCAATCGATAGCTGTGGCTCCTCGACTGAGACTTTTAACCAAAACCCCAATGTCTAAAGAAGTAAATGATCTGGATATCTTCCAATTGAATGAAAAGTTCAAGTCTCCAACCACTAAAGTTAAAGTCCTTACAGTTTCATCATCATCTTCATCATCTGGCTCTACAGGGAAGGTAACAGCGACAACCGCAGACGATGATTCTCTGGAAGTTAATGCCCGTATTATCGAAGGAAGAAAGGTCATTCTAGATGCAGCAGTCGTTCGTATTATGAAGTCTCGAATGTCATTGAACCATAATGATCTCATAGGTGAATTGCTTAAACAATTAGCATCCAGGTTCCAGCCACTGCCATTGATGATTAAACAATGTTTGGCGGGGTTAATAGAGAAGGATTACATTATGAGAGATCCGAAGGAACGGAACGTTTATCGGTACATTGCATAAAAATATTTACATGTATAAGTATTCCCTAGAGTCTATACTATTCTTGAAATCGCGCTACCATTAACTATTTGTGTATATACCAATATGGTAGCACCACCGAAAATCTATACCAAAAAATACACACGGTATAAAAATTACTACTGCTGACAAGATCTTCTTATTCCAGTCCAGGATGTCCGCCAGAGATATATTAGATGTATTGAATGTTCAACGAGATGAGCTGCCGGGGTTACCTTCCAAAAAGAGAAAGAAGCTTAACAGCGACAGTCCGATGCCTCGGCAAACGGGGATGGCCAGAGAACTCTATAACCTCTTAGGACCCAACACACCACCAGTACATCTTGGTGGAGTTAGCGGTGGAGGAGGAGGGCTCGGCGGACTTAAGGATAAGATGAATTTGAAGCCTTCACCATGGACCCGATTAGAGTTCAATCCACAACAAGGTAACGATAGTAAAGGAATCAAATTGTACCATTGGGTGAAAGGATCACGTGAGTTGCTTGAACAGGAACAGGCCACTAAAGAGTATTTGTTTGCAAAGTTCAATACTGGAGTTGAAATCCCGGAGCTTGTTGGTGAAGAGTTGTATGAGCAATATATGCAAGAGTTTGAGGAGAAGGAGGAGGAGGAGATAGTTCAGGCCCGGTTAGAAGCGGAAGCTAGACGGAAGAAGGAGGAAGAAAGACGGAAGGAAAGAGCCAAGAATGAAGAGAAGAAACAAGCAAAGGAACAAGACAAGGACCAAAGTAAAGATGAACAAGACAAGGACCAAAGTAAAGATGAACAAAGTAAAGGGGAACAAATTAATGATAAAAATATTGAAGTTTCAATAGATGATGCCGGTGCCGGCGCCGATGCCGATGCCGATGCCGAAGTCGATACCGATACCGGTGCTGCTGATAACACCGGTGGTATAGTGACAGTTGCTAGTACTTGGACTTATGAAGAAACCAAGTATTTATGGGATCTTTGTAAGGCATTCGAATTGAAATGGCCCATTATCCACGATAGATATACCTATGATCTTGGTAGAACTCAAGAGGACTTAAAGGAACAGTTTTATCGTCTTAGCGCCAAAGCATTGGACTCTCATGATGCTCAAAGTAAAGCTCTTATCGATGGATTAGAACTGTACTCCAAGTCGAAGGAGACAGAAAGAAAGCAATATTTGGAGAACTTATTAAAGAGAACGCCTGCTGAAATAGCAGAGGAAGAATCTCTTGTAATTGAAGCAAGAAGGTTTGAACTTGCAGCTAAGAAGATGTTGATTGAAAGATCCCATTTGTTGACGTTATTGGATTCTCCACAGTCTTCTCAATCCATACTGCAATACAATTCCTCTCAAGGATTGGCTACTCTTTATAATAATTTGATGATAATGGACAAGAACCAAAAGAAGAAACAGGGTCAATTGCAGAAGGTTCAGAACTCCAATTTCGATCCTGTACCCCCAGCTATTCCTGTTGCAGCTTCTTCGTCTTTCAAGAAGGAAAGAGTGTTCCAAACTCCCTTACAACAGCATTTGGCTGGAGTCTTGAAGTCCAACCAAAGCAACAACATCAAGCTGGAAACCAATTCTATCCAACAGTTATTAATGAAACGTTTGACCCAGAAAGAGGAAGAAGCCTATGGCTTGCACTATCATTCCAACGAGAAACTTAATCCTGGAGTCTTGTTGAGATCAGCTCAAAAATTACCAGGCTTGCAACAAAGACAGTCTGTTTTAAAGTCTGTTAGCACCCTTCTTCAGGAGTTAGATGTCCCCACTGGTGGTGGAACCAGTTGGAAGCCTGTGATGCCCACCAGAAAGACCATGGCCAAATACGACGAACTTATTCGGTCGGTGGTGGCTCTACTTGAGATGAAAAAGGGTAAGGACCGCCTCGAAGCGGAGATAAGGTTGATTAAGAGCCAAAAAGGTTTAGAATAATGGGTAATCTAATGGTAGCAAAGTCGAGGTATATTCTGCTGTAGATGATGTATTGGAATGTCTATATGGCAGTTTCATTATAGACTCAAACCCTGTATCAAAGTTAGTCAATGGTAATCCGGGTCTTATTACTTGTTGAAGAGTATAACTTGTTAGTTTGGGAGGGGGAACGGGGTCCAATGCTTTATCATTGAATCTGTTGAAAGCTTCAACCACAAGATTATATTCAAAATACCCTGTTGTAGCCACCAAAGCTTCGTTGAAAATATCAACGGAGAACTCAACAAATTGATTTTGATAGGGTGAACAACTATCAATAGACGGAACGGTCGAAAGGATCTCCACGAATCCCATAAACTCCATGGTGGAAAACGGGATCTTCATTTCCATAAATCCAACCAAAATAAACCTAATCATGAAGATTAAGTACACCCATAGTCTGTCTTGATTGGATGAGGATGATGATTCCTTTAAGGACCGAATATAAATGTCTACCAATTGGAAGACAACAGTGAAGTTCTCATAGAAGACCCATTTCTTAAGTTCAAGGGTATAATCTCGTTGAAAGTGTATGGAATTCACCAAAGCAGAATGAACTTGTTCGAGTTGATCTCTTAAAGGACTCTTAATTACGTCATATTTCCTTAGTTCAATCTCCAGGATGCCTAACTTCTCCACAAGACTCTTAAAGGCCATCTCATTGGCTATGAACTGTCGACAGTGGTTCTGTAAAGTTCGAATTATCGACTTATAGTATAGTTTGAATGGTCTGCTTTGGTAGTAGACATCAAACTCGTTGTTCATTTGCACCAAGAGTTCATGAAAATAGTTGGTCTTTGCATTGTCGGTCATTTCTCTGGTGTCATTGAGGTTTGTCAATAGTGTTTCTGCTATCTGCTCTCGAGATTGATGGTCATCTCTATAGGTTTGACTAACAAAGAGTGGACTACCACTATTTGTCAATCTGCTCCACAACATTATAAGGTAGTGGTTGTGCCTGTTCCTTGCTAAGGCCTGCAATAAGGAAATCAATATGTTGTCAATCAAATTGTCTAGTCCCCAGTAGTCCAACACTTGATAATAAAAGTAGAGTGAATACTCTTCTCTCAGTGCTGGGTTGCCCAAGAATTGGAACTTCTGAAACACTAGCACACTCCAGTTCCTATCATTAGCCACGTATTCCAACCGAACAATCACATTTATCAACTGTTCGACCAATTGAGGGCTTTTCCGGTAGTCCATACTGACCATCTCCAAGTGTAACACAGCAAGAAACTTGGTAACTAGTTTCCGATACACATTAGACTGTGTAACAGTGATGGACAGTAGTACTGATTTCAAAGTCCAACTAGTAATTCCTAATAAAATAGTAGTGTCTTTAGTTAGTGTTAATCTTTCAATTACCTTCACAGACTCTTGAGAAGTAAGGGTCTCTTGATAATACTTGATCACCACTTTCCATAACTTGGTGGCTTCAAGCACCGAACCGTAATGTTCAATGACAATCTGTAAAAACTCTTTTAGCACCGTTAAAGGTCTTCTTCTTGCTCTTGTGTCGACTATTTCAACATACGTTTGAATAGCCAGGAACACAAGTTTATCTAGCTCAATATCAGAACCATCAAGAATGGACCCAAGTATATCTGTGAAGGCAGATTGTAAATCAAACGACGACAATTGAAGCAATATAAGTACATGATTGAGTCGATTAATAAGTACCTGCTTCTTAACCTTTAATCCTTCAGAAGCAGTAGCACTAACCACGGACCCCGACACCATGAACTTCACTATGGATCGTTTATGGTTATTCCCTTCCACTGGCAAGTCTGAAATATACGAATACAATAAGAACAAGAACCCATTCATAAATGTATCTGGAAGAATATCTTGCCTGGAATGAACAAAGCCAATCAAATGGGCTGATCTTTCGTCTTCAAAGTTTGTGAATCTTCGTTTGGTGATAGTTGAGAATAAAAGTGACATCAAACCATCGTTGAGGGTCCAGCCTTTGGTTTCAATTAACGATATGACTATCTCCATGAAATGGTTATGGATCAGCAGCAGCAGCAGCATCGAAATTCTTTCATATAATACCATGAAACATCTCCAATTGGATCGACTATTAGAATAATAGCAAGCTAGGAAATAAAGAAGATCCAAAGTATCAAATAAGTCAATGGTTTTAGGTAATGATTCTATGGCTGTTTCAATTGGAGTCCACCAATCATGCTGATTAATAAGTTTCATTATAACAAGTGCTTCATTTTCTTTCGATACCTTATTGGGATAAATATCCTCTAATTCCAGAATATCATTGAAATACTGAAAGAAAATACTCCAGTAAACCGAACTGTACGTCTTTAATAACTTCAATAGCTCGTAGTCATTCAAGGAATGTCTTCTTTGGAGCATCAAGCACTGGAATAGCATGAAGATCGGGTATGGAATCAAATGGAACAAATCTAATCTTCTTGACTCTTTGCAATGCTTGAACATAATTAATATCAAAACTTTTAAAGACCTTATAATCCGATGTTTGGGAGGTTCTTGAGAAACCATATTCCACAAGAGTAACCCCCTAACACTAGCATAAAACGCAGTAGCATTCAACTTGTTTTCTTTAATTGAACTGGCCATTTGGTTAATAATCTTCTCCATATGCCTAAAGGAAGTGCCCTTGTCTATTAGGGAAAGAAAGTAAGAGTTTGCATTATAAGTAATAGTAATGGAGTCTTCCCTCTGCAGATCCAAAAGTGGTTCTCCTTCAGAGAGTCTTTCCAAATCTGGAAACTTGATGGCATTTAAGATGTAATCCTGTGGGAATACACTGGAAGGAATGTCTATGGGACCATCAAGGATTTCAGCATTAAAATTTACCATTGTTAATGGTCGACTTCGTTGCTCTTGAATCATTTTGGATTCAAGGTATCGTTTCTTGCTTTCTGCTTCTAAAACTGTAGTGAAAATGTTTGGAGGTCTTCGAATGTAATATCGGTCTATGGGGAATGATGTGGGAAACAGACTGTTACTAATATATTTGTTTCTAACCTTTGTTGGTGCTGATACTTTGGAGCTGATTCTCCTTCGAGGTAAACCTCTGGAAGAACTCGAAGTTGTTCTCTTTCTGGTGGAAGGAATTAATGATGATGAAACTGCTGTTGCTGACTTGTGTCGTTTCCGTCGTATAGTTGTTGTTCCTAGAGTGCTTTGCTTGTACATCTTCTTCTTTTGCTTATACTTGTTATTCTGCTTCGTCTTTGCTCTGATCCCGGAGAATAACGGGTCGATGTAATCTGACTCTCTTATATCCGAATCACTATCACCATTATTGTTGTTGCTTTCCTCTACAATGATCAAAGAGTCATCTGAATCATTAGATGATGATGATCCGTAAAGGGGTGTGGGTGGATCAACAATATCTTGTATCCGAGACGAAGAAGCATCATCAATAAAATCTCTAAATTCGTCAATTGAATGGTATGTCTTGCCTTTGTTCTTTGAAACCTTCTTAATAGCCACACCTTGTCGTATTGGTTGCTGATGGTGGTGATGGAAGTGTTTGTCTGGTCTTTTCTTTGGCTCTTGGGAACTAAAGAGATTCATTCTCTTGGCTGTTTCAGGAAGAACTCCTCTTAGTATCAGCTTGAGTTTCCGTCGTCTTCCCCCTACAAGAATATACTCTTGATCATCTTCACTACTGGAGTCGTCGTCGTCATCATCGTCTAGCACAATATTTCTAGACCGAACTGCACTACGGACAGTTTTCCCACTAACATCACCACCACGAGCATTATTAATGTCTTCTTCGTCTACTGGCATCTCAAAGTCAAAGTCAGCATCATTATCAGCATCAGCATCACTATGAACATTACCCAATTGGGTCTCTTCCTCCTCCTCCTCTTCTTCTTCCTGAACATAAGACTCAACTTCATCTTCATCCTCCATTTCTAGTCGATATTGCAAAGCTGCTTTCCCCAAATGAGCATAAAAACTCTTCGCCTTATACTTGTCCTCCTTGGGGTACCGTTGCTTCTTGGACGCATACAACTTGTTCAAAAACAACACAATCTTCTTAACGTCCTGTTCGTCCTTATATATGTCATTCAAGTAGTTAGGACTGCAAAGCCCAAGCCAATGTGCTTGGTCAGCCAAATATGGATGGGTACTGGCAAAGTTCCGTTTCCGGAGACTTCTACGTGATCTTAGTTCATGTGACCTATCAACATACATCTCTAGTAGTTGCAAATCATCGTCATTCTTCTGGGAAATGCTATCTACGACAACGGCGTCACGCCCATCATTACCATTAACTTCTTCTTCGTCTTCGTTCTCCTTCAATAACAGTGCATATTTTGACTGTAGTAGATAGCTTGTTATGATCTGATGATCTGTGGGGGTAAGAGACTGGAGACTTGATTTCAACCGGATTCTGGAGATATCACCCACCGATAACGGGCCGCCGTCATCTTCAGAATCGGATATGGAGTCCATGCTATATCATTGGGGTCATAAGGTCTGATAAAGAAGTAGTGATAGTTATGTAGATGTATACGCGTATATTTCGGACTAATATGTTTAACGGTGCGCGTAAATATTGGTCTGAATGGTAGCGCGGAACAACATGTAGTTGCTACTTTTATGCATTCACTATACTTTTCATATACTATTTCTTATACTATTTTTTATAAAAAACTGTTGTAATCGAACTGACCAAAGCCAACATCACACCTCAAATCTTCAGGCTTAGTAATACATTGAACAACAGCTTGCCTCGAAGTATCAATGACACTAATGTGAGATGCACTGTGCCATTTTGAATACTCAAAGTAACCAGAAGACGTTTCTACTTCTCGATACTTAGCATCAGGGAACTTGGTAACATATGGCATTAAGGCAATTTGTCCTGTTTGACCTTTTTTCACATTACAAGTAACTGTTCCCTTTGCATTGACCGAGGCTCCAATGGTCCATGCAGCTCCTATGATTTCCAGAGGACCAACAAGAGCAATGATTCCCGTAGAAATGGCAAAGTTACTGGACCCTCCAAAGGATTGTTGAATGGCATTATATATGGTACCTCCTTCACCATGTTCTTGACTAAAACACGCAGATACGGGCACTGACCGTCCCAACACCGACTTGTATTTGCTAGCGCGCACGTGAAACCACCGGGTCTCGCGTTTTTCCGGTTTGAGATTAGATTTACCAGCCACTGCAAAATAAGCATCGATTCCACTACTCATCGCAGCACTGTTTAATGCCGTACGATGGATGAAAATGGACAGGCCTGGAAGATGGTACACGTTAGACTCATCAAGCGACTTATGTTTAAGCATTTCTTCAAGTTCATCTAATGACTCGACTTTAACATGCGTAAAGGACACAACGCTTGGAATGATCTCGTACTGCATACCAGTAGAGTGTTGCAACGCTGCAACAACCGCCATCTCATGCAAGTCACGTGACTCGTTTTTCTTACTCCTACTAAGAACCATTTCATAGCCTAAGTCATCTTGCTCATAGTCATAATCATAATCATAGCCAAATTCAGGATCATATTGTTTAGTATAGTTATTATTATTATTATTCACTTTGACACTGGCACATCTGACTATTGTGAAGGTGCATAGCAAAAGTATTGAAAGTCTCATGAGGCTATACTTAGTTGTTAATGATATTAATGTAACATCAGATAAATAAGGAGAATATGAACGCTATATACATATATCTTTCTACAGCATTACAATATCTTGAAGCATACAGCTTTAACAAGAAATTATTCTTATGGTTTGTTGTTACCCCAAATATCTGGTGTACAGGTCTTTTGACCTGTATACAGACATCAACATAGCAGAAAAAATCAAGAACAAAACTCATCCTTAGCATACAACTCACATAGTACAGCCAACAATACCACTAATGGATAATAGACGAGTCTTAAGATCGCATAGGGAGAATTCACGTGGCACGGGAACTCCATATGACCGTCGGAGCGGGCTGCTTTTATCACGAGTCAAGCGGATCATAACGCCTACTTGGACTAGCCACAAACCACACAGCCAACCACAGCATAGCACTAGTACCGGCACTGGCGCCAGCACTAGCAGAGTACCGGAGAGATCGTTCTCCTCGGCAAAAGGGTTTGCATTTCCTGAGGTGGGAGTGAATGATACGTCTGTTTCGGTGTCTCAGATGTTGGGCGATGACGTCAATCCCAGTGAAGTTTTGTCGCAGTTCTTCCAACAGAAAGGCAATACTCCGTTGACCCAGGTGGAGTATGAAGGTGTGATGGCGTTATTGCTGAAGTCCAAAGATGGCAGTGGCAATGGCACCGGCAGCGATAATGGCAATGTAAGTGACATAGTCAGTTCCAGTGCCAACACATGTGGACGTCGCACAGTTGATAGAGCTAATGTTACTACAAGCCACATACAGATGCCAGGTAGTTTCTCTACAACTCCTAATAAACAAAAATCATTACGGAATACATCTTTACGAGAAAGAAGTGTGTATGTATCCACTCCAGAGTATAAGCCACACTATAAAAGCATAAACAATACCGTCAACATTCCTTCCATCAAGAGGGTGTACCAGTTTTCAGGATTGCCATCACCTTACAAGACCAAGATCAGACCTCCTCCGCCGGTATCTGCCAATACTACCATGAACAACTCAACCATTCTTCCGAGAAACATTGCTGGAATGTCCACCACTGCAAGCTCGCCGTTACCTGCCTCTAAGAAACCTCTTAGTGAAACCGCCAACACTTTATTGTCAATCTTAGACGGTAAACTGTCGACGGGAGAAGTTTCTGAATCTGATAGGGAGGTGCGTTTAAAACAATTATCTAATCCATATGGTAGAGGGAGCGGACTTAAGAGATCAAAAAGTATATCGTCCCAAAAACAGGAGTCCTCTTCGTCTTCTACTGTCTTTACAGCTGATGATATCTCGAAGACAATTGCATATGACCAGACAAAGGAGTTACCCGAGCCTAAGAAGCCATTGGTGAGCGTTCCTGATGTTCCTACTTTAGTAAATACTCCTGATGTTCCTAAACCTCTGGTGAGTATTCCTAAACCTCTGGTGAGTGTTCCTAAACCCATGGACGTTGACGACGAGCCTAGAACAGCCTCAACAAATACAAATGGAACCGTTTTTGCACAGAAGTCCGTCGGCATTCCATCGAAGCCAATGGCAGCTTCTTCTTTTTCTTCTTACGATAAGACCCAAACAGAATACATTTTCCCGCAGATCAAAAGTCTTACTGTTCAAGTTGATGAAGGAAAAGTCGAAGAGTATAAGAAGTTGTTTAATTTTAATTAACAGTTAGTCCTAATGCTCAACACCCTAACACCAAATATAGGTATATATTTAAGATCACGCAATCGCAATTAAAAAACTATTATACGTTAACTAATAGCAATACAATACGCCATTGCAGTCGATGAGAAAACGATGACATCGTGTAGCATCCAAAGATAACACCCAATTGACATTCTAGAAAGCCATTTAGCCTTCCATATCTTCTATATTTTACCTGCATTTATTTTATTCATGCACGACCTTACTGTGTTAAAAAGTTGATCTGAAATATACGATCAAAACATTATACGATAACAAGCACACCAAGCATGAGCAGTTCCGTATTGTTGATTGGTGGAGCCGGGTTCTTGGGGTTGCACTTGATTGAGCAGTTCCACAGACATTGTCCCAAGACCGAGATCCATGTATTTGACGTGAGACCAATCCCCGAGAAGATCTCGTCGTACTTTACGTTTAACCAAGCGGACATTAAATTCCATCAAGGTGACTTGACATCGGCCGAGGATGTTCGGAATGCTATTTTAGAGAGCAAATGTGATGCTATTGTTCATCTGGCGTCTCCCATGCACGGTCTTCCTCAAGAGATATACGAGAAGGTCAATGTCCAGGGGACACGGAACTTGCTTGAAGTAGCAGCTAAGGAAACCGGAGTTAAAGCTCTCATATATACGTCTTCCGCAGGCGTTATCTTTAATGGACAAGATGTGATTAATGCAGATGAGCTGTGGCCGTTCCCCAAGGTCCATATGGATGGTTACAATGAGACTAAGGCCGAGGCAGAAACTATGGTTGTTGATGCCAACTCTGATGACTTGGCCACCATATGCTTAAGACCAGCAGGGATCTTTGGTCCCGGTGATAGACAATTGGTGCCGGGTTTAAGAGCTGCTGCCAAATTGGGTCAATCCAAGTTCCAATTAGGTGACAATAACAACTTGTTTGATTGGACATATGTAGGAAACGTTGCTGATGCTCATGTGTTGGCATTCCAAAAGATCCTTAACCCTGAAACAAGAGACTTGGTTGCTGGAGAAGTTTTCTTTATCACCAACGATGCACCTACTTATTTCTGGACCTTGGCTAGAACTGTATGGAAGGCTGATGGTCACATTGATAAGTATAACATTGTACTAAAGAAACCAGTGGCTTTGGTTGCTGGATATTTGTCCCAGTTCTTCTCCAAGCTCTTAGATAAAGAGCCAGGCTTAACTCCGTTCAGAGTTAAGGTTGTTTGTGCTGTTCGTTATCATGATATTTCTAAGGCTAAATCAATGCTTGGTTATAAGCCTGAAGTTGACCTTGAAACGGGGATAAAGTATACTCTTGATTGGATGAACGAGTCGTGATTTATTTATACACACTAAATATAATACCAGAATATAACCATTCCAAATACTACAATATCAAAATAATTCAAACTAACGACGTGGTTCAGGTTCGAACTGGCAACTCCAACCTTTGAAGAACTGGCAGTAGTAGATCCTGTTGATGATACCGTAGTATCATTCGTGGCAACCGTGCTGTTTTGTAAAGCTACTGTAGTCGTGTCTTGATTAGGAGCACTAGAAGAGATGGTAGAGGTAGGTGTAGGAATGGTAGTAATGCTACTGCTTGTTTGCAGTAAGCTCTTCCCTGAGACCATTAAGGGGTCTACCTGTATAGGATCGTTATACTTCTTAAACGGTAATCCACAAGCATTGACCCCTTGTAGTGAAGAACAGTCATTAATCAATACAGTAAGAAAGTTTACGGATGGGTTACCCGGACAAAGGTTATAACAATCTTTATCAATGCTTTGTAAGGCACAACACTCACAAGCCAAGTCTTCTGCCTTACAGGTGTTTAACTTAACAAGGACATCGTTGCAACATTGTGAAAGCTTGATTAGCTCTTGTGCTGTGCACTTATCAAAGGCCCTGGCATTTGGATTGGCATATGATCCGTATTCGCCCACTTGCTTCGAGACTTGTTTGGAAACCGTTCCTTCAACATTCATAACTACCCAAAGGGCAGCAATCAATATATGACCAATTAAACGCATTAATGAGTGGTAGTAGTAGAATAAACAGTAAGGAAGTGATTTAGGCGCTGTTAATAACTTTAATAATTGTTTTATTTCGCAGCCAACTCAAAAGATTTATTGTTCTACGCTAGTGACAATATTACGTAATAAAATGATTATATACTTTGCCCAATATACAGGCTTGATTTTATACTGGATTATTGTATAAATAGGTTAAGTTTTAGGGCTGTGCAATCAAATTGCTCAAAATAGTTGAATTGATTGTCATAACCACTAATATTGTGTAATACTGTGTACTATGAATTGATTTATACTGTATACAGAAGTAAAAATCCCACACATTTTATTTAGTTTTGTTATAGGGTTTGTGAGTGTGCAACGCCTGCATTCCTAGTACACGATTGTTCGCATGCCGTCAACAAAAATTAACACAACACAAAGAAGACGTGTGTTTCAGGGGTACAGGACGCTTCGAACAATAATACTAGTACCGAAATTTCAAAATAAACCTTCTATTTGGTGGCTGAGAAGAACTGCAAAATAAACTTACTTACTTACCTATCCATGCGACATTTTAAGTCATCATCACTTGAACCCTCAAACTCTTAATAGTTGTGAAATATCCTCTTCACCTCTGTCTTACGCGTTCTTTTTCTCATAACATGTGCCATTATTATTATTATTGCTACAAGTCGCCTTGTGTCATATCAGACCTCTTTGGGTAAATTTGGTACGGAACAGTCTCGTTCACAAAAAGTAATTCCTACGGCGGTCCAAATAGCAATTAAGAATGCAGAAGCTCTATGATCTAATGTCGCGGATCTTAAGACACGAAACACCTCGAAGTAAGCAATTTAAAAATAAACCTTTTGTCGACGACTATAAAGGTTGCAAGTTCGCTACTCATTTAAACTTTTTGACATCTTATCAGCTTGGCATATCAAGAAAAAGATGATTCAACAACAAGTATATTTCTTATTCTCAATAGTTGTATCTTTGGTGTTAGCCGCCAACTCAGCCACTCCACCAGTGGAAATCATTGGCAATAAGTTCTTCTTTTCAGACAATGGAACGCAGTTCTTAATGAGAGGTATTGCGTACCAACAAAATACTGCAAACGCCACTGATGTCTCCTTTGTTGACCCCCTTGCAGATGAAGAAGCTTGTAAAAGAGATGTCAAATATTTCATTGAACTGGAAACCAATGTGTTGAGAATTTATGCAATCAATTCTTCTTTGGATCACTCTGGTTGTATGAAAACCTTTGCTGATGCCGGTATTTACATTATTGCTGATTTGTCTGAGCCAGATTTATCAATCAACAGAGACTCTCCAGAATGGAACTTAGATTTGTATCAAAGATACACCGATGTCGTTGATGAGTTTGTCAAATACGACAATGTGTTGGGATTCTTTGCTGGTAATGAAGTCACCAACAACAAGTCCAACGCGGATGCTTCACCTTACGTCAAGGCTGCCGTCAGAGATGTAAAGAAGTACATTTCCGATAAACAATACACCAAGATTCCTGTTGGTTATTCTTCCAATGATGATTCTGAAACCAGAGTTGCCATTGCTGACTATTTTGCCTGTGGTTCTGAAGACGAAAGAGCTGACTTCTTTGGTATCAACATGTACGAATGGTGTGGGGATTCCACATTCGAAAGTTCCGGGTACAAGGATAGAACAGAAGAGTTCAAGAACTTACTGATTCCTATCTTCTTTTCTGAATATGGTTGCAACTCAGAAAGACCTAGAAAGTTCACCGAAGTCGGAACCCTTTTCTCGTCAGAAATGACCGATGTCTGGTCCGGAGGTATTGTCTACATGTATTTCGAAGAGGAGAACGACTATGGTTTGGTTTCCGTTAAGGGTAATTCTGTTTCCACGTTGGGCGATTTCTCCAACTATGTTAAGGAAATCAAAAGTGTGACTCCAAGTCTTGCTAAGGCAAGTTCAGGTGGTAGTTCTTCCACTTTGAGTTGTCCTGGTAACAGCGACTCTACTTGGACCGCCGCCACAAACTTACCTCCTACCCCTGAAAAGGATGTTTGTGACTGTTTGGCCGGGACATTGACCTGTCAAGTTGATAGCTCTGTTTCCAAAAAAGATTACGGTGATCTTTTCGGCATTGTTTGCGGTAAGATCGACTGTTCTGACATCAGCGGTAATGGAACCACTGGTGTCTACGGTGCCTTCTCCTTCTGTTCAGACAAAGATAAGCTTAGTTATGTTCTTAACAAGTACTATGAAGAGAATGATAAGGCTAAATCTGCGTGTGCATTTGATGGATCTGCGACATTGATGTCGTCAGCTTCCTCAGGTGGTTCGTGTCAAACCAAATTATCATCTGCCATGTCTGCTGCTTCTGAATCGGCCCCAAAGACTACCGGTGGCTCTTCTGCCTCTGGAAGTTCAAGTTCCGGCTCCTCGAGCTCAGGCTCTTCAACATCTACAAAGAAGTCTGGCGGTAACGTCACGGTAAAGGCTCTTTCCACTGCTGAAATGTTTGCCATTGTTACCATAATCACTTCCTTTGTAGGTGGTGCTTCATTATTGTTTGTATAAATAAATTATATATAATTATCTAGAGTTAATTGGATACCATAAATATCTCTTTAAGTGCCTTGGAATCCATGACAGACGCTCTCTTTTGCATTATCCATCGAGCTCTTACTGATCTATGAGATGCAATGTGTTTGACTGATTCTGAAGTTGGTTGAAGCATACTTTCACGAGTAACTTCACTGTTTGACTTGCTTGATTTTTCCTTCTTTGCCCTCTTGTCCTTCTTCACTTTCTTTTCTTTCTTCTCCTTCTTCTCCTTCTTGTCCTTCTTCTCTTTCTTGTCCTTCTTCTCCTTCTTGTCCTTCTTCTCTTTCTTGTCCTTCTTCTTCCCCTTCTTCTTCCCCTTCTCTTTCTTTTCCTTCTTTTCCTTCTTCTCCTCCAGTCCTTCTCGCTTACGCTTTAACGGACGTTCTTCTTCAACCTCATCATCAGCTTTACGCTTGTTTATCAAAGCCTTCTTCTCTGAATCCCAAGTGCTCCTAAGCACTTCACCCTTCACAAAATGCATACCCCATTTCCCATTTATAATGTTGTTCTTTCTTTGTCTCTCTAACTCCAGACTGATTTGATCCTCCTTACCATTCAATCTCCCCAAAATCCGTTGGAAAACGTCCAACCCAGCACATTCACCGGTATCAAACTCATCCTTCTTCGTCTTCCGTGCCAACTTGGCCCCTAACCCAACGTTATCATCCTTAATATGTACCTTAACATGTGTGGTCATCGCATGAGACACCAACCCAAGACCTTGGCCAGGCTTCCAGCCCATCTTCTGTAAATACTGGTGACCAAATTGATCATCATTAGTCGACCAGTTGGTATTTCTGGGATCAAACCCAAACCTCTGCTTCACCTTTGTGCCCGCTAAACCCATGATGCTTTTCTTTCTTGTTTGGTATAAGAAAGTAGTTTGATGTTGCGATGCTCTTCTCAACTGTTTTAGTTATCATGTACTGCATATGGTCAATGGTAGCGCGGGTCAAACAATTACTGCTGGCAGTAGTACTGACAGTAAAGCACTTTATATTACTGAAAATAAAGCGTACGGTTTGTAGTACATTTCTTCAAGTTTAATACGGTTGTCCTAAAAATATAGTAGTGTTTGTCCCATTAACTTAATTTCCCATTCCTAAAGCTAGAAACCAAGAATCTGTGGCCAGCACATCTCCATTATGAGAGAGATTCAAAAGTTTTGATTGAACAAGCCAATTGATAACGGCATTAAAGTCCCGAACACTTAACAAAGTGACAAATTTGTTATATAGAGAATATTGAGAAGATGATGGCCTCAAAAGAGCATAATATAGTATGGCTATCACCAATTTGGACCAAAGTTCATGCTTGATTTTACCATTCATATCAAGCCAAATATGTGAGCATGGTTTACCAATTGGGATATTAATACTGGGAATAGAATTGGACTCAGACTCTCCATTAAACCCAAAGAGAACAATATCACAACTTAATTGGTTTCTATCAATCAATCTGGACTCATACCCCACATGTTTGAACTGCTTTTCCACTCGAATGATCTTTAATTCACCCTGTGACAACTTCTGTAAGACTGTAGCCATTTGACCATTTGATATGGCTTGAGAAACAATAAGACCTTTCGATGAGGCCAGAGCATCATTCAAGCGGTTTGCAAACTCTGCTGCTTTACGGAAGAATTTCGGAGTAAAGTACTTCAAATCGATTGGATGGTACACTTTCTCCGTTAATGAAAACTTTTGTTCAGCATCATCAGATGAACTAAACACTATTTCTCTATCTTTAACAAGTGCATCAGTTGCCCTACGTATATCCTCATCTTCATACGCTGAAAGAAGACGAACAACTCTTTCCTTAGAGAATTCGTCTTCCTTAGTATCAAATATAGCCTTCATAACAGACCTCAAATCATCATCATCCTTGGGAACAACCTTCCGTTCTTTGGGCTCCCAATAAAAGGTACTTGCTGCAAGGGCAATCTCTTTCTGAACCATTGAACTATCTTCAAGTCGATCAACTAATTCAACACCAGATTTCGATTGATAAATAGCTTCATATTCCTTCCTGTTGATATCATTCTTCTTATATAATGGTACTTTTTCCTCCAAGGAAACGATGGAACCATCAAAATCTTTCCAAACATCTAACATAAATCTGTAATCCAAGTTTTCCAATTCATCTAACGTCACCAAGTCCTCAGAAATAGCACGTAATAATATCGCTTCGAATTCTTCAACACCGTTATCAACGACTATCTTACCTCCTATGTTCTTTCTTAATGTTGACCACCTTGATCTAATATCTTTTGGCGTGGTGTTGGCAAAAAGTTCTGCAATTGACTCGAAATCCAATGCACCTTTATTGAACATCTTTGATATTACCACAGCTCTAAGCAAGGGTGTGACATCTGAAACATCGAACTTTTCCAGTTGGGAAATGACTTTGTTCGAAACGCGACGTAAAGAATTCTTTTGAAGAACTCTACGTTTAATGTCACCACTTTCCATATTATCACCTTCAAGCAAACCAACTTCCAAAGAATCCAAAGTATCCAACCTCCCCTTTCCTTTCTTCTTCCTCACATGCTCAGTTTTGAAAAGAGTGACCTTGCTTTCAATTCTCTTTGTCAGTCCATAGTAACTGGGTACTGTATTCCTATCCAATAATCTGTCTTGAACTTCTTGAATTTTGCTTTCAGATGGTCGATGTTCTGGGTCTGTAACAATTAACAACTTACGGAACTGTTCTTTCCCATTCTTTAGCACAACTGGTACATCGCGAACTTCAAGATCTCCACTTTCAACGAGAATTTTGATATCTCTTGCTAGAGTTTTCAAGTCCATAACAGTAGTACTAGCCAATTGACTATCTAATGTTTGACGAAGTTGATTGCTTGTGGGACTCACCCCTCCTAGCTTAATTACTGCCCTTATCAACTCTTCACGCCTACGAATCCCTTTCATTGACCCTGAATCAGATAATGATTCATTGTGTTTCTGACTTTTGGTTTTGGGTAGGAACTCTGCAGGTCTAAAGTCAGTAACCAAGATTGGTTCTAGTTTTCTCTGTGGTTGTCTCTCTGATTGTGAATTAAAGACAGATTCAACTTGAGATGGCTCATGAGTTACAGTAACTGATGTGTTGACCGATTTGGCGACCGATTTCGGTAGTTCCCCGTGAATTTCTGCTTCTAGGGCCGCTTCTGCAATTTTATCAGTTGAGATAATAGCAGCAGCTCTTGTTCGCCTCTTCTTTGGTGGAGGAGTAGCACTCAAATCTTTATCCAATGAGCTTCGCTTCTTCTCTTTGACAAACATATTTGTTTGGTTTACCTTACCTAAAGGTTGAAATAGTTCTGAATTTAATTGTTGTAATGTTTTCTCCTTAGTATTGGTTGATGATTTCTTTGATGTAACGAATGGAGCTTGTTTTGAGGTTCCTGCTTCTGTGAATTCGCTGTAGGATTTTGAAAAGTATCGATAAAATTTGAATTTACCCTCAAAATCATAGGACCGTACTATCGAAGTTTCTGGATAGGCATCTTTAAACTTCTTTAAAGGTTCAAGGGTTCCCTTGTTAACAAAGTAACTAGTGATGGAATCAAAAAGCTTTGTGAGTGGCCTGTTATCAGTGACTCCTGTCATATACTTGTTGAGCTTCAGAGTAGTTATTCCTTCAGTACCATGTTTTTCAATGATATTATAGATTTGGTTTGAAGTGGGGAACGACAGATTCATCCTGGGGATCACACTTTCTTGATCATACAAAGTGGGTTCAGGTTCTTCAGCCTTTTTTTGGAGATCTTCATCATCAGTATCTAATTCGTTAACATAATCTTCAACAGCATTTGCATCCTTAGGAATATCTTTAATATATCTAAGACTGTAAGTCAAATATGCTTCTTCTGTGTCTTGAACCATAATTCTCTCAATATAGCCCTGCGAGTGAAGACTCCAAATGACTTTCCTATAATACTTTCTGGAGTAATCATCTGCATCTAAGCCAACTTCTTTTCTGAGATCTTTGAAACCACGTAAATGGTTTGGTGCGTCTTTAGTTAACTTAACAATTTGGCTTCTTAACGATGCAATACTTCTGGAGACCATTGTCTCCTTGTCGTCATCCTGTTGAGAACTACTACTACTTCCATGGGCAAATTTGAAGTGAATACAAAGATTAGTATGTTGCTTCTTTTCATTAATAATGGACATTTTCTTAATGAGACCCAACTCTTCAAGTTTTCTGAGTCTCATAGGCAATGAACGAGGATCCTGACCTGTATTGCTGCATAATTCTGGAGATTGTACACCTTGAGCACCAGCTTTGGCTATTTCACAAAGCAATTGAAATGGAAATTCACCCAATTGAACTCTATATTTCTTTGAAACGTTTCTTATACCCGTCATATATTCCCATTGAGTGTTCTGACTAGGAAGGATCAGTAGAGCACTCTCAGGTCCGTATTCATTAATAAATTCTTCATAATCAGGAAGAATAGGTACCGGTTTCTTATCCTTAAGAATATACAGATTAAACTGGTGTGTACCATCCAAACTCTTTCCGGTATTTTCAAAGAATAACCATTGCCACATAGCTTGCTTAAGAAACCCATCTACTTCCTCTAACTTCAGCTTCTCTCCCACAAAATCCCACATACTGGGCAAATCCAAACCAGACAACCCGGAGAACGCCAGCTTTTCCAACACGCATGATACCAATTGCAGAGGTGTTAAAATTCCCAGCATTTTGTTGTCATATCAAACCAGATTAAGTGGAACAAAAGAAGTTCAATAGTGGTAATGTTTACAGTTCTGCTTTGGGGTTCTATTGATTTTGAGATTCATGATATATTGTGTCGTGCATGTCCCAAATATGAGTATACCTATTTGAAATCGAGATTGATGCTAGTAACCATAAAATAAATGGACTCAACCATTTCACCATACACAATGGACTCAGATTCAGATAACGAGTTGTTGCAGTTGTCTTCACATGCACTTGCTGCTCTCCAGGAATTTCGTCTGGAGGAAAAGGACCGGTTGGAGAAGTTTGCCAACTTATACAAGGCATCAGAAGACGACTTTGAACGAAGAAAGGATGTTTCTATAGATGAGTTTAAGGAGGATTGGCAACTATCTCAGTTTTGGTATTCTGATGAGACTGCTGAGATTCTTGCCAGGGCATTATTAGAAGGTGCTGATGAAGATACAGTGATTTGTATAGCCAGTGCTCCTGCTGTCTACGCAGCCATTACTAGACTCCCACAGGAATTGATAACTACAGAACAAATTTATTTGCTAGAATATGACAAGAGGTTTAAGGCTTTAGCAGGTCCTAAATATTTTAGTTTCTACGATTACAATACGCCAGATGCTATTCCAGAACATTTAAGACATAAAGTCCATCGACTTCTTATTGATCCACCATTCCTTGAGCCAGAGTGTCAGACCAAGTCTGCTCAAGCAGCTAATAATCTTCTTGTGAAGGACCGTTCAGGGAAAACCAAGTCTGGCGATAACAGCTACAGATTAATCACATCAACGGGGGAACGTATGAGGGACATTGTCCTTCAAAACTATCCCGATACCAAGGTTACAGATTTCTTGCCCGAACACAAGAACGGACTCAGCAATGAATTCCGTTGCTATGCAAACTTCACTTGCAGTCAATGGAAGTTTTCCAATGAAAACTAGTACCTGCTGCTTTTATAATCTCTGTACTAAATAAGAGACAGTAAATACATGAATAGATTGCAATGCTAAACTACCTTAATGTAATAGCACACATATTAAACCAATTGCATTGTATATAATAAGCTGTCTATCATAAACTAGTCCATGTATAGCATGTACCTTATTGCATACGGTGCTTATTACCATAGTAATTTCGAGATGAAGCCGTAACTAATACCATATGTCCGGGTAACCTCTAGTGGCCAGCCATCGCACAAAAGAACAAAAAATTTTCAAATCAACTTAGTGCTGAAAATTTTTCCTTAAATTGAAACAACGTTGTTCTACCACCTCCTTTCTTCTTCAACCTAATAAGTTCCTTTATAACTAACAATTACAATGTCCTTCTCCGATTTCTCCAAGGTTGAAACCTTGAAGTCCTTGAACGAATTCTTGGCTGATAAGTCCTACATTGAGGGGTATGTTTCAAATCACTAGAATAAAAGTTAAGGACGAAATACATATAAGGCACTGCCCTTGGCGTTATTTCCAATTGATCTTCTAAAGTACAATACTGTTGTGCGTGGATGTTTACTACTTGAGCAAAATGATGAACTTATTCTTTGGTTCGTGTTTATGAGGTGGCGTCAAGAACCACCGCATGAGTGACAATAAAAGAGTGTTAAATCACGTTTCTGATGCCCAAAAATTAATCAATCCCCTAGTACATATTGAGCTACACAGACACGCATACAAAACACGCAGTGTATTTTAGAAACCATTGCAAGTGCTTTTATGTTCCTTAACTTAGTCATTGATAACATGTGGACTTTTTTATACTAATCATCAATATTTAGTTCTTCTGCTTCTCAAGCTGACGTTACCGTCTACCAAGCTTTCCAAAAGCAATACCCTCAATTCACCAGATGGTTCAACCACATTGCTTCTTTCACTGAAGAATTCGACACTCTTCCAGCTGGTAAGGCCCCAGCTGCTCCTGCTGCCGCTGCTGCTGAAGAAGATGACGATGATGTTGACTTGTTCGGTTCCGATGACGATGAAGTTGATGAAGAAGCTGAAAAGTTGAAGCAACAAAGATTGGCTGAATACGCTGCCAAGAAGGCCAGCAAGGGTGCTAAGCCAGCTGCTAAGTCCATTGTCACTTTGGATGTTAAGCCATGGGATGACGAAACCGATTTGGAACAATTGTTGGCTAACGTCAAGTCTATCGAAAGAGAAGGTTTGACCTGGGGTGCTCACCAATGGATTCCAGTTGGTTTCGGTATCAAGAAGTTGCAAATCAACCTTGTTGTTGAAGATGCTTTAGTTTCTTTGGATGAATTGCAATCTGCCATCGAAGAAGATGAAGACCACGTCCAATCTACCGATGTTGCTGCTATGCAAAAGTTGTAAGAAGCTTAGTAATAATTTCTTTAATGTCAAATAAATAATACATTGTATTGCTACGATTCTATAACATCTTGTTAGTGTCACTATTTTATAGAGGTAGATATTCTTGTCCATCCTTTAACCATTGACTAAGAATCTCCTCTTGAGTTAACCCCAGTTCCCATACATTTAGCACTATCTGTTTCAACGTGTGCAACGTTCCCATCTGTGCATTTGTATATAACGTGTCCATGAATTGGAGGAGACTTTGTCTTTCATATTCAGTGGTACACTCGCACCCTATAGCATAGACGGGCCAAACCATTTGAGTTACTGTTGGCGATATAGGATCCATTGATCCATACACGTCGATGAACTCATGAACATATCGTTGTATATGCATCTCCCATGACGGTGGCTTTACCGTACGAGTCAAACACACGAGACCCGCTAACGACCAACACTGGGCGCCCTTCAATGTCAAGTTGAATGACTCGCCTCCTAAACCCAACGGTACAAATTCGCGATAGCTCATAAACTCTTGCTTGATCGTATGGTAGTCTTGTTGAACGCTATCGAAGGAAGACTCTACCTTGTTGTTATATAGCTCGTGACGAAGCAAGGTTACTTTGGATATAGCTCGAAGGATTTCACCGGGGCATCCCATCATCTTAATCGATGAAATTGAATCTGTGTAGACACCATACCACGATGGCGAACAAAACGGTAAACGACAATCTGGTGACACAACTGCAGTGATGGTATCATACCAACTAAGGACTATCACTAACAGTCGTTGGCTATCGTTTTCCATTAGCAGACCATAGACTTCACTTTCTTGGCATAGAGAGGCAAACACTTTGTATAAGAACCTCGATAGCTTACTGATACCTTTTTCCAAAACTGAGAATAATACGTGTACATTTATAAGGACTAGGACCATATAAGAGTTGATCTCAGTCTTCTTGGCCTCTTCATTGTTCACACTAAGATACTTGATGAGATGGTTCATGGCATTGTTGATGTGGGCAAGTCCTTGTTGGTAGTATTCGTTGCCACCCTTCCGACTTTCATAAATATGGATACAAGCGAGTGAAATAAAACAACTCCGTGCTATATTGAAGTCACAGTATTTCAAAGCTAGACTGGGCCAAGGTGAATCTGGATGGGCGTCCAACAAGGGTAACAACTTTCTAAAGAAATGCTTCAACATCATATTTTCTTCTTGATGTGATAGGGATAACACCGCCCCACCACTGCCATCACTTCTACTTCCTGCTGTTTTCATTTCCTCTTCAACAGTACTCAGCTCCTGTTCCAGTAATTGAGTATCTTCAATGTTAGTAATCTTCAGGTCAGTTAGAAAACTATGTTTTGCGGTATATTTATGATCTGAGTTGTCTTCGAATACTTTGGTCTTTCCTATGAAATCAAGTATCTCAAAATTCATCATTGAAAAGCCATCATCTATGAATTTACCCTCTCCTATACTTGAAGTTTTGATAATTGTATCGGTAGTCTTGGTACCTCCTTCCTTCGGGCTATTCAAAATCAACTCAAGGCCCTCATAGAGTTCAGGACAAAATTCTTCCAAATTATGACTCGAAGTTGAAAATGATGTTGGTGGTGGTGTTTTGTGCTGCTCCATAGTAGGGGTAGGAGCCTCCTGTTGCTCTGTCGTCATCGTCGAATTGTTTCGTTCTGATGATGAGGATGACGACAATGATGATGTACTACCCAGGAAATCAAGTGTTATTTGTTGGGGTGCAGGTGTACTCTTAGGCGTTCTAGAATCAGAGGGAATAACACCAATTCTTCTATGAGAGTCAGCTGCTCCTCTTTTAGACGATTTGAAACTTAATCTAATGTCGTATCCTTCACATGTTTTATTGGACTTGATGCAATTTCGACATGATGGTCTCCCTTCATCACACTTTCGATGTCTAAGATTTGTGTTAGTACAATCATAGTTCTAAGAGCAAAACATCTGCACATCCCAGTCGTACCTTTTCTTGCAGGTCCAGCAGCCTGTCCGAACACGAGTTGTTTTGTTCATACTCATGATGACTTCATCTTAATGTAATTCTTCAAGGTGGTTTCTTTCTCTACTTGAAGGAGTACATCGGCGGATCATTTAACCTCTTTGGGTAATCTCTCACGTTTGATATATGCAGGTTTCCAAGAAATACACCCCAACAATTACTGTGTTGGAACCACTTAAGTAAAACATGGTTTGCAAATTCACAACATATTAAGAAGTGGTTCATTTACCACGGAGCATAGGGCTTATATTATTAATTTCTCAATCTCAAGCTCCCGTTAATGAACGAAAGTCACTTGTGCTGGTTTTGCAATCGTGTCAAAGAAGGAGGTGTTAACAAAGGAAGGCTTGAATGAGTATGATTTGCAATGTCGTATAATTTGAATGCTGGGTATTTCAAAAGTGACGAATAATACTAGTGAATTCAGCAAAGCTTAAAAAGTATCATCACTGTAAAGATTTAGCATGACTACTATGTTGGGTGAAAATGTAACTATGAACGCCAAGATTGCTTCAAAGAGGAATAAAAATGACTCTATATTTGAAAAACTATCGAGTAGGATTTAATCACTTTGGGAACCGTGGAATACAATTTTGTGTCGAGATATTTTCCTTTAAAATTTAGGAACAAACTGTTGACGGATTAAAGATTCAATACGGTGTTTTGATCATATTATCAAGAATCCCGAAGTGGCTAAGTTCCAATGAGGTAAAATATACTCAGCATTAGCATTTTTCTGTAAGATGAAAGGCTATATAATAGCAGTAGGATATTTTAAGGAGTATTGACACTAATGAATAACGTAAATAATGATGAGAAATTTTAAAACTGAAGAAAAGACTTTAAAGATAAGCGAATGTTATTAACAATTTAAATGTGCTTTCCAATAATTTTAGCAAAAAATATAAAGTAAAGATGGGGAATTAGCTGTAAGCATTATTAGTATCAAAATCGCTTTATAGGACCCTCTAAGACAAAGAAAAGCAAAAGGGAAATAAGATAACTTGCCGAATCACAATGAGGATAACAAAAATATATACAAAAAGTCCTAGCAATCCTTGAATTCCTTTTCTGTACTGTACTGCACTGCACTGATGTCTGCGTTATGCAATTTCGGTTTGATTAATTAGCTTTTTCTGAGCTTTTCAAACTATACAACTGGTAATTTTACTGTTCGCGATTGTCAATTTTGCAACTTAATTTGCGCAGGTCTGCCTGAGACAAAAGAGCTTTGCAAACTGATTGCATGTGCCAAATATTACAAGTAAAAAGGAATAACAGTAATCATTTTATATCTTGGCTATCTTTACAGCTTCTTGGTTAAAAGTGTACCATAACAAATAGTACCTATTTTCCAAAACAAAGTGTCTTCAGTGTGCTTACTACTCGAAGAATTCCTTATTACGATGCTACATACTTACAACTTGAATTATTACCTCCTCATAAATGTCTATTTGATACCCTACTTTATGTCCCAGCTGTTTGGTTAAACATCATAACAGCCATTATTGCTGATACTGCTGAAAATCATCTCCGTATCATCGAAAAAGAAACAATTTGGTATAGTGTTATCTTAATTAGCTAATAGCAAATGTAGTTGAATATTAGAAAACTCAAGCCATGAAGTACAGCGCATAATATATCAACGACAGATAGGACTATTAATCATTTTTGAACAAAAGATAGAATGAAAATATATTGGCTTAAGCTTATAGAAGGATTGAATGTTAAACTTTTAATAAGCGTCAAAATTAGCTAGTTCTTTTACAACTCATTCATTATATTTAGGCCGCTAAATATTGACGAGAATCCCAAGCACTAACTGATAGCTTAGGATGCTAAGTCATAATCAATATAAATGCTGTCCAAATTTTCACAGCTATGTTGGTTACAGATATGTAATGTTCAATTCAAGCCGAAGACAGTACGGCCAACATTTGTTCAATACTACTGCAATTTGACTGATATCTTTTATACTGTAAGGCTAAGAAATTTTGAGTACTCAGAGTAACAGCAAGGTGATATTGTGCTACTTAATACTTTCTATCCCAAAAACTTTGAAGCACAATCCGACTCCCTGTACCAATTCTTGAATTCAGGCACTTATTAAAAGATCACTACAACCATAATGTAACACTAATAAATAGAATGAGCTGAGTGGTGGATACACTTTTTATTTTACTTACCAGATCTCAATAGCCTTTTCCCGAACGTTATTTTACAACCTCGTGCACCAAGACGACAATGCTTTTTTGGCTTAAAGGGGTTCTCCCTGTTACCATATTATATATCGCGTCGGGTGTTTCATACCAATCAAGGTTATCATCATACTCTAATGTATGTTTACTGATTTAAGTGTACTCGACAAACAACTACTCAAGCATAGTCAATTTCGTGTCATCATTGATCGTCTTAACCAAGACTATTGTTGTTCCAAGACTTTCCACCCAAAATATCCATAGTGATACGTCTTATTGATTTTTACTATCCAAACCCCACTGAAATAAGTAACATATCATATTTGGGTTTAAATTGGTAATCAACCCAGGCAGAGAACCACCACACCTGCCATTAAATGATCATTAAAATTATCATTTGAACGCATAGTTATAGCAAATTTGCTGGGATAAATTTAAAACTTTAAAAGATGCCTGCAATAGTCAAATTTTAATAGGAAAAATTTTACGAACTTGTCCATAAAGCAAATAGCATCCGCATATGTTGCATGTATGTGTAAGGTAGCTCTAGATAATATATACCATACATTATTAGTCAGTGCTACCAATATTCACTCCCTTCCTCCAGTTGTCTTTAGTTGCTAGATCAGTCAACAAATGCCAGAATTTATTGAAAATATCGATTTTGTCAGCAAGCAGAAACATTGATGCAGAACGCTATGAGGGACATCACGTCTTATGTTCTAGCTGAGAATAGTTGTTGGTTCAAACCCTTTCAAACAAGAATTTTAATGTACCATGGTAAATATTGTTCTGATTGTGACATGCAAGATAACAGTAATCATCCAACGTGTGCTTTGGATGGAGAAGTTACACTGCGAGGTAGGCTATGGTTCTATTGTATGAGAATTGGAAGTGTTAAATCAATGAAGCTAATTGCAAATTATTTAAAGGTTTGAGAGGGTGCCGCAAGTCCAGAGCTTCCAAAAGTATTCGTTTTTTTTTTGATATATTGCATGTACATCCTTATAGTGCAATTTGTAGTTTTCCAAATGAATATTCTTATAGCATATCATTCAAAGCATCGCGCACTAACTCAAAGTCATAAATATCATCGTCGTCATCATCAGCACCTTAGTAAGAGTCATATTCACAATCACAATCACAATCCTAATCTGACTTTGGCCCTGGCTCTGACCCTGAATTCTATTGCTAGTAGTCATAACTTAAGATCTCTGTATAGTCGCTTCCCTTCATCGTCCTCTTCTTCTTCTAATACAGTGCAATTCAGACATCCATTCGTAGTCTCATACTGAATATTTTTAAAAGGAAGGTCACAACTTTTACCATATACGCACACTTCTATTTCAAGAAAACAAGAATATCTATATCTACATCATCAACCGAGTATAGGGACTGTAGGGATCAGGTGGTGGAGAAAAAAATAGTGTTAACACTGATAAGCTTTGTAAACTTGCTGAAGAAGAGCTCTTATAGCTAAAATCTTTGACCTATATTGAATGCAAATTTCCGGACGCCATGACACTAACGAGAAGTCCCTAAAAAGGCGAAAAACCTACTTGGCCCATAACAATATTTCAGTTGATGAGATTGATCAAAATAACGACCGTAGACACCTAAGAAGAGTTTACGGCATTTATTTCAGTATATTAGGCATTATAGAAAGCCCCGTCACGAAAACTACATAATTACATATTAAGCCATCTGGAAAAACTTCGCAAAATCCTTCGACACTTCAAATACTACCGACCAACTTAAAATGAAAGCCTTGACACTAGTAGAAGCACGAGCCCTCTTTTGTGCGTAGCATTAGGAAAATAATGCAGTGGTGTATATAAAGACTGTCAAGTGTATTTGACAGAAACGATCCAACCATACGAACTTTATTTGAGTATGGGAGCTTAAAAATATATACCAGCCTCACTTTATAAGAGATCCAAGAGGAATCGTGCCAGCAGTTATACTCATAATGCATTTCCAAGTGGACACTTCAAGAACTTCCCAGAATTATTTAATAGGGCTTTAATATAAATTATGTAAATGGATACCGCATCAAAGTGTTCCTGCCTCGATCTGGAAAATGGTCTCATAAAATCAAAGTACTGAGGGCATGATAAGGTTAGTCTTCGTCACAAAATAGTTACACACTGGAAGAACTTCGCGAATTCCTATAACACTTTAATTATGAGAAAAGCCTTGATATGAGCGGGAACCTGTCGCATATACCAATTTTATGTCCTTTTCCAATTAATGTGTCCATTTAATAACAGTAATGATGATAAACCGGAAGAAATAACATTTCGGGATAACCACAAGATCTCCTTTATATAATGTGCAGGTAAAACAATACAAAGTGGTGTATATAAATACTGTCAAATGTAGTTGACAGAACCAATAATACGAAAATTGTTTAATTTGAGTTAGGGAGATTAAAATACTTATAAGCCTCATTAAGTATGCAAGGTGACAACACTATTTCAAAACTTATGAGTGATCAACGTGGCCATCAGGATGGGGACCCGGAACTGATAGTGTCCTAGATGTGCTTCTATTGTATTGGGATAAAGATTTTTATCATAAACTGAGCCAATTGGAATAGATCAAAGGTTTAAAGCATTAATCTCACGTTGACTCCTCATTGTCCATTTTTCTGTAGCTTAAAAAATAAGTAGCCATTTTAATATATGCAGTTATTTTTTAAGTCTCTGCACATTAGAACAGATTGGGGAACATGTTGTTCAACCATTCCAATTAAAATACCACAATCCTTCGTGTAATCTTAAGGTTCAATAAATTTGATTATGCACTCACGATTAGTTGAGAATAAAGCTCATGTATGCAGCTGCAGTAATTTGGTACTAGTTTTAGTGTCCTTGACGAAAAAACAGATTAGTGAACGAAAAACTATAAATATGCGACTATCAATCTTGGTTTTAGAGTATGATTTTATATAGGAATTGTCTAAAGTTAAATTAGTATTCCATTTATTTAATTACTATTTTCTTAATCTGGCTAGGCTGTGTGAGATTACTTTTACTTATATATCATACGAACAACAATTACCATCATTTTAAGATTTTGTGTCATCTTTAATTTACACACTGCAAACCAAAGAAACTAACAATTATGTCTTCACAAAACATTATATCTATGCCAAAATGGTATAAAATACTATTAACTTCTGTGGTACTTCTTCAGGTCTTTCAATCTCTTTTTTTCTATTATGAATGGCAGAAGTGTGAAGAAAATTGTATTAACAAGAAGGCACCTGATGACCCTGCTGCTAGATTAAATAAAAATTACAACACAGGTAGACTGTTGCCATCAATTCATAATACTGAGGCTTCTAACCTTTTAGGTGAGATTTCAATCCAATCAAGCGGTATTGTGAGTTATACTGACGAAGATATCGTCTTATCAGCACGAGGGAAATGGTTCTGGGCGAGCTTGACAGTAGGTGTAATTATTATTGCTGCTGCTGCATCACTAGCGCCTGTTTGGGCACCTGTATTTGTCGCCGGTAAATTTGGAAAATAGATGGTAACCGTGGCTATTGCTGTTGAGCCCAAAGTGCCAGCAATGCCTGCGAATGCTCCAACAGCAGCTCTGAGTAAAAGGTTATTACTCAACCCGGGTTCTAATACTGATAACTTGATAGGTCAAGGCAGGATGGGCAGACAGTACTTTAGGTACGATGTGCAAAGTGAGTTAGGACCTGAAGTACACAATCATTTAACTAGTATTAATGACTTCAAATATATAGCGGCCAAAGTGGTAGGACCAGAGGGAATGTAGGTGGTTTGGTTATCGCGAACTCTACGCTAGGAAGTCATGTGATGGTGTCAAATAACAAGACCAGCATTGCCGATTTTGTAACGCAAATTGCGGAGCAAAATGCCAAGAAGTACATAGGTGTGTTTTTTGGCTGAACACTACGGATACGGCACTAATAGAACTGAAAGAAATCTGTTGACAAAAAGGACTAAATATTATCAGGTCAATTGGATAAGTTATAGTTATGATGTATGGCTGGCGCTGAATGCGAATAGTGAATTTTTTGGTCCTGATATTGACTACCAAGCAGTAGAAG